ATTTGCTTCATCTACGCATATTAAGAACTTTTTTGAGTTTGTTTTTTCTTTAACTTTGCAGATTAGAGTTTTGGTAATGTCTCGTAAAGCATGTATGTTATAGTTTAAATATTTTTGTTGTCGCAACTTGGATAAAATATTTTCTTCATGAACATTGTTTCCATTTGATTGATTGTATGCAAGAAATGCAAATAATTGACCATCAAATGGATCTAATAGAATAGGATTTTGTTCTGCCAGAGTAATTAAGTGTAAAATATGAAGTAATTTTGTAATCAGTAATAGTTGCATTGACTGTCTTACAAATGCAAAGGCGTGTGTGCGATTTATATTGAGTTCAGGTGATTGCATTAAATACCGTACAGCCGAATCTGTTGTTAATCCACTACCTTCTTCACCGGGAGCAGTTCCGGTAATCAATATTCCAGGAATATTACAAAGTGTTCTAATTATTAAAGCACTATTTGTAAAGTCAATCATCAATCAGTTATTCAATTGAAAAATAATATTACTTACGTTTTACCCATTCCAGAAGCTTCTTGTCGTATTTAGATTTCCAATGGAGTGATGGAATGAATGGAAGGCAATTTTTCGCAAGCTTTCGATTCAATTTCAGTATGGGTAGCTTGTGGTTGAATTTTGGATGAGATATTAAAACCATTTCTCCAACGGAGTTTGACATTTGTAAATTCAATATTTTTTCCAACAGTTGATCATCAATTAGTCTTTTTTGTTGAATCAAGGACATGGTTATATGCCTCATCATAAACGAGCTCGTAGGAAGTATTTCCTTCTTTTTGAAGTTGAACTATTCTTTCAGATATCCAACACTTGCCTTTCATCTTCTCAGAGTCTAACAACGGCACTTCTATCTTGTTTTTTTCTATCAACTCGTTTTTTATCCAATTCTTCACCTTGTCACGAGCATCCTTGTCATTTTTAAATACTTCTTCCGTGATATCATTGAGAGTCTGTTCATTTCCACTTTGTTGAGCCTTCTCGAACTCAAAGACAATTTTTGAGAGAGATTTTCCATCAAAATCTTCATCGTACAAAGGTTTAGTTTGATCATTGCTTAATCCAGCCCCTCCTTTTAGTTTTGATCGACACAATGCATCCTTTGTTTGATCTTTGTTCCACAGACCAAAAAGTTTGGGCATCAAAATATTCTTCACCCAATTTACCACTGTTGAACAAGTACTTTCAGAAACATGAGAAAAGTCTTTGCTTTGAGTCATGGCTTTAATTGCAAAATCTACGTCGTGTCTCTTGATATTCTGAACAATGTTATCCAGAGAGGTTCCTTTGAAACGAGCGTCATAGAGGGATTGTACACCATCCCTGTCCAATGAAGCTCCACCTTCACGTTTCTTCATACGAAGAAGAGAAGCAACCTCTTTCTTTGTCCATTCTTCGTAATTGATGAAAGAGAGAACAACTGTGGACGCTTGTTGTTGAATGTGAGAATTTAAATGAGTGGTTGGTTGTGTTGATTGTGGTGGTGATGTAATACCTGATGAAGATGGATTTGATGATTTCTTCTCCTCCTCCTCTTCCTCTTCGTCCTCCATAATTGAAGATAATGAGATTTTGATGTATTCATCCGAGTTTGAGTTGTTTTGTTTTGGTTTTTTTTGCTTTCTTCTCTTCATTCAACATTGATTCACTTCTTCTTCTTTCTCATCATCGGAATTATATTTTCTTTTGAATTCAGAATTTCCAAGAGGAAGAGCTTCCACTCTCTCTTCATCATTCTCATCCATAGCACGTTCTCTTTGCTTTCTCTGTTTGTGGGGAACCATTTCTTGATACTATTCCGTTTCGTTCGTTCGTTCGAGAGAGTTGAATATTTTTTTAAAGTTGAACGACGCAAAAAAAATGAACACAAATGAAGACGTTGTAATGAATAGTATCAACCAAACATTGATGACCCACTCAGAAGCTTTCGGAATCATCTTTAAACATATTGAGAATTTCTCAAAAACATTGGACGGATTATCTAACCACATCAATAATCGGAAACAAAAGGTAAAGTCAGTTAAATTAGTCTCCGACAGCAACCAACCAATTAAACCTAAACAACCTCTTCCTCCAAAAACAACACTCATAGAACAAACTCCATCCCCTGCACATCCTTATCGAACTGATGGACCATCAAACCAAATATCTAAAATCAAAAATATTACACATCCAACAAACAAATCGAAAATCAACAATCAAAATAAGACAACAAACTTCATCACCAACACAAACCTCACCAAACCAATTGAAACAAGCACAAACCTCATCAAACCAATTGAAACAACTTCAAAGCCCCAAAGTCAACCCCAGATTCAATCTAAGAGCCCACCTATCAACACCAGCTTCAACCTGAATGAATCGCAATCGTCATACTTGCAAATAGCCAAGACAGCCAAGAACATTACATTTGATCCAACAAAAAAAACTCCGCAAATCAAATCCTACAATACAACAACAACCATGTACCCTCCTGCTAAAAGAGCTAAAACAATTAACTATTCTCACTGTGTATCTATTTACCTCAGTAAGCATATCGACTCAGACATCACTGAATTTATTACAGATGCAGTCAAAGAAAAACTTACATCATGGTACATACCTAACGACAAGACGCACGTACTCCAACTTGTCTGTAACAATCATGAAGATTATGTATCAACCTTGGGAATTTTAAACTCACAATCAACAAGAGACTCCAGTCCACTCAAATACGTTGTGACTCCTATGAATTTCTCACCAGCTGAACACACCCTCAAATATCATACTTCATCATATGACGAGATGATGAAGTATACTACACACATTATCAAAAATTTTTGGAAAAGAACTAATGGAGTTAAAGAAACTAATACCAGTTATGACAGAGTCCAAAAGCTTTATAAAATCAGAATAGCAGTTGAATCTCTTGAAGATAAAGAATATTTTATGGCAAGGAAATATTCTGAATACCGATCCATTGACCAGATCATAACAGAATCTAAGCTTAACTGCTCTTGCAATTTTTCATCCCTCTACACAGAGAAAGATATCAAAACTGCGATACAAAAGATGGTGGAAAAAAGCAACTGTGTCTTCCAATCAAACCACTTAGAGATTATTAACAAACCTAGCCCATATCGCCCTGGAGAGCATTATTATATAGCCAATTACAAAGCAACTAATGTTGCAGAATTGGAAAAAATTACAAAATTCCCAACAAGTATCACTCCACCAAATGGCACAAAACCAACCTCAAAAAAACTCATATCTACAACCAAATATTTGGTAGAAAAATTCAAAAAACAACAAGAAAACGAAGTGACTGGTGCAACCAATAATTTCCAATTCAATAATGACCTCTCAGCATTAGAAAAGAATCACAAATCACTTCAAGTAGAATGTACTGAAAACTCAATCAAACTGGAATCACATTCTAAACAAATACAAAACATCACCAATACACTAACAGACCACACAAAATCCATACAGACCATTTTTGAAAAACTCAACGAAATAGCTTCCAAAATGGAAAATATTGAATTACATTTGACAAAACCGTACCATCAATTAATTCATGAATCCAAGGATGATGTAGAAGATGAAGATGATGAATCTTATCACCCAAAACCAAATGAAAATAGTGATGATGAAATGGAATATGACGAAGAAGAAGATATAGTAGAACCTAGAAGAGGTGATAAACCTCTTGGAAATAAGAACAATTAAGTCACCAAAATGTAATTTGAAAATTGGCTGTTTTAACTGCAACGGGCTCATAAAGACAGCCACAAAAGAAATATTGACAAATGAAATCAAAGGGATGTGCTACAATCATAACATCCAAATCATGTCAATTACTGAAACACACTTAAAAACATATGAAGATCAAAAAGAAGCCTATAACAAAGGGAATGGAAGTATCTTCTTTAATTCACTATTTGGAGCAAGAAAAGCTCAAAAGGGAACAGCTCTCTTCCATATTCTTAACAACAAAAGAAAACGATTCATATCCAACGAAAATCTAATACAAGGAAAACTTCAATGGACAAGGTTTTTCTCTAGAAACAAACCTATTAACATCATTACGGTTTATGCTTCATCTGATGGTGAAGATGATGATGAAATAATCAACATTATTATTCACCTTCTACTAAAATGTGAAAATGAATTCAACATTGTGCTAGGAGATTTCAATATCAACACAAGGAAACCACAAAATTCGAGAGAAAAAGAATGGAAAGAACTTATTGAGTGTTTCCAACTCAAAGAACTAATCATCCCAGAGAATTACACATACGTCAGAAAAGTCATCAACTCAGTTCAAAATCACGACCTGATCATATCTTCGTTTCTAACAACATCAGAATAATCAGAGAAGTTATTTTGCCACCAATATCCAAAAATGATCATCTACCGTTCTATATTGACATTGAGCTCGAAACAGACTATTGTTGGAGAAACTTCATCTCTAGGAAAGATATGAATCAAATCTCAACAACATTGAACGAATCACACTATGATTCATTTGATGCACTTCAGAAAGACATATCAGAAATGGTTAACAAATTTTCTTTCAAAGACGATAAGACCAATCTCAAATACATTAACACAATCAATAAGAAAGAAATCAAAACCAAAGAAATAGAACTCCTCCATCTTGTAACACAAGGAAAAGGTCAAAATATCGAGGAAATTGAAAAACTAAGAAATAATATCAAAGTACTATACAAGGAAACTGGAGCTGATATCAAAGCAAAACTAAGTGAAAATTTCAACAAACATGACAGCTCAATGATTTACCAGTTTGACAAACATCTAAAAGAAAAATCAATAGATTGGGAAAATATCCAATTCTCTGAAGAAGAAATTGTGCATCATTTTGAAACAAAATTTACCTCAGTATCCAAATCATCAGACTTTGAAAATCCACCATCAACCGTCAAGAAAGGACCGAAAATACCACAAATAAGCCTTAAAACAATTAAAGAGGCGATATCGAGAATGAAATCCAACACACCCGGTCTAGACTCAATATCCTTCCAAATTATACGTAATCTCAAAGACGAACATCTACAACTTATTGCTGACCAATTTGAAAACTGCATTCAACAAGGTAATATCCCTGAAGAATGGAAATCTGGTTGGGTTAAATTACTCCCTAAAAGAGACATTCAAAAACTAAATGATATTAGACCCATAACCATTCTCCCAATATATTACAGAATACTTTTCAACATAATTGCATACGAATTAAGACAATGGGCTTCCAAACACATCAACTTAAGGCAACAAGCATTTATTTCACACAGAAACACAATGAATCACGGATTATTACTTTCATCTCTAGCCAAAAAGAACAAGTCGTCATTCCTTTTGGTAAACTTAGACATCGAAGGCGCCTATGATTCCGTTGAAGATCATATCATTGAAAAAGCTCTCACTCATTGTAAGTTTCCAGATGAGTTGAAAACTTTTATACTAAACTCATACAAGAGTCAAATATTACAGCTAGAAATTGATCACCATCTCTCTAGACCATTCACAAAAACAAGAGGAATACCACAAGGATGCCCTTTAGCTCCTCTTATATATGATTGTATTACTCAACTCATCATTGACAAATGCATACAACAATGGAAAATTTCAATCAAACCAACCAAGCTTAATATTAACGATATTGGTTTGCTCTGCTTTGCTGATGACATTAATTTAGTTTCAAACAGATACTGCAATTATAACGAAAGACTTGATAATATCTCTAAATGGCTCGGCCAATTAAGTCTAAAAATTAATCCTTCAAAATCCATGGCAACCACTCTCCCAACTAAAAGCAAGATGAAGCCAATGATAGACGGTACTATTATACCAAGATTCAAAAACCTTCGAGTACTTGGACACTATCCTTGGGATGACTCTACTTTAAATGAAGATATTGAAAAAAGAATCCTCCAATTTCAACTCTCACTCAAATATATTCCACTGAAAAGAATGGAGATAACAAACATTAAGAAAGTAATTTTTGCCAAATGCACTAGCTTATTTACACACATTTTACGAACAAATTACATTCCTGAATCACTTGTTGATAGAATTAACATTGAAGTAAGAAAAGCAATAAGAAAGAAAATTTTCATGCATAATGCTAGTCCAACAAACTATTTTCACCTCCCAATCACCTATGGCGGACTTGGTATTCCAAGATTCGATATCTTTGCAGATGAAATTCGAATCAAAACAGCCCTGTATCTTATTAACAATGATAATGAACTTCTTAGAGAAGTATATTCAGAAGGAATCAAACACGAAAATTCGATTTTTAAGGAAATGAACAGATCAATGAAGAAATACAAGATCAGACCTCAACAATTTAACAATGACGAAATCTTTCCAAAACTCAAAGGAAAGAATTTTACTATTTACACTGACGGATCAAATCTCAACAACTCAACAGGTTTCGGCTTTACCGCCAAAGTTAACAATTCCCAAGAAACCCAAGATTTCTCATACAAAATTAACAGCGAATACTCACATAACGTTGCTGAATTATCAGCAATACTCACATCACTAAAGATACTTCCACCTAAATCTAAGGCAAAAATTCACACAGATAGTGAAATATCCATCCACGTTTTGAAAAACAAAGCCTATAACGGAATTTTTAACTGCTTCAAGCATGAATATCAACAGGTCATTCAACAATCCAATCTAAATATTCAACTAATCAAAGTTAAAGGTCATGTCAACAAAGGAAACATCAAAGCTGACGAATTAGCTAAGAAAGGAGCTCAAGAGCACAACTATTTTGACATTAAGAAGCTATTTTCGAACCAAACCATCCTTGCCACATCTAATACCATTATTTTCGACATCAAAAAATCCATACAAAAGAAAAGATATGATGTAATGTTTAGCCAATTTGATAGAGATAATTCCAGTCTACACCTTACCAAGAACTGGTCATCTATCAATCTAAAATTCATCAAATCTAAAATTGACACAAATACTAAGTGGTCAATCTGGAGAAACTTAACAAGCAACCATATCAAACAACATAAGGAAAGACAATGCGCTCACTGTAAATGCCCCGGAACTCTAAAACATTTCATATACTATTGCCCTAATACTCAATGCTTTAGGGATTTTTTCTACACTAAATTCCTAGATATTACATCAATGCAATGTATCCTCAACGATTATCAAGAATCAAGATACTGTGAAAGAAGGAAAGTTTTCATTATTCATCATGACGGAGTAATGATTCGAGATACTCAAATGCCCAACTTTAAAAATTTACCAAATATTTACCAAAATTGGCCTGAAATCCAAACAATTCTCACCCTACTAGTTGGTAAATGTCACACCAAGTATTATGAAAACTCAAGGTTTAAAAAACCAATTCAAAAACAAACCCCAATCCTCACGGATTTACCAGCACCAGTGGTGCTAACAATAAACTAATTAGATTTTTTTAAAGTTGAACGAATAGAGGAGTTGGTTTTTAGGCTCTTTTCATTTTCAATCTTTCAGAGAAGACTTGTTTTAATCGCGATGATGCATTGGGAGTCGATTCTAAAGCTAATTAAACACTTCCGTACCCAAGAAAAAAGTACTCGTGATACCTTTCATACAATTATCCATGGCTCTAGGATGGTTCGATCGAAATCTTGAATGTCCTTAAAAAACAAATATAGATGGTTCACAAGAGTGTTGCTTTAATGGCAGTGGTGAGCTATAAATTTTAATTAAGGATATGGTCTCTTCGGTCGTTATGGATACAAGAGACGTTAATAAACCTTCATTATTTATTTTAATTAAGGCTAACGAAGAATGATTCCATAATTGGACATCCTTTTTCCCAAAATACAAGTGAATAAACCCATCCCTCTCCTCAACGATGTTTCCTCTTTTAAATTCCTTCTGTCTTCCGTTATTGACCTTAATTTACTTCATTCATCCCTTCTTGCAAGATTCATTTCGAACGTTTGAGCTTTTCAAATTTTTTCAAAAACGCGCTTGAAAAAAAAATGACGACACGACGAAAAGTGAATCGAGGAAGCCTTGCTTTGCCTTCATCATTGTCCTCTTCTTCTTCAACGGAACCGTCGGCCTCATCATCAACAGCTCATGAGGTTCCTCAATCTTTGGAAACAGTGTCTGGATCATGTTTGATTGCTTCGGAACAAAATCCTGAAGAAGAACCAAAATTGATGATTAAACTTCCGTTGAATCAAGAGTCTTCGGCTTTAATGCAGAGTAGGGAAACAACAAACTCTGAAAAGAAAAAACATCATCGATTTGTAACACCAGGCGCATATTTAAGTAATTCTAGTAATTCAGCAGCAACAAATGAAAAAGAAGAACAGATTATTGTAACTCTTAAAATGGACAACAAACCTTCTTCATCGGAGAACAATGATAGCGGCAATAGTAATGGCATTACGAATGAAAGCAACAAGATGGATGAATCTAGCGATAATATTGTGCCACAAAGTGGCAACAATGATAGTTTAAAGGCAATAATACCAACCAAACATTTTTCACTTGTGTCTTCCGAAGTCACACAAGTAACTCACGAAGAAGCAGCAACTGCCGAAGAGATTTCAAAGCCAGCCACACAAGAGCAACAGACACAGGAAAATGATAATAACCATAATGGGATGGGATCAAGCAGTACTGGGACTTCTATAGAGGAATCACCCACAATTTCGAGTAGTACCAGCAACGTTATCAGTAGTGACTCTGCTAACAGCTCAAACGTTGAGCTCAAAGAACAAACAAAACCTCGATTGAGGCGTTTTAAGTTCAAGTGTCGAAATACCTCCCAAACAGAGTCTTCCACCAAAGATGAAAAGACATCACCTTTGCCAAGCAATGAGAAAAAGACCACCGAAGAAGAAGAGCAAATCACCACCACGTCATCGAGCGAGTCAACCAATACAACAGAGAAAACAAAAAAATACACTGAAAACAAATCATCTCCTTCCAGTCGCGAGGAGGAAGAGACATCAAAAACATCAAGACGATCAAGAAAAACCCGTATAACAGAAATGCCTCCCCCTGATACGTCACAACAATCAAAAGAAAGCAAGAAGGAAACTTCTTCGGAATCAATGGATAAATCAGCATCTGCTTCATCATCAAAAAAAACGAAACAATCTGTTGCTAAACCTAACGAAGACAAAAACGGAGATGACAATGACAAGCCACAACTCATCAAGCAAATATTGGCAAGACACAGCAGTCAGAAAATTTCTGCCAATGACAGCAAAATTTCATCCACAGATAATTCTTCGTTACAACAGATGGACCTTTCCGATGACCACGAAGAAAAAAAGGACAAACCTAAATCATCGAAATTCATAGAATCAACATCAATCCCTAAGAAACCCAAATCAACAAGTATATCATCAGAATCAGAAGTCAAAAAAACATCAATTACTTCAACAAAACGAGAGTCTGTCATGTTGTCTTCAATACCAACAAAAACAACCACAGAACCTCCTTCATCGTCTCTGAAATCTGAAGAAAAGAAACGAAAAGTTGACTCTGTAAATAGCTCTTCAACAAACTACTCCAGAAATTAAGACTGATGTACAAAAGCTTATTTCCACGAGTAGTGCTGTTGAACCTGGAACAAAAAAGACCAAGCTTAATGAATCACAACAAAGCACTGAGATATCTAGTATCCCTAAAAAATCGGATAATATGACAACCGTACAAAAAGAAGACCATGTTCGAAAAGACGAAAAATCCTCATCAATTTCCACAACCACCTTTCACGAAGATAAACCAAATTCATCCACACAAAAAGAGGAAACTCCCCTCATAACCTCTAGCTCGCAAGAAAAGCCAACCTCCTCATCTTCATCTGTAAAACTTACCAGTGATGATATTGCCAAAATTCCAAAGAAAAAGAAAGATGACAGTCATGTATCATCATCATCCAGTGCTCCACTTAGAAATGAGAAAGGAGATCAACGAGGAGGCTCAAGGGACTACTATCACAACAATGACCGAGCATTTTCCTCATCGAGAGACTACCATAGTCGTGAGAATGGAAGTAGCAGCAACACCTATCGTGACCACAAAGATTACAACTCGTGGGATGAAGTGTCTGTGGAACAGCACAAACAAAACCACAGAGAAAAACGAGAACGGTTGCTGAGGCCGGCTCGAATTCGAATTGAGAATGAGGATTTTTTCTTTAACACACTTAAGGAATTTGCTTTGTCACAATACGGATCGAATAATCCACAACCTGTCACTTCATTTGCTGTGAATAACTCGAAAACCAAAGTCTCATCATCTTCGTCCGTATCCTCAAGCACTGTCCCTTCCTATCCTCCTCTCCAAAAACAAATTTACGCAATTGTGTCTGTAAAAGTTTCATCCATGCTTGCTTCTAAGCCATCCATGACAGAAAGTCAGAAACTTGAAATTTGTAAAAAACTGGTGGATAAGATATCCCCTAGAGAAACTCTTGAAACAGTCGGGTTGGAAAGTCACAAGCAAAAAATTGAAGACTTTGTAGCTCAATATATTCAAGGAAAGTACCTGAAATAAAAATGATGCATGTTTTCATCTATAAAACAAGTTTTACTAAAAGAGTTTGCATTCTGTTTTCAAATAGTTATTGTCAAATATCTTTCAAATGATATATTCTTCTGTATCCTAGAATATTTAAAAACATTTTTAAATTCCATAAACGTTCTTTGACTTTCCTTGTCTTTGTTTGTGTCTTGGATTTTCATCGCAAATGACATAAATCTTCTTTTTGCCTCGTTTAACAATTTGGCATTGTTTGCACATTTTCTGTTTGTTTTGAACATGGGTATGTATGTGTTTGCATATCAATCAAGAATTCAATAGAATTATCATCATTCATCACAAATAATTAATTCGGAACCAAAAACGGACCAATATCGGCAAATACCACCAATGATTCCAATCATGAATTATTCAAAATAATATGAACAAGAAAGAACACATTCAACCATGATGAAAAACAAAAATAAACGAGATGATGATGAAAAGCCTTCTTTCAACCCCTACGAAGATTCCTTCAACACACGCATTGGAACACTCACCTTTACAGCAGACACAACTCTCATTTTTTTAAAAATTTTGTTTGAAAATATTTTGATTGAAAGTAGAACTTTTCATCGAGCGCTTGACTTGAGAGAACGAAGGTGACTCTATGAATACCAAGATAAACTCAATCTTTGTCAACCTTAATAATTTTATTTTTATTCTCTAAACATGTTGGTATCAGAGTGCAAACTTAGAAGCTGATGAATTGCATACCATCATAGAGCATGTGGAATGCAACATCTTTGTAAGATTCATCCACAAACTCATAGTCATCCAATTGATGTCTAGTAACCCATGCATGATCTGAAAATTCAGTCATTTGTTTGAATGGAGGAACACCTCCAATATAAAGAACACGATAGAAGAAAGTTTTGTCTAAGGGATTTGCTGGATTCACATAGTGAGCTGTTGGTGAAAAACTGATGAAAAATCCATTCACACGGTTGCGCATAGTTTTGGTAAAGAATTCTTGCACTGCTGATCTCATGGTGTGAGGATTGCTTCGGATTGTGTCAGGGAATTTCCATTTACCAGTCTCCTTATCCTTGAAAATGAGATAAAGTCTATTCTCCAATTGTCTGTTCAATGATTTTCTGTTATCATTAAAGTCATCTTTGGTCCATCTTCGTTGAGGTTTCCAATTCTTCAACCAATAATCAGTTCCTTCAGTTGTATATCCTTTACCTTGTGTTCTTTCATACTCGAGTCTTTGTTTTTCAGCCATTTCAACTGGGTCCGGAACTTTAATGTGTACTTCTGGGCCTTCTTTCTTTGCGTTTTTGTTGGCCTATATTGTTAATGAGATTCAATAGTTGTTGTTGTTCAATTAAAAAGAAGTCATTGAAAGATGCCATGATGTAAAAGGTGATGGTGTTTTAAAATTATAGAATGATGTTTATGCGGAGAGCATATTCAAGAGAATGAACATGAGTTTTGGAACGTGTAAATATTCGTTGATGGTAATAATAATAAGAATAATAATTGAATAATGAAATGAATTGAACATTACATGCTCTCATAATTTTCCAATCATAACAAAATACTAACCTCTTGCTTCTTCTTTAATTTCATCCATTCCTCAAAATATTCAGTATAATCAAGCCACTTGTGTCTAGCATAGTAATTGTTGTTGGTTCTTTGAAGTTCACTCATTTCTCTATCAATAGGATGATCATCATTGTTCAATCTCGGTAACCTCTCCAAACAAAAAGCAACTCTCAAAGTCTCGGGACCATCATACGTAACACTCTTTGGAATATCCTTCTCAGGAATTGGAGTCTTGTATCCCTTCCTTTCAATTTCGTCCTTGGTTACCCAAAGTAAAAATCTCTTTTGAGTTGGTGCTGTTGATGAGAAATTTGAGAGAAGAGCTACGGAAGTGCTACAGGTATGTTTGCTCGATGACGATGTTTTTGCGAATTGAGCAATTTTGGGAAACACACTTTGAAAGGCTTTGATTTGTTGGCTTTGCATTTTTTATTGAAAATCGAGCCCTTAAAAAATACCGCAAGATGAACATCAGAATTGACTCTTGCATGCTCCACACCCTGGAAAGACATTTGGAAAGAATTGAACAACAAGCGAATTACATTTCAGCTACCCTCAAACAATTAAACGCCAAACTTAATGAATATATACGAAATGAAGAGAACAGAAATTGCGAAGAAAAGGCACGGAAGCCATTAGATCATTCGCATCACTTGTTACAATCTTTACAACATCATCTATGTGACGCAATCACCTTTAGAGAAAATCCATCAGTTGAGAAAACTAACGATCCACCAGTTGAGAAAGATGAGAATACATTATCAACATTGAATCAACCAACTCCATCAAAACAAGAAAAAGAATACAAGCCAAAGAACAAACCTCGCAAAACAAGAAGGACCACACAAGCTAAAAAACAATCATCCACCGACAAAGGCAAGCCAAAAAGAAAAACAAAGCAAAAGAACAAACTTCACGATCATACTAATCATGGACAAAAAGGCAAGATACTATATTTGTATTATGATGATCAGTGCTATCAACAATTCGATAAGAAACGTGTAATGAATGTAAGAACAAGAAAGAAGCATCTCACCTTATATTGGATCCAAGACTGCTCTCCGCCCTTCAACATTATTAATTGTTGTGACTTAGAACTTTGAAGACAATGCTGGTAATCGATACATATCATTATTAACATATCATATCCATCAACACTATATATACCTATTCATGACCTTTTTACAATAATTGACGACTCAACCTTACAAACCAACGAAACCATATGCATTAACAGACAAAACACTGCTTTATTTTTGCCTTCTGTTTGAATCATGGACTCAACCCATGTTAACAGTTGCTCAACACAAGCATGTAATCTGTTAATATTTGATATATCCTGTTAAAAACATTCGACATTCAGAAGTAGTATCTAAACGAAAACGAAGTCCAATGTTATTTTATGACAAGTATTGAGGCACCGAAGGGCCAATAAACAATATTTAATTTTTTATTGAAAATTATTTTCTTTTATCGATTTTTGTTCTGTCGTAAGATACAACTAGTGTGTGTGAGGTGTTGGAAAGATTCTTAATTATCATCATCATCCATACGTATTTATGTCAGCATTATCGTTCAGTATTGAGATTGAGATTCATCAATTTGAACACAACTTGAGGCGCTTTCATGTGAACTTTGATTTTCGTTGTTGTTATTGAGAGGAACGTGACCAGCACTAAGACTTACTTCCAAATTTCTTTGAGTGATGCCATGAGAAAGATCTTGTTGATTCTCACCTTTACAACTTGGTTCAGCATGAGGATGATTATTCTCTGGAGACGAAAAAGGAATTGATGGATTCATGACTGTTGTTGTTTCATGGTCATGAACCAGTTCCTTAATACATTCCATAATTGAGCTGGCATATCGGTTGACATAATCCTCAACCAGGGCATTGGAATAACACAGAGAAATGGTCATTTCTCCACTCTTTGGATTTGTGTGAAAAACGTTTGAAAGCCCAGTCGTAGAGCCGCAAGCAGAATACGAAGCAGCAAGCAGCTCAAATCGAACTCTTCGCCCAACCAATGGTTCGACAATTCCAATATTGCTCAGTACTATTTGAAAGGATTCTTTTTGGCTGATATTAAATTTAAGAAACTTGTGTACGATTTGATAGACGGCTAGAGAATCATGATACTTGTGTTCCAAATGATGTTTCGTTTGGTGAGCAATGTCTAGAATGACATCTCTTAGATTGCGAGAATCTTCATGATGGTGTTTCTTGTGATGAATGGTGAGCTCATGATCCCTCAAAGTACTCCGCAAGAGGTGATTCTGAGAGAAAGGATCATTCATGTCGTTCGTTTTTTGTGACTTTGTATAGTTGTTGGATGATATTGAATTCTCACAAACGTTGTGAACTAGACTCTCTTCCTTAATGAAAATTTCATTTTGTTCGTGTAACAAAGCTCGAGGGAGAGAAAGCTTTACAGGGGTTAACATGGTACAGCTGAAATTACGAAACACTTTCATACATTTTCCAAGAGGTATCAACAATCCTTCTCTAAAGTCAACAGTGATGGAATTAGTAAATCCAAACTTGGACTTGTTTTTGGATTTTTCATTTCTCTCTCTGTTCGAGAGTGTCCATGCGAGAGTGCATATTGCATGTAGAAGAGCCGTCATTGTCAATTGTTGTTGTTTGGAGATGTTTAAGAGGTTCTCAAAAAATTCTTTAGGGATTTTCAGCAATTTCACTTTTGTGAAAGAGGGATTTGGAAAGGAAGGTTGTTGCAGCGGAAAAGTAATGGTGGGAGAAAGGCCATTGTAGGAAATGACTCGACCAACGAATTTTGAATACTCTACTATTTTGCCCCATTTCCCTAACATGACCGGAAAGTCCTTAATGGCTTGATGATGTGTTCTTGAATTGTTATTGGGCACGTCGTTAGTGGATCTCTCACTCCAAGTTGAAGAAGATGTTGGAAAAGCATTTGTGGATGGAGATCTTGAGGATGTCTGTAAAGAGCTTGAACCCATATCAAGGTCGACAGCAACATCTGTTTTAAAAGGTCTTGTTCGTCTGAGAGTTCGAGGAGGACTCGGTTTTGAGGGGCGAAGAGAATCCAATTGAATAAGGGCTTGTATTGGGGAAATTGGTGTCACAGAGATGATATCATTCAATGCTTTCGTTCTCACTTCTTCTAATTCTTGCTCTGTTTTTTGATCCTGTTCTCCAAGAACATAATCAAAAATTGCCGCAAATTCTTCCAAAAAGTGTTTAATGCCTTGCGCGTCAGCAATGGCATGAAAAAACGAAAAACAGCACAACCATTTCCCTTCAGCAGATGTTGGTTTCAACAAAAGTATTTTCCACATGGTGCTAACCCGATTCGGTTTTAAGCAGTTCCACGAATTTTTCAGCTCACGTTGCATGATGTGACAGAGTAAGTCGTCCTCATTTTGAATAGAACAAGAAGTGTCTCCTTGCAATTCTTCTTCGTTCTTAATAATTTCAATGTCGACGGTAGCATTCTCTACAATTTCAAACTGAATGGAACCAGGTGTTAGAATAATTTCTCTTTCCCAAATATCTTTAGCTGTTTCCGGCGTTAATATTCTCTTGCCAAATTTCTTGTTCAACACAGAATCGTTTAGTGTAGGAATTGAGCACAAGAGAGGATGTCTATATTTCAAAATACTAAAGCATTTTTCGCATTTCTCTTTCAACGCTTGAGCTTCATCTATAGTTGTGTTGTCATGTTGAATGCAATCATTTGTGACAACATTGACTTTGTTTGTGACATCGCTTTGTGTAATTTTTAGTGACAATTCATGGTTATGAGAATTGTTCTTAAACTTAATTTCAGCGATTAAAGCTAAATTGTGATGTCCCAAGAACTCATTGTGGTTGATCCTCTGGAAATAAAATTGTTCTCCCAAAGTGGTTTCAACCACTCCGAGAGGCATCTTTAAATTCAACTGTTCCAAGTGTTGATGAAGCTCGCTCGAGAAAGGAATTGGAAAATGATTTTTAACACTCCAATGATCAGTTCCTTCTTCACGACGTTTCCAAGACAAGTGAACAGGCATTCTTTTGTGTGCTTTTTTTGATGGTAAAGTTTAAATTTGGAAATTTCTCATCTCCCCAGCACAGAATGAACGAATGAAGAAACTTTCCTTCTTCCGAGTATTCATTTCCGATCTGCTGCTGAGTATGAACGAAAGACTCGGACTTCAATTGACTCAACTGTGTGAGCTCAAAACATGTCTAATTTTTTGCCTCTCGTCATTTCCAACAACTTGTAAAATTTACGATACGAGTTGGCGCCAATTCTTGCTTTCAAATAATTACTACCAATAAAATGAAAATATTTGTCTTTGAGGCGGATGATTATGCAGAGAAGTACCTCTGCGAAAGATTGTATGCTGAGGAAAATGTATGTAATCCGTTGATGCTGTTGTTGCTTTGAGGATGATTTTGAAATGGATCTTGGTTCTCGTTGGCGAATTCAATATGAAAAAATATCGGTTCGGGATGAATGACATGGAATGATTTCATTGAATGTTGTTCTTTCGGAATGAATAGTATGTGATGGGTACCAGCAAATCCGGAAAGGATTCAGTACCATTCGTGAATCAATTAGTTCAGGTATGAGGATAAAATTTCTTTCGATGCAATTATTCAGTTCTTTAATATAATTATCAGAATGATCCCCAAGAAATCAAATCTGCTTTGTTGGAATGTGACGCTGTTGTGTATCGATTGAAAGGTACCAATATTGATGACACTAGATATGCCATTAAAGTGTTGGAGGCAGCTGAATTTAATGATACAAAAACATTTATTTTAATCTCAAGCTACATGTCTTGGGCAAGCACAAGAAAAAACACAACAGAAGAGGAGGCTCAAGATGAAGAAGGAGCAGCGACGCAAAATAAGCAAGTAAGAAAACCATACGAAGCATTTACAGAGGATGCCTATGTGACAAGAAAACCCCACCCTTCATTTAAAGGATTTGTTGAGATTGAAAAACGAGTAATGAGAGCCAAATCAAAATTCCTCAAGACATTTGTATTTTTCAGTGGGCTACTTTACGGAGAAGAGGAAGATAAATTACATCAATGGTTCAAATTGGGATGGAGCTGTGAGGGAGAAGCATTACCTGTATTTCTTGACGGCGGAAATTACATTCCATTGATTCATGTCAAGGATTTAGTGTCAATTATCCACAAAACAATTGAAGAACCACCTCAACCAAAGGATGAAGGTGATGACTATCAGCAATCATTTTTTGCATGCGACGATTCACAACTCACTCAAAATCAAATTGTACAATGTTTAAGTGAGAAATTTGGATATGGAGGAAAAGTGGAGCATCTATCAGAAGAGGACTCCTTAATTTATGACCACTTTGACTACTTTACCGCAGATGTAAAGTTTGCAGTTGGAGCAATTGCTGAAAAGCAAATTGAGTGGGTTTCAAAAGAAGGACTGATAGAAAATATTGAAAAGGTCAAAAAAGAGTTCGAAACGAAGAGAAATTTGTCACCCATGAGAATTGTATTACTGGGTCCTCCAGGTGCAGGAAAAAGTCTTCACGCTCAGCACTTGTCCAGAAAATACAGACTTGATGTAATTGACGTTCCCTCTGTCATTGCCGATTTCCAAGAGCATGTGAAAGAAAAAGAACAGTTTTATCAGAACTTGGTGCAAGAAAAGAAGGACCGAATTGAAAAAGCCAAGCAATTAAGAGCTCAAAAGCAGAAGGAAAGAGAGTCCTTATTAGCGAATCAACAACCAAATACAGAGGGAGAAGAAGGGGAGGAAACAGCTCCAACAGAGCAACCACCAGAAGAAGAGGTCCCACTAGAAGAAGAAAAGGAGGAAGAGGAAGAAGGTTCTCCTATTCAGGTTGCCAAGTACAATTATGAAAAATTGCTTGCCATCACTCAATTAAAGGATGGAGATAGATTTTCGAATAAGGCCATTACTGACATGTTCAGATGGAAACTGAGTCAGCCAAAACACCTGAATCATGGATGGATTATGGACGGCTTTCCAAAAACGATCGAACAAGCAAAACTTCTTTTTACAAAACCAAAAGGAGAGGATGAGGAGGAAACCAAAGCAGTGGACGATAAACTTTTTCCAGATTTTGTGATAACATTCAAAGCCAAAGACTCCGTTCTAGAGGATAGATTAATGAACTTAAAGTCTCCAATTCCTGGACACAACGACGAAACAGGATTTAGAAGAAGATTGCAAAGCTTTAATAAGACTAACGATATTAATGATCTTAAGAATTATTTACTGGGATACTTTGAAGAAACTGTCACAGACAAAAAACGGCAATGCATTTCAAAGGAAATTATTCTCGATGCAGAAAGGCCAGAAAAGGAGGTTTTGAGAGAAATGACAGATTTCCTTGGAAAACCACACAATTATGGACCTACCCAGAAAGAAATTGAAGAGAAAGAAAGAAAGAAACAAGCAAGAGAGGAAGAAAGGTTAATGCTCGAAAAACAAAAGCAAGACGAAGCAGCAGCCTTAAAGAGAAAACAAGCGGACGAGAGAGAGAAAATTCTCAAAAGCGATGCTGAGCGATTAGAAGAAATTCGACGACAAGAAAAGATGATGCTTGAAGTGAAATCTCAACCTCTCAGGATGTATCTAATGGAAAATGTCATTCCAGTATTAACAAAGGGTCTTATTGAGGTTTGTCAAATGCAACCTGAAGATCCAGTCGATTATTTAGCTGAATGGTTGTTCAGACAAGTGGAGAATTCTGAAAAGCAATACTAGTTTAAAGTTTACTCACAGTTATTCAAGAACTCGGCTTGATTGTTGAATAAATTCATTTTGTGTTTATCCTCCATAGCTATATTTGAGTCACAAAAGCAACAGTTTTAGCGCTGTTTGAACACTGAGAGCAGATGAGGTGACTATTCTGTTGTTGGTTTCTTGAGGTCTGGAACATCTGCGACGCGATCCTACTGAGGATCGAGAAATGACCAAAAAAAATGTTCTTTTCGTGCTGTATCAAAAGAAAGAACTTTTTGAAGAGCAGCAGAGTGCAGATCCACCATCACTGCCGGAGCAGCATGCTCTTCTTCCTTCTTGGAGCTCCAGGAGAGAAGTATATAACAACTGGTCATTCTTTCCGTATGGGGAGGTTTGAACCATGTCGTTCAAATCGAGTACTGGGAGGAGAAGAAGAAGGAAAGAATCGTTTCAGCACTGGTAGTAGTAGTGGTTGGTATTGGAATGGTAATTGTACTCTCGGAAACCATCCACCACCTCCTCAACAACGAGACTATCATACTCAACCTTTCCATCATCATGATGGTTCAACACATGATGATTTAGCACAGACCAGATTGGGCAGTCGTGGTAAACGTTCTACTCGTTATGAATACAGAAAAACGGTGGTCCGATATGCTCTCATGCTTTCTCTGACACTTCCGATGCTTCTCATGCTTGGCTCTAAATATTTATTAATTCATTTAACGAAGGATGATGTGCAGGTATGGAATTCCATTTGGAAGCCTGTTGAAACGATTGATGAATTATTTCATGGACGAGAGGAGAAGAATTTAGAGTATGAAAATGATACATCATCCAAGGACCCAGATCAGGAAGAAGTGGTTGGGACTCAAAAAGCAATTTATGACTCGGAAAGCTCTATGAAAACCTTCTTGGTGGATCATAATATTTATGAATTTACTTCGGAGAATATTCGTAACAAAATACTTGACATTATATCAGAATCAATAGAAAAAGTCAAACAGTCACAATGTGATTTATTTGAAATTGAAGAAGATATGGAGACTGTGAAACGTAATATTAAAATCATAGCTATTGATAAGAGACAGACTCGATCATTATTGGTGAAAATAAGAGAAATGATTGGATCCAACGAATTCAAAAAAGAATTCAAATTATTTAACACAAAGGGAATTTTATTTATCCATGCACCTGTAATGACGAATAAGGGAGTAGTTTTCATACGAACTTGTGTGCTCGTGTCAAATATGAAGGATATGAACATGTGTCCATACAGAGTTGATATGTGTCAACTTGAGGTTCAGCATTACCAAAGCACACCAAAAGATAAAACTCCAACCAGAGTTGCGTTTAAGGGATTTAGAGATGAAGAAGACGATACTTCAGTTTTACCAATTTCATATGAGCAACTAGCAGCGCTTTTTGAACAGTATCAGGTTGTCAAGTGTGCAAAAATTCCAACACCTAATCATGTTATTGAAATTGTCACTAATCAAAAGCCAGTGTTCACCAATGCTTTTGGATACGAGTTTAGTGATTCATATGAAACTGGAAATCAATTGAAATTGGTGAGGGTTCAATAACTGACCTGAATTATTGTGTGTGTTACAGAACTAACAGAAAGAACTAAAATATTAATCAAGAATATTCTTTCATACATTCTGAAATCATAGAGATTTATTTGAAATTGTATTTATATGAGATGGGGAAAAACTTTGAAAGGCCGTTTTCGATGGCGTAGTCTCTAGCGGTTTTTTGGGCGTGATCTCTCAGATTTTCATTGACTCCTAGTATGTTCACGCAGAATTCGGCCAAATAACCAATTTCTTCATTGTTAAGTTCGCACAAGTACAGCGCTTTCTTTTTACCCTTCACATCAAAAAGAACATGAAGAATGGTTTGTCCCTTACTTGTTTGATAACTTGCAAATGCACCTCTCTTGATTAGATATTTAGCACTTCTGAGCTGCTTGTTAATAATAGCCAAAAACAAAGGAGGATATCCATCATAATTAGTAGCATCAATTTCAGCTCCGTACAACAGCAAGAGCTTGATGATATTTGACATTCCAGATCCTGCTGCCAAGTGTACACATGTATTTCCGTGCTCATCTTTTGCAGTAATGTCTACACAGAGATCTTTGACCAAAATCAATGCCATTTCATACAAAATTCTTTCTTCTTCTTCGTTGTAGTAAATACAATTACAAATTAAATGTAAAAGACTTTCGTCGTACTCTCCTCTAATCCTAATTACATTCTTTGAATATTTTGCGAAAAGAGCAAAAAGTTTAAGGTTAAGCCTATCAAGAGCAATTAACATAGCACATCTGTGATCCTTGTATGATCCTGTAGAAGAACCTTTCACGAGGCAAGGATCTGAGCCAGCGGCACAGAGAGCCTCTATTGTTCTGTAGAACAAATCTTCTTTTGTTGGCTCCTCAAACCTATCAAATTTCTCTAATAGATGCTCCAAAATGTGCCTGTCTTCTCCTTCTGTAAAAATATTAAATTCAGCTCTGTGATGACAAAGAATTGTGACCATTTCAGGATTAAGGCACTCTGCTGCTATAAGTAATGGTGGAGGCACAAAATTTCCAAAGTTAGAGCAAGCACCATTTTGAAGCAAAAATTCAGCAATATCCAAGTATCCCATTGCACAGGCAATATGTAACGATGTTCTATAGAATTCATCTTGCCAATCGACATAATCTTTATCAACCTCAATGCAGTTTTTCACTTTGTCGAAATCTCCGCAACTACAAAATTCAGTGTCAACTAAAACAGGATGAATACTGTAACAACTACTTACAACACAGCAGTGTGGAGATTCATTTCTGATCCCATTTCTCTCAGTTTTTTGACAATAGCAATTCTTTTTGATATTTCATCTTCCATTTTAGCGACATATCTTATTTCAGGAATGTGATAAGCGTAATCACACGCTCTTTTTTTCTTGTGGGTAATGTTAATATCAATATTTGGCGACTCTAATAGAGCAGAAACAGCCGTCATATTTCCATGCTTACAAGCTACATGGAGAGGTGTTCCGAGATGACTAGAATATGCATTGACATCAAGCCCTTTTTCAATGAGAGCTTTGATAAGTTCTTTAAAGATCGTTTCTGACTCTGGCTGCAAGCCACAGGCTACATGAAGCAGGCTTCTTCCCTTATCTAATGTTTGATTTACAGTATTCCATTCTTCAAGTTTTTGTTTAAGTAGTTCTATATTTTGGGTTTGAATGCATTCAACAATTTGGTCAAAAACAGTGTTGTGGCTTCCGCCAGAGGGAGACAGTGCCATGTCGTCAAATCCAAAACTCGTGCCAATTACTTCTGCTCGTACTGGAACTGGCTCAGATTTGTTCAAAGATATCAGATCAAAGGTAAAAGGTACCTGACCAATGTTCACCTCCACCGTACATGGAGCATTGAAGCCAATGACGGGATAGAGCACAAATGGATCCTCATGCTCAGGTTCCATAATTACCTCCCGCTCATTATTTTGAGATAAATATGAATTAATAGTTTGTTGATCAATTACTTGGTCTCTCTTTTCCCTGATAATTAGTTCTCTTGTTGCCTCAATAGGAAGTCCATCATCGGCGGTTTCGAGCGAAGACGTTGGTCCTTCTTTCCAACTTGCTCTAATGATTCCAACTCCCTCCGAGTAAATATATTTCACTTTGGTTCGTTCAATGTGTGTAATGTCAGAGGCTTCTGTTAATTTGGCTTCTTCCTTACTTGTAATAACTTCTTCCAGTGATGATAAATCATAAAACTTTCCCAGTAAAGACCCATTAAGGGTAAAGAATAAATGTCTCTGAGGAAGAATGATTCCAGCTCCAATAGTATCCGATGCTGAAAAGGGCTTTTGAATTTCAATATATTTAGAGTCGTGTACAATAGAACCTGAATCGCCATGGTAGGCAAATGATCTAACGAGAAATTAATAACTTATCAGGTGCCATTATTAATAACGATCCTTACTTACATTTCATCAAAACCAGGAAACCCATGATAGTATCCATCCTTACTACTGAATCCTATTGCTAAAGAAATATTCTTGATACATCTAATGATTTGAACCTCGAAGTAAAAAACATTGTCTTGGTTGGACCTCAAATCGCAGCCGTTATTCACCATCACACTCTGTAAAGACAAACCAACATCTGTCAATGATATTGAAGTTCAAAACCATACTTACTGTATGATTGCATGTTCCAGGAGTAGAAAATCGGATAAAGTTTTTTTCAAGATTCACTGAAATTTTCTTACGATCGTCCCTTGGTATGATGTATAAGGGTGGTGTTTCTATTTGGACCGGTGCTGATTGCGGAGATGATGGTATTTCTTGAAGTGAGTCCTCCTTTTTATCCCGACCTTCATGAGCCTCAATACTTGGTGTTGAATTCCTTTGTTTGGATGGTTTGGGTGAGAGGGGAAAAGTGGGTGATAGGCTCGTTCCAAGAACCTTCTTTGCCTGCTTGGGAGTATAACTTCTATTGAATGTCTTAATTCTTCTACATTCAATGCGTGGTGAGGAGAGAGAGGAGTTGGAGACATGACTCATCGTAGATTCAGAGCGCAAAGAAACGGCAGAGAGTGATTCGTTCATTTTTTTAAGAAATAAAGTATCCAGTCCTGGACTATTTACAAGTATCTTCAAAATAAGACGGGTCATGACAGAGATGATTGGAATTCAGATGAGAATAGTCGGCAATGATGATATGAGGTCATTATTCTCAACACTTATTCATTGGGATGGAAATTTGTACAAGTGGTATCACGGAGGGCTAAATAAATATTTTTCTACGTCGAAGGATTTTACGCAGCTCATGATGTAGACATACTTAAATATCCACAATAGCAGCACTAGTGTTTGGTGGCTGTGGTTGCGTATTTTGAGAGTTTTTCTGTTCTTGCTCCACTTGCTGCTTCTCTTGCTGCTCGATTTGTGCCTTTCTCATAGCCAACCTTCTTCTCACCTCAATGGGAACTGTTTCAATACCATACGAGTTGGTGGCTATATTCTTGTGTTTTGTTTGAACTTTGTCAATCATTTCTGCCTTTTTACTTCTCACAATGACAAGCACTGCATCAATCAATAGACCCAGAATTAATCCAATTAAGCCCATGAGTATTTGATACTGTTTCTTATTCTCTCCTGTAAACATGTATTGAGATGCAGTATAAAACACAATAAATAAAGTAGCCATAGTAATAATCAAATCAAGCCCAACCGATAGTTGACCTTTGTAACTGTTGAGAGCCTCTCGTTCATGAGCAGGAGCATTCACCACATTACGAACCATTTTGGAATATTCATAATCACCTTGCTTCTTTCGGAGTTGTTCTGTTAATTTCACCCATTCGGGATTCTTTGGTGTTGGCCTTTGGTTCGACTTGGTTCTCAGTTTGGTTCCTTTTATCAATTTGTGGAGATATGTTTTTTGTGAAGATTGGCTGCTTTCCGATGAGTTTGTAATTTTCTGTACATTGGTTGAGTTATTCTTGCTTGAATTTTTGTTTTGATGATTGTTCTTAGGATTGTTGGTGTTGCTATTGTTATTATTGTTCCGATCATCATCTTTCATTCGTTCATTCTTGAATTCAACAGTCCGTTTCAAAACATCAAAAGACACAAAATCTTCTTGATCATATTGATCGATCTGTACTCGGAGTGTTTGTTCAGTGGATGACGTTCCGTATTGTGCAAGATATTTCTTAACGCTTTCCAAGCATTGTTCGATTTCGGGTGTTTTTTGTATTTCCATTTTTTTTATTTATGCTTGGATATGATGAGTGTTGAAAGTTGAAACATGTCAATAAAGAAGTGTTCTTGTTTTTGTAAAAGGAAATAACCACAATTAATAACAATAGTTAATCTTATTTTAAAATATTTAAAAAATAATTTTATTTATAAGGCAATAAATCAAAATTCGAAAAAATCACTAGAACGGAAAATTAATTCTCTCAGAATCAAGTTTTGACAAGCTTTTCTTACTCATTCGACGATGCACTGGAAGCTGCACTTTGAGAATATTGAGGCTGCTGGCCATAACTTCCTGGATACATTTGTGGATAACCAGAAGGATAGCCATAACCATAATTTGATGGATAGTTGTATCCGTAACCACCAGGATATTGACCGTAACCTTGTTGAGGATATTGACCATAACCACCTTGCTGTTGAGGATAGTATTGAGAATAGTAAGGGTATTGACCATATTGACCGTAACCTTGTTGAGGATATTGACCATAACCATATGGATACTGACCATAGGCCCCCTGTTGTTGAGGATATCCCTGTTGCTGCTGTGGATAGTAATTATAACCCTGAGGATACTGGCCATAGGAGCCTTGCTGTTGTGGAGATGGATTTCCTCCAGACTGGAATTGCTGTCCATTATTCGCATTGGATGGTGCAGATGGATTGGTTGGTTGTGGAGCATTAGTAGCAGGCAGTGGAGTGGTCACAGGTGGTTGTTGCTGCTGTTGAGGAGGCATCTGTGGAGGTGGTTGTTGTGCGACTGGAGGAACGCCTTGCTGAGGATATTGAGGTTGACCACCTGGTTGCTGTTGTTGTTGATTTTCCTGATAATTTCCTCTAAAACTTGCAACAGCAGCATCAATTTTAGCAGCAGTATTTTGATAAGCTTTCCAATCCTTATTTTGAGAGTCTGTCATGAGTTGCTGAGAGAGAGGAACAAGTTTTTCTTTTACGATCTTCCAATCATCAGGTTGTCCAGCAAAACCTCCTTTTTCTTCATTTTGCAATTGCATGACATTTGACAGAATGGTTCTTGCAGCAGATTCCACCAAGTTACAATCTTTGAATCCATTATCACCCCAACAGAATGAACCAAAGGAAGTGATCATGTTCAATTGCATTTTGATATTATTAATGGCTGTAGATACTCGAGATTTGGGTGTATTCTGAGGTTGCTGTTGTTGTGGCTGTGCACCGGGTTGTCCTTGAGGATACATTCCTTGCTGAGGAGGCATTTGCTGAGCAGGATATGCTCCATATTGTGGATTTTGAATGATAGGTCTTCCGTTAATCACTGAATATTGGCAACTGACAGGGGCATTTGAAAACATTACAACACTCAGCAACAGGGCAATCAACGCCACTGTTACAAGAGGTTTGCTAAAAACTCTCATCGTGTGGGATAGAGGTGGAACCTTTTTTTCTGATAATACTTGTCCATATAAATAATATTTGGCAAACAACTGACAAAGTACTTCCAATCAGCATGCTTCGCAAGCATTATTCAAAAAGTATCTTGTAGTCATGAAGAAACAGATCATTTCAGAACTCTGACCAAATTTGGAATTCTTACTTGTGAACCAAAAGGGGGAGAATGGCATAATTACGGGAGTACACTATTACGATTCGCTGGTATCCATTCCTTTCCAGATCGTTTGAGAAAACGAGTGTACAAACCAGTGTATCAGAGCATCCTCATTAGCCTGTTCAGGTCATTCAAGAGTTAGCAAAACATTCACAAATAATGGGTGTAATGGCCAACAAAAATCATGACCCTTGTGTTACAAGTCATCCTCATCATCATCCACATCTTGGTCGTCTGTCAGAATTTCCTTGTTATATCCAAAGATGCTCTTGAGTTGTTCATAGATCACAAAGTGTAGCGCCATTCCGGGCACTACTTTAATAATATTCAGCTTCCATCCATTAAATAATGCTTTAAAGCCTTCTTCCCTTAAAATTCTTGAGAATGCGTGAAAGGTGTTTCTGTACATGGGTTTTCCGTCTTGGGTGAACAAGGGTTCAAGATGGCTATTAGATACAGCTTCATTGACCTTAATACCATTTGTACCATACCGACTGATACCACTTGTATACTCGTCAGCCTCTAATTTGATGAGAGATCGAGTAGGAATAGGGCCATTCACAATATCACCATGGGGTATGACTGCCGCAGCATGCATGGAAGGCATGCATCCGAGTAATTGTCGTCTTCTACGAATCGTATCAGCTGGATACGATATGGTTTTTCCAATGAAAGTACTAATAGCTCCGTAACTAAGTTTTAAACTCAAATCCAATGTACTCCCCTTTTCGATTTTTCCATAAAATTCTTCTACTTTCTTGTGGATAGTATTTTTCAAATACTCGTAGAAACTTAAAGAACAAGTGACGTATGGAATCACTCCGACCAATGACGTTCCCATGCCTTTCCATAATGCAAAAACACCTTCATTTCGTATTAACTCTCTAAGGCACCGAATAGAAGTCCCCATGAATGGATATAAATTGGCCTTAAAGTGATACTTGCTGTAGTAAGGAATCACAGTGAGACGCGTTCGGAGTAAGTCTAAAGGATAGGCAAATATGGTTAAATTGAATCCACTCATGAGCGCAGAGGAAAAGACGAGAAGAACATCTTTTTCACTTTGTGGAATTTCACGTAATACGGGTGTACTGCTAAAGATGTACGAGCTTAAATGTCTATAAATGTCAAAAAAAGCAAACTTCATAAAGCTGTTATGTTGAGATTTGTTTGCAAATGCATGAAATGCATGTTTATCAATGAATGATTAAGGAATACAGCATAAAGTAATATAATCAATCCAAATCCAATGAATAGAGTCCCAATCCGGCAAAATAACTTACCTTGTCGGAATGACTCTCAATACATTCAATCCATTTCCTCGAAATAAGGCTGAAAAGCCTTCAATTTCAATAACATGTTTGATATAACCGCTCAATCCTCTTTTCCTCACAAGCGTATGAACATCCATAGTCGCGGTAGATGTACCGATTAAAGCATATGTGATAATCTCGGTTGAGGATGTTTGAAGCCTCACCGATCTCTTTAAATGTCTGCATGTTTGTAATTCCTTCATAAAGTAGTTTACAAGAAATATGCATAAATGACGGTCAGAGAACCATATACTAGTAAACATACAATTTTAAGTCGTTCAATGGGAGCAAATATTGTTTTGATGATTATGGAACTGCATCCTCCATATAGGACAATTCTCAGTTTTTCTGTGTGTCGTTGATCGAAAAAGTTCAAAGCACCTTTCAGTCCTTGAAGTGCTTTTGTTTGGTCATCTTTGTTTTGTAAAAATTCCGAAATTCGTTTTTCATCTCTGATTTTAAACTTTTTCAAAGGATAATTTGATTCATAATCATTAGGGATAAGAGGATCCGAGAAAGAAATTTAGAATTCATTCACCAAAATCGGAAAAATATAAATTGCATCACGATCGGAATTTGAACACAGCCATATTTGTGCACATATTTTGTGTGTGAGGTGAGCGTTGAATTTCATTCATTCAATACAAACCCACTCTTTAAAAACCATGAACGAATAATAGAGGTGACAATTTTAATGATAGTACTCGTTACAATCACTGATTCCAAAGAATGATGAATCAAAGGTGGTATCCTCTTTGCGGTATTTTTTCAAACTGTGGTCAACGGGTTCATGAGATCATGAGCTGTAGCGGATGTCAAATCAACTCTGTAAAAAATGTTGATTTTAAAAAGATATCATACTTAATGACCTCAATCAACATTCCATAAATGTTTGCAAGTATTGGTAAATATGAAATCAGAATTGACCAATGTACTGCAAACGTGTTTGAACCTCGATCATGTATAATGAAATTCAACTCCAACGCTGTCGACCAAGATTCTCACCTCGAACATTGTTCAAAAAAAAATAATCGCGATTAATAATTGACTCGTTTTCTCAATCTAGAAGTTGTTGAATCAAATTTATTATTAACCCAAGACCTCGAGAATCCCTCACCTCCGCAACTCAGCATTCAAAACTGACTTCAAAGACCTTCTTGTTATCAACGTTTTAAAATGATGAGAAGATATTACTATTCCAAGAGTACCATTCTGTTAGTCTGTGTTGTTGTCGTAGCAGCAGCATGTTTAAGCCTTTCTTTGTTGTTGACTTCGGAACGTTTTGTTGAATCATCTCAAAGGGTGATGTCGAATAACAACAACAACAACAAGAATTGTTCAGATATTGCCCAACAACAAGTTGCAACAACAAGAACCACCAATTCCGCACCACAAAACTCTTCCTCCTCTTCCGTTCAACAACAAGTTGAGAATCCTCGCCAAATGCTCGTTACTGGATCAGCTGGCTTTATCGGATATCATCTTGCATTGAAATTGGCAACTGAAGAATTCAACTATTGGAGCCAGCTCATGGATGATGGTAAATTCAATCATCACCATCCGAATGAATTGACTCACAAGAGTGTCATTATTGGTATCGACAATTTTAACGATTACTACTCCACTGATTTAAAGTACATGAGAAGAAAAATGTTACAAGATGCCATTGCCAACTTCAATGAGAAACTTTCCCAAAAGTCTTCTAATTTTGGAGAGTCATCAGAAGACAACACAAATTTCATCCATTTTGAACTCATTGAGGGTGATGTTTGTGATACGACCTTGTTACAATCCATTTTTGCTCGTTTTAAATTCACTCACATTCTCCACATGGCTGCTCAAGCTGGTGTTAGATATTCCATTGAGAATCCACAAACTTATATTCGCAATAATATCTTGTGTCAAATTGAGCTCCTTGAAGTTGCTGTCAAGCATCAAAAAGACGAACCACCTGTATTTATTTATGCCTCCTCTAGCTCAGTTTATGGAAACATTCAAGAGTTTGATCCTTCTCCTTTCCATGAAGGAATGAATGTAAATAAGCCTTCTAATGTTTATAGTGCATCCAAAATAGCTCAAGAACTCTTTGCTGAAACTTACAATTACTTGTACAATGTACCTGTGATTGGTCTTCGCTTCTTTACCGTCTATGGTGAAGCAGGAAGACTTGATATGGCTCTCTTCAAATGGGTCGATCAAATTGTGAAAGGACAACCCATCACTCTTTACACAACGGATAACAATAAGGAATTGATGAGAGATTTTACCTATGTTGAAGATATTGTTCATGGTATTGTGAACTCGATGAAATATGGAGAACGTGTGAGAAGAGAAGAAGGGCGTGCTGTTCATGATGTATTCAATTTGGGAAACAACAAACCAGAGAGAGTTGTGGACTTGATTAAATACATTGAGACTGCATTGGATAAGAAAGCCATTATTACACTTTCTAAAAAACCACCAACAGACATGACCATGACATATGCTGATATAACTCACAGTCAAAAATTGTTGAACTATGAACCAAAGACCAAACTCCAAGTTGGCGTTCAAAAGTTTGTCAAATGGTATCTTGACCATTATCACTTCTCCAAGAAGAGTGAAACTGATAATGTCATCTTTACGACCTACTTTGTGACGAAAGGACATCCTGAGAGAGATGAACACTATCATGACGCATGCTTTGAACCCATGAAAGAGTGGTACGACTCTGTTCACAAGCACAACTTGAGAGCAGTCATTTTCTATGATGATGCTAAACTCTATAACAAGTGCCGATTTGACAAATTGACCAGTTACAATGTGAAATTTGAACTCGTTCAGCTCGGAAATCGTTCCACTAATGACGAAAGATTCTTTGTGTATGAACAGTACCTTAAGAGAGCTCAACAACGATCTACGACAGGTCTCAACCTCGTCCCAAAGAGAATTCTCATGACTGATCTTTTCGACATTCGATTCAACAGAGATCCATTCGAATACATGGCTTCCTTTGACACACCATGTCTGCCTGACAACCAGAAAGATAGTCCTTCCTCCTCCAAGTTCATCAGTGACAAACTCTTTATTGGTTCCGAACCCACTACCATTCGTTCCTCGATTTGGGCTCAGCAAAAACTCGCCCAATGTGGAATCACCATTGACCAAACAAGAGGAACTTTTTATTACAACGCCTCCCTTCCAGCTCCATTCAACACTCTTTCTCATAAGGAAACTTCTCTAGATTCCATTCTCCTTAATCCAGGAATTGTCGGTGGCTCCAGTGAAACTGTCTTTCGATTGTTGTCCATCTACAATGAATTCCTAAAAGCTTCTCCTGTACAGGCCAACTGCAACACTCCTGTTTTTAACATGCTCATGTATCAACATGAAGAATTTCAAAACAATCAATTCCGAAGTGAAGAGGGTGACAACATGATGACAGCATCATCCAGTGACCATTTACGTTACATTACTGGTCAACCCTTGCATACTGTGTTTAAGGCCTTTGACCTCTCCGACACCTTTTACATTAAACACAAATAGAAAAAAGAGGTTCTTCCACATCGTGTTGTATGTACAACACACGTTTATAATATAGCAATAAAACGCTCACTAGTTCCCAGTGTAGTGTGGTGAGCTCGTTCTTATTCATCCTGTGCAGCTCCAGAGAGAGTCATCGCATCGGAATTTGCATCGGATTTAATTAAAAATTTTTACAACAACAACTTCCCGAAGGCACCACTCCTTCAAAAAAAATCGAAAAAAAAATTCTCAAACAACAACAACAACCTTCAGCTTACCATTGTTCAGCTGCTGTTTGTCTTTGAACATCCTTCTAAATTCCGAGAGAGTTTTTTAATAATCAACCTATTGTACCACTAGTATTCATCATGCCAGTTCTTGGAATTGATTTGGGCTCTCAAAATTGTGTTGTGAGTGTTGCAGGACGAGGAGGCATTGATATTGTTACCAATGAATACTCTCGAAGATATACACCAGTTTATGTTTCATTCTCTGAGAATGAGCGATTGATTGGTGAGAGTGGTATGACTGCTCAAATTTCTCATTACCAAAGAACCATTTCTCTCCTTAAAAGATTCATTGGATTGAAGTACAGTCAACTTACACCAGAAGTCTTACACGCCAATACCTCTGTTCCTATCATTAAAGGACCTAATGATGAAATTTTGTTTAAGATTGAAGGATACAAACTCTCCGAAAGCGACACTGAATCAAAACTTCTCGATCCTATTCAATTGTTGGGTATGCTTTTCGGTAAACTTTTGGATGATGTTGAAAAATCACTTGGTGTTCGTGAATCTGATTGCGTTGTTACCGTTCCATGCTACTTTAACGAAATTCAAAGACGCGATATCGTAAAAGCAGCAGAAATTGCTGGTTTGAATGTTATTCGTGTGATGCATGATGTCACTGCGGCAGCTTTAAGCTATGGTATTTACAAGGATTTCACAGATGAGCCACAATATATTGCGTTCGTTGATGTTGGACACCATGATACCTCTGTCTATGTGATTGAATTCAAAAAGTCTCAATTGCGTGTTGTATCGTGTGCCAGCGATCCTCATTTGGGTGCTTATGCTTTTGAAAAGGCTTTGTTTGATTACTTTGTTGAAGAAATTAAGAAAAAGTATAACATGGATGTCACTACAAATCCAAAGGCTACCATTCGATTGGCAAGAGAATGTGAAAAGTTAAAGAAATTCTTGAGTGCTAACCCTGTCTCGAATATGAGAATTGAATGCCTTATGAATGAAAAGGATGTCTCATTCCAAATGAAGAAGGACGAATTTTTACAATTGATTCAACCAGTATTTGCGAGATTTGAAGCACCAATTGCTAAGGCAATGCAAGCAGCTCAATTAACATCTGACAAACTCACTACTGTTGAATTGTTGGGGGGTGCTTCGTACATTCCATACGTCAGAGAAGCTTTATCTAAAATTTTCGGAAGGGACGTTCAATCCACATTGAACACTACTGAATCCGTTGCTAAGGGTGCTGCCATTCAAGCTGCCATGATCAGCCCAAAGTTCACTCTTGCTCGTGAATTTAACGTTGTCGATGCAGTTTATCATCCTGTCAACTTGGGTTGGATACCAGCAGAGAATGAAGGAGACAAGATGATTGACGATAGTGACGAATCTGTTCTTTCCGTGTTGAAACAATCACCACTTTTCAAACAATTCGAAGGTACACCATCCTCAAAGATGCTTACATTCAACAAAAGCAAGCCATTCGATCTCTACACAGTGTACGGAGATATGTCTTCCATCACTCCTGGAACGAGTCCAATCATGGCCAAGTTCACAGTCACTGATCTTCCATCTCGTTCTGAGCCACTCAAGATTAAGGTCAAGATGAGACACAACTTGTTGGGATTGGTTGAAGTTCAAGAGGCATCTGCTACAGAAGAAATTGAAGTTGAAGAGGAAGAACCAATTCCAAAGGAAGAATTGGAACAACAACAAAACAAGATGGATACATCAAGTGAGGAGTCTAAGACAGCAGAACAACCAGCATCTGCTACAGAAGAAAAGAAAGAGGAAAAGCCAAAGACTAGACTTGCTAAAAAGAAGAAAACTGTCAAACACAATTTGAAAGTTATTTCCACTGTTCCTGGTATTACACATGAAGCAATGAAAAAGTATCAAACATTCGAACAAACCATGAGAAATCGTGACTATGAAGTTCGTTCCACTGCCGAAGCCAAGAACAGCGTTGAAAGTTTCTGTTATGCAACCAAGGACAGATTATATGAAGGCGGTGATTTGTATGAATTTGTGAATGATCAAGAAAGAGACAACTTTATGAATATGTTGGATGAAACTGAAAGCTGGTTATATGGTGAAGGTGAAAATACTACTAAATCAGTCTATCAACAAAAACTTGCTGAATTGAAGAAGATTGGTGACAGAATTGAAAACAGACAGAAGGAATTTGAACAACGACCATCAGCAGTTCAACAATTACAAGATACCATCAAAGAATATCAAACATTCCTTGAGAATGCCAACACTGAGCAATACAATCACATCACTCCTGAGGAAAAACAAAAAGTGGCAGACAAGGTCAACGAGACTGTGAATTGGCTCAATGAACAATTGTCTCAACAATCACGACTTGCCAAGAGTGATGATCCAGTTTTGACAGGAGCATTCCTCGAGAACAGAAAGAAGGATTTGAAGAAGATTTGTTCTCCCATTGTGACCAAACCAAAGCCAAAGGAAGAACCAAAGAAAGAGGAACCAAAGAAGGAAGAGCCAAAGACTCCAGAAACCACCACTCCACCAACAAAGGAAGATGCAAAGATGGATGAGTCCCAATAAACACACATTATTGCCCTCAAATTACCGTTTGTTCAAAGAATCAGAAATCGATGATGCAATTCGAAGATTTTGTTCTCATCTTCAAAAGTCCTCGTTCTCATCAAACCAAACGAAACTAATGTTTAAGACTATTGGCAATAAATGGATGGAAAAAGGCATCAAAACAGTCTCCAGAAACCAAAATTAATTTCGAGCATTCTCGAGCTGGTGTGGTTGGAATTATTCCTTCTTTTACATTGTTGTCAGTGTTGCCAGAGACTTTTTTCTTGTGAAAATAATGACATAAACTTCATAGTCTGAAATTGTTTGGGTTCTAATGTTCTTGATTGTGAATCATCATTCAAAAACTTATTTTGTGTCACAAATAATACTTTTTTGCCATCCGAAGTAAATGCGGGTAAAAAACCATCAATTCCTTTTTCATTCTTTTTTGCCTTCGTGACTATATTATTGGTTATTTGGTTTGTTGATATTGATTTATCAGTTTCATTATATCTGAAATAAGTTGCATCAATCTTAGCTCTTAATTTCTTTTCGGGAGAATTGATGGCATATGTGCTCCTTGAAAAAGATCACCTACAGAAAAAGTAGATATAGCCTTATTTGGTTTCAATTTGAGAATATAGTTCAGTTTGCAGGTAATTGTTTTCAAACATAGCTCTTCGAATTTTTCCCAATCCGGTTTTGTTGAAGTAAAAATAAAGTGGTTGAATAAGCTTTTTGGAATTTTCTCATTTGATTCTGAAAGTTTATCAATAGCAAGAAGTGGTATTCCGAAATGTACACCACTTTCACAACATTGCTGTAAATATTGCTTATTTTTTTGTCTAATGGCATAGTTGTATTGTTTTTAATTTCTTTGGCTTCTCTAACTGCCCATTCTAAATGTCTAGGCACAACACCAATGATACTCCAAAACATCTTATATTGTGGTGTATAGAAATCTGTCAATTCTTGCTCTTTCATAATAGCTTCGACATCCTCTTGTCACAATGATGGTAATGGGACAGTTGTTATTTGGTAGCCAGTTGGTTCAAATCTGGTATCGGATTCCAATAACGTTCCTGAGAATGATGGAAATAAAATCAATCCATGTTTTTTCTGAAAGTTTCTCATATACCATCCAATTTTATGTTGCAATTGTGTATTCAGATTTTGATTGAATCTGGTTACTGTTTGATACTCATCAAATGCCAGAATAAGAGGTATTGGAATCGATTGCTCGATTTTAAATTGTTCATGTAATTTTGAGCTTATAATTCGGAGAAGTTCATTTAAAAAATAATCATTAGTTATTTTTGGTAATTGTTTAGCAATTCTTTCTCCTTGCTCAAAAGCAGCGTAAATGATTCTCGATGAGATTAAAGAAATAATACTGCAATCTCTTTCAACATCATTTTGCAAAACAAATCCATTTGTAAAGTTGAAGTAAATGATTGAAGAATTCTTAAAAATATGTTGTGGTTCGGCCTTCGAAAGAATTTTGACAACCTCAGACATAATTCGAGTTTTTCCACTCCCACTTCCACCTTTGGCGATCAAAAAAGTCAAGTCTTGTTTGGTAATGTTTTCTTGTTGACTTGCTTTATATTGTGCTGAACTTAAATCTAAAATTGCTTTTTCTGCTTGTTCTCTATTTAGCAATTTCTTGAAAATCAGGCGATCCAAGCCATGGCGAACATGTGATAAATTTCTCAACTTTAGTTCATTGATCTATTGTAATAAATTCAATTCTTCATCAGAAAAATATGACGTGTCATCATATATATATTTGTCTGGAATGTAATTTGAGGCTACCAATTGCAGTTCTAAAGTTATACTTAACTGTGTTTCAATTATCCAAATTACTTACGTTTCATCTTCTCAAAATCGAACAACGGCACTTCTACCTTGTTGTTTTCTATCAATTCTTCCTTTATCCAATTCTTCACCTTGTCACGAGCATCCTTGTCATTTTTAAATACTTCTTCCATGATACCATTGAGAGTCTGTTCATTTCCACTTTGTTGAGCCTTCTCGAACTCAAAGACAATTTTTGAGAGAGATATTCCATCAAAATCTTCATCGTACAAAGATCTTCACCCAATTTACCACTGTTGAACAAGTACTTTGCAAAATCTACGTCGTGCCTCTTGATATTCTGAACAATGTTATCCAGAGAAGTGCCATCAAAATCAGCACTGTATAACAGGTTCATTTTCTCAACTGACAATGAAGCTCCACCTTCACGTTTCTTCATACGAAGAAGAGAAGCAACCTCTTTCTTTGTCCATTTCTTGTAATTTTTGAATGAAAGAACAACTGTGGACGCTTGTTGTTGTGGTTGAATATGAATAGGAGAATTTAAATGAGTGGTTGGTTGTGTTGATTGTGGTGGTGATGTAATACCTGATGATGAAGCAACACCTGATGAAGATGGATTTGATGATTTCTTCTCCTCCTCTTCCTCTTCGTCCTCCATAATTGAAGATAATGAGATTTTGATGTATTCATCCGAGTTTGAGTTGTTTTGTTTTGGTTTTTTTGCTTTCTTCTCTTCATTCAACATTGATTCACTTTCTTCTTTCTCATCATCGGAATTATATTTTCTTTTGAATTCAGAATTTCCATAAGGAAGAAGTTCTTTTTGCTTTCCCTGCTTTCTCTGTTTGTAGGTCGCAGTGCTGATGTTCCTCTTGTTCGTTCGAGCGAGCTTTTGAGAGATATTTTTTTTTGTAAAAAATTAATACCTCAATAAAATTTGATCCCTACCGATGACAAAACTATCAAAAAATCTCAGTGTTTCCCTCATCAAAGTTAAAGGACACATTCATACATGCAATGTAATTGCTGATGACCTCGCTAAAAAAGGAGCCAAAAACATCAATTTCCTAAACATCAAACGTCTCCTCTCTAACAAAAAATTGTTATTGACAGATTTTTATACACCACAAAATAAGGTGTTTTGGAGTATCATTGGTGTTATGCCTAGACATTTAGAATGGGCAGTTAGAGAATCCTTGTGTTTTATTGTTGCCAATCTTCTTCTTTCTGTGTGTTGGTTGTGATATTGCTTCATTTGCCAATGACATTCGACAGTTATGATAGTTTGTCGAAATGGAAATATTTAATATTTAAAAGAATTGCGATTATATAATAATTTATTCATCTGTTTGATCCTCATTCTCTTGATCACTTGCTTCTTTCTTTCGAGGAATAAATCGTTTCATGTCCTCAATACTTGGATCATGTTGTTGGGTGAGCACAATTTCATGATATTCATCAAGAACAGGCAAGACAAATTGAGGAGAAAAAACTTCACCACCTGTTTTGATTCCATAACCAATGTACACATTGGCAAATACCATGTCTTTTGGATTCCTCTTGTAGCCAACGCAATGAGCTCCTTGCCAAATCCTGCTTGAGAGGGCCACCACCTCATTGTCAACCAACATTCCACAAGTGCGAGCAATCCAATTCTCTTCTGAAATGCTCGAGAGAGGCTTTGGAATTCGCTCTACAGTTTTCTTCATGTCTTCAAAATCGGGTTTTTCTTTTTCTTCCTCGGTCCAGTATTGAGTACATCTTCCTTGCTTTGAAAGAATGGTTGGTAATAGATTAACCCAATTGGTGACTTGTGAAATGTCCAAATTTTTGATCTTTTCTTCAAATTCTTCATCTTTTTCAACAGTTGGCAATTCGTCCTTTGCTAGAGTGACATTGGGAGGCAATTTGAGTTCCTCATGTTCGGTTTCGTCCTCTTCAGTGCTCGATTTCATTCTTCCTTTTGGAACAAGTATTGTTGAGTGAGAAATTCGAGCAATTTGACTTCGCAGCAGGTCAATTTCTTTACCTTTGAAGGGTGGATGAGAAAGAACATCATGTTCTAGCTTTCCTGTGAAGAATTTCTTAATTTTTCTACTCCTGAGAATATATTCCGGCTTTGCATCTGGCAATTGTGTCCACATGTCAACATCACATCCTGCCGTGTTCGACACATAGTATATATATTTGTTGGTGCCTTCAACTTCAGGTGGAATGTCTTCAACTTTCTTTGTTTCTTCTCCAGTTTCATTTTCAGCTTCATCCTTTGTTTGCTCTGTTTCTAAAATGTAGTAATTATTCTCAATTCCAAGAATTTTTCCAAAGAATCGAATAGAGTTGATTTTCTTATTGGCTATCACTAGAGCATTCATAGAAACCAACACTTGAAAAAGTTCCATTTCTCCCAAACCAATACCTGCATCTCGAAAGAGCTTTCCTTCATACAATAAATCTGACATTTTCAGATCATCGGCTCCTTCTTCCTCCGTAGCTTCTTCTCCTCCTTCCTCATCGGAAACATTTGTCTTTGTCTTCACCGGAGGATTCACGATCTCCACATATTTTCTTGCTCGCTGCGTATCCTTTTCCAAAATATTCTCATCATCAATTCCCATCCATGGTTTATACAATTTTGTTAAACGTTCGTATGCCGATCGTTCCTTGGGAGGTACAAACGTACCATGTTTGACGAGGTTGCAAAATTGCTCAATCATACCGTAAGGATTCTGTGGTTTTTCTTCCAATAATTTGACAATCACTTCGGAAAAGAAATCTTCAATGGTCATGGAACCCTTTCCTCCTTCCGAACCTTGTTGATTGTTGCTGCTCAGATCCTTACATTTAACCGTTGATACTATTGAAGACATTTTTAGGAAAAAAATGATGCGTGAATGTGTCCTTAATTTTTTTTTGAAATTTTTTGTAAATATTTTTGGCGGGTTTTAAAAATTTTGTCTACATTGGAATTGGACATCTGACAGCCTTTCCCAATGATCAGAGAGTTGCTTGAAAAGGCATGCCTTAAATCGAAGGACTTCTTTCGTTTGTTCCCAATCCTGACCGAGCATGATCATTGTGAAATCACAACCGGGAGCTAAAATTAATAATTTCCATGAAGGATTTTCTTTGAGAAGCTTGTTGATCGATGTCACGGGTTCATCCTTCGCAGATCCATTGCCATAAACTCCCAACTGTCGATCATTATTACTACCAGTTGCAGTAAGAGTTCTTGTTTGTGGATTGTATGCAAAATGTGAACAAAAGGATGGATAGACATCATACTCGAAAGGATATCTGGTGTTGTCAATAATCGTTTGTCGCAAATTTTCAGATTTGAAGCTTAGTACTCCAACTGAACTTGAATTTAAATTTAGAACTGAGTGATCACGTACGAACGTTGAACTTGAATTTCCAGAATATTCTCGAACGTATAATGCTCCAGATGTCGTGCAGAAAGCAACACCACCTTTTTCCATTCTCACCTCTTTTAGTGCTTGGCCTGTTGTTTTCAAAATATCCACATGAGAAATAGTGCTAGAAATAGAATATAAATGATTGTTATCAACCACAACCATAAAAACATGATCACCACTTCCAACATGTGTGAATTTTTGGGTTGGACCTAATTGTGTAATCAATGAAGAAATATTGTGAAATACCTTGATATACGATTTGGAAATTGAAATGTGCGAGCAATAACCTGCAAAATATACATTCTTCTGATCGGATGAAATGAATGCAGAATGAAACCATCCTGTGCTGAACATGTAGGGTTGATACACTTGAATGTTATTTGGTTTAAATAAACATGGTTTTGGTATTTGTATGTCACCATCTTGCCCAACAGCACATTGGAAATAGCTAAATATGTAAATGATAAATAATTTCCATGATAACAATTTCAATAGTGAGCTTTTTTTCTACAAATTTAATAAAAATCATCCTACATACTCATTTCGACCAAAAGCAAATATTTGCCCATCCATTGCTGAATGTTGTAAATTCATACGAAAAATAGTTTAAGAATTTTATAAAATTATAATGAATGATTTGATGAGATGACAGCTGATTTGGAGAAATGAAACTCACTTTCGAAGATTGTATGTGATCTTCCACATGAGATTTTTCGAACTGCATCATGATCTTGAATGACTTTAACAAGATGGAAATTTCCATCATCATGGGAGTGCCCACTTTGATAACTTGATGTCAATCCACAACTCTTTTTCCGCATACACGTGAATACAACAAAAATTAATTGTTTTAATATCCGATCCGTTCAGAGGATTTAGTAAATAAAATTGTTTCATTAGATCATCCACAGATCGATAATGATCGTTTGAATTGTTTGAATTGAAAACGTACATAAATTTTACGCATTTTTTTAATTGTTGAAATAGTCTGGTAAGAGCAATATATTAATTCAAGAAAAGGCCTTTACAGCTCAATCAATTCTTTTTTAGCGTCTTGTTTAGGTTTCTTAGCTGCTTGTGAGTGATAGTGTTGTTTTGATAGAATTTGAGAAAGAATACGCTTCTTTTCTCTCAATTCATTCTCGTCAGTGTCCTTAGTAATTGAGTTAATGGTAGAGTAGAACTCTTGTTGAGTGGAAATGAAGGTATCGATAATTTTCTCGTCACGCTCCAACTCGTTATCATTGTGTTCAATCATTTTCTCCAATGCTTTGGTTAATTTTTGCATGTGTGCACAATTGTCGTACTCTCCATCTTGTTCAATTTTTCCAAAGAAAATCTCCTGAATGTATGCATTATTTCGTAAATATCGATGTAAAGCCTGCTTGTATACAGTTTCATCCCACGTCTCAGAAATGGTGAGTCCATTCTGTTGTGCAGAGGGTGTATTCATCTTGGAGGTGGCATTCAACATGGTGAAATCCTCACTGCCCAAATCTAAACTTAATGCATTGGCCATGTTTTGTTTCACATCTTCAATGGCTTGATTCACAAAAAGGCTCGGATTCAAAAGCCACGATGTATCATTTGGATACGAAGATGCTCCACCACCAACACCACCCGTGGCCGGAGAAAACATTCCAATCATGGGTGATGAGAAGGATTGTGGAGAAAACAAGCTTGATGACGAATAGGGTGAAACTAAGTTGTTGTTGTTGTTACCAGTAACATTGCTTCCGAACCGAGGAGTAGCAGGTGTTGTACTAAAGATGGCGCTACTTGAGGAGGTTGGACTTGTACTTCCAGCTGCTGCCGATGCTGCTGCATTGCTACTCGATGATGCATCCTTCTTCTTCTTACGGGATCGGCTCGACTTTTTCTGTTCTTTGGCGAGGCTTTTCATGAATTTCTTCAAATCATCCTCGTCTTCCTCACGATGAGTACCCTCACCACCAACAGCATCATCATCGCTTTCATCGTCGGCCGATGACTCTCGTTTGCTTCCTACTACAGGAGCAATACCTTCTTCTTGGCAAAGTTCGTGATAATTGGATGTTCTTCTCAATTCAAGTTCCAATTCTTCATCATCTTCAATGACTTTTCCTTTGATTAATCCGTTCTCTATGAGTTGATTCCAAGTACCAAAATACAATGGTTGATATTTGGTTAGCTCGTCATAAATAATCGGACAACATTTTCGAAAGTGATTCTTAAAATTGGTACCAAAGTTACCAACCGCACGATCACACATGGGACATACTCGATAGGTGGTGGTTTTTCTCTTTGATTTTCCGGGTCCCGATTGAGATTCTGTGTTGATGTATCTGATAATGCTGCTGTCCGTGTCTTGAATAATTCGTTCCAAAATTTGTTTTATTTGTTCATCGCTCAAGTCCTCATCGGCTGATTTTTTCTTTTTGCTCATTTTTTTTAATTTTTTTTTAATTTTTTTTAAATTTCTTGCTGTTCAATGGAATTGCTCTTTTTCATTTCTAATAATATATATATTAATTATTAATATATGACAAGATCTTGTAAATCTCCTCCAAACTCTTTAAATGATTTTTGTGCCCTGCAGAAACGTAAAATCATGTTTGAGAGTTCATAGGCAGTGTGTGAAATAAATTCTGCAAGTTGAATCAATTATTGATTGCATGTTTGTAGACAGTACTTGCACACACTCATGTCACAACTCCATCAACAACAGCAATATAAGCACCACCAACAAACACTTCCATGGAATGACCATTCGAAAAATTGAATGATCGAATAGTCATAATGATCTTGTGAAGAAATCAACAAGGCAGAATCATCCATAGTATTACTATGATATATTTTCCTCAGTACTTGCTTGTTGTCTCCTTAACTCTTCTCTTTTTTGTTCAATCTCTCGAGTGACTTCCAAATATTCCTCCCAAACACAATTTTGACATCCATTTCCACAACACACACTCGTATATTCTTCCATATCTGGAACTAATTTTTCTAATGATTCCAAAGAACGACATTGATGTATTTTTGAAAGAAGGTCTACTTTGTTTTCATATCTATTCTTGATGGCAGTATGGTACGTGCGAAAAAGAGTAGCCGTCGTTGTTATTGAAGGCAATTTCCAATAATAATAAATATAATCATTTCCATAACAGCACAAATTTACATTCCGAATTTTAGAATTGAAAAATAACAGCTTTGATGAAAAACAACTCCGAATGGAATTCATATTGAATTTTTTTGGTGTAGCAACAAGTGGTGGTCCATGAATGGATGCAATATTTTTTTTAATTATCATAAAGGAATTGTTTGGCAATTTGATATAATCCTGAATGAATGGATTCTATCAAAATTATCGATATTGATTTACGTGTCATTGTGATGACAAGCTTGATGGTTGTCAACAATTATTTCTTTAATGAATTGTTTTTATATTTTCAAAAAAATGCTTCAACCTCATCGCAAAGGAACATTGCTCAGGAAATTTTCATCATCACTCGGAAAACAAGTCTTGTTGGGTATCAATGGATTGCTGAAACAACAACAACGGAGAAATGTACTCCTATTAAATGGTATCACCCAACAAGCCTCATTTCATAGAATTCTTAGAAATAATAATTCCTCAACAACGCATCACGATGGACCTTTTAATTTGAAGGAAGAAACAAATCATGCCATTCAACGAGTTTTAAGATCATCAGTATTCTCGGGATTTAATGCTATTGAAAGAAATTTTCATTACTCGGTCGGAAAACAAGACTCGAGATTTACGCTCACAAATTATTCTGATAATGATCCCGATTTTGAAAAACCAACATTTTCAGGAAAAGTCTCTAAGAATTATGTTCCTTTCCATGCGAGACCAGGTGGTATACCACCAGAATTACTGGCCGCAAGAAAACACCAAAAAGAGGAAAATCCAACTGGTATCATGGCAAAAACAGTGGGTCTTACAGTTTTAGTTGTTTTTATACTCTATCAAATTGCTTCTATTCAATTTGTACAAACAACAATGAAAGAAGAAGTATTGAGAAAAACTGCTGTTGTATTTAGGAGAAGAATTATGGAGTTACAAGTCACGAAAGGAGCTATTGAAAATCAAGCAGTCGATGCTATCATTATTCCAAGCGATGATAAACTTTCAAACAATCAGGGAGTCTCAGAACGAGTGGCCAATGTTGCTGGACGTAACTATTCGGTAGAATGTGCTACAGTTTTACAGAAAAATCAGGGATCTCTCAAACCAGAGCAAGCACTCGCAACATCCAATGGAGGAGTAGATGCAACTTTAATGTGTAAAAATGTCATTCATGTGTTGCCACCAACATGGAGTGGAGGAAGGAAGAAAGAAGCTCTACAACTCGAGCGTACCATACTTGCTGCACTTGCTAAGGCCGATGAGGTGGAAGCAAAAACTGTCTCCATGTATATGCTCAATGACTCTAATTTTCCCAAGAGAAGAGCTGCTGAGATTACCATTGATGCTGTGTTGAAATATGCATATGAAAGAGATGTCGGTCAAAACACACCCAGCACACTTCAGATTGTCAAATTTGTGAATGATGATGAAGAATTTAATGAACAATTGCTTGCAGTTTGGGATAAAAAGAAAACAAAAGGTCAATTGGTTTAATTTCATGAAACGATCTGTTACCTTTGTGTGTAGTTGAGCCTCAATGAGCGAGCTTCATTAATACATATTTTCTACAAATTTGTCACTGTCTCGTTAAGCATATTCTTGTAATCCCAATAGAATTTAGGGCTATAAAAATCATTGGCATAATAAGAGGTGGAATGATAGGGAGCTTGTTCATTGGACTTTCCACACTCCCTTATAATTCGCTTGTTGACAACATTCACCACTACGCAAGCCAACAACAATACGGCGGTCAACAGTGCCATCATGGTAATGTGGAAAATAAAGAAGGAACTTTGAGGTAATTTGCTTGCAAAAAACAGCATGCTGTAAATTGAATACAAAATCAATGCAGCCAACATCAATTCCACAAGAACCGCCATGTATCGTCTGTGAGACACATAATCTGATTTAAATCCAAAGATACTTCCAAAGGGTTGTCTCACAATGTCGTTATGAACATTCATTTCCTCGTCACCAATATGATTTGTAGGTGTACGCTTGGTATTTGTTGCTGCTGATTCAAAGGATGGACATTGAGGAGCGTCACTCGTTATATAATTGGTTTGTTTCTTGAGTGAATGTTGAATTCGACGATGAGAATAATTTCTTGCAATAGAAAAACGATCCACAAAATATCTCAATGTGAAATATACAAATCCAACTAACAAAATAAATGGTGAAAATGCACTAAAAGTCATCATGATCACAAATACGGTAAAAGTAGTTGAATATTGAACATCCAACCATAAGGCAGGTCCTTCTGCCCATTTCAACTTATCCTTTGATTTCATATTTCGATGAAATATTTTCACTTTCTTCCATACTGGACTTGTACATCGAGTCATGACTAAATACATGATCAAAGAAACCAATGGCATCACTGTAAATGTGAGTCCCCATAATGTCTTATTTAAAATAAAGTTCATAAACAGGGATCCATTGTCTGCCATAAATAAATTCGAAAAGACGACACTCCAATTATTGGGCTTGGTGAAAAAATTGGTAATTCCATCCAATGAGGTCAATACAAGAGTTGGAAAGATGAAAGTGTTAAGCCACAGAAAGAGTGTCATTCTTCTCAACAGGGTTCTCTTATACTCTCCATACGTTTTGAATTTTTCAAATTTTGTTAAAAATGTAATCAGCACAGGAATCAGTGCAGAAGTCAACAACAACAGAATGGATGGCAAGTATTGGAAAAAGAAAGCAGCCATTGGACCTCCAAAACTCACAATTTGATCAATCACTTCTCGTATTTGAGGTATTGTAAACAATGCATCCACACTTGAAATGATTGTGACAGGAGTGGTTAAAAATACCAAAATTAAAATCATGAGAATAAAGATGACTACTCGAATGAGCACAGGTTTGATCCATGTTTGTTCATATCGATCATAGAGTGAATCCCAGTTAATATCTCGTTGTTCGTATTTGGTTGGAAATGCTCTCATGTGAACTTTCTTGACTTTTTTTTCAGAATTTGAAGGAAGAGCATTTCGTTCCGATCGAGTCAGAATGTGAGCAATCTCCTCACCATTCTCATCTCTCACTCTTCTCTTATAAGCTTGAATATAGCCTCCAATCGATGTGTAATTCTTAAGGGCATTGTGAAGAGCTTCTCGTGAAGCAAATACGACATAACCAATGCCACTTCCTAATACGGGACTATTCACACGATTCGGATAATTACTTGAATAATCCAATTCTTCCTCAATTTCCATGATCTCATTATAGAGTTTAATAATCTTTCGTTTGGTGTACGAAACGGCATCGACGTGTTGAGCAAAAACTCGTTTTTTCTTTTTTGAATTTCCATTTTCATCAGAATTTGAAGCATGACGCAATGGATGATGAGAAGGAGAAGGTGGAGGTCTCATTTCAGATTTATCCTTCTTTTCGAAAAAGATCCATTTCTTTGGTCTTTTTTCATTCTTTTTCATTAACCAATTATAGGCTTCCAAATTTTCCAATTGTTTCTCGAAACGTTCTTGCAATTTCTCTCGTTTTGAATAATTAATGACATGATACGCTGAGACGATATCTGTATTTTTAGGAGCATTCAAATTTCGAGAGTATTCACTGAAAATCTTTTGCATGACCTCCTTAAAGAGCGCCTTATTCGTAAAATGTTTTGGAATGTTGTGAATTTCGAGTGTAAATGGAGAGATGAGTTGTAAAAACCGCATTTCATCATGAGGACACCCCAGTGCCATATTTTGAGCCTGTAAATAAAAGTCACAACCTGCATAACATCCCAAATAAGGTGAAAAAGAACCGTAAATGCCTTCCTGATCGCATCCTCTGTAATTAAATGTCTTTAACGAAGGATCATGCAAAAAGAGAAATCCCATCAAAAAGAGCCACAGAGTTACTGAGAATATGGTGAGAAAGACATGCACTACGAGCACTCCTGGTAATTTTAGGACTGTGTTAATGGAGGAAATGACTAGAAATTGATCATTGGCTCCAACTTTCAAGCCAGTGCTGTTCGTTGTGAATTTTTCTCTCTGAGTAGGATCCAATTGATTCTGTTGTGAAATGTGAATGGGATACAACAAGATACTGTACAAGAGTAAGAGAATGAGTAAGCCCCACCACATCAATTGATGAAATTTCAAATACATTAAAACATCTCGTCCATAAAATCGCAATACTCGTTTTTCATCCTTTCGAGCGTGTGAACATGAATGATGGGAAGAGTCAGAAGAAGAGTCAAGTCGTTTTCTCTTTTTCACAATGGCTAACATGATTAAGAACGGTGTCTCGAGAAGACTCATCGTGATTCGATAGAGGAATATTCCTCTTAAGGTCCAATAAGAGTTTGTTTTCTTTCCAATGTCTTTGACTTCCACATAGGCACAATTCTCATGAAATTGGTTTCGTTGTTTGGGTATTGGTGGAGGTGGCGGTGGCAGTGGTTGTGATAGTGGTGGTGGTGATGGACTTGCTGCTGTTGGTGATTGAGAGGAATTTCTTGTCGTCTGTTTTGAATCTTTGATTTCTTGATGATTATCTTGAGGGATGTTGTCTTGAGGACTCTTGTTTCTATTGGTGTTGTTGATGTTGTTGTTGTTGGAAACATCCTCTTCTTCGTGTTGATTCAATGTCAAATTGGGTGAAAGATCAAATGCTGTGCTGGGATGAATTTGAGAAGGAGTGGATGAGGTTTGCACTCGAAATAGTTCACTCTCTCGAGCCAAACACTTGGCGAGAAGTTTCTTCTTCTTCTTCACATTGAAAATGGTACATCTTCGAAAACAACAAACATATCCAATGGTGACGAATGCGAGAATAATCAAGTTGATTCCAATGGTGACAAACACTCCACCATTCTTAAAGAAGGGACTTTGTTCCACGTTGGAAACAATGCCAGCGGGTTGAAGAATACCACCTCCATGTTGTTGAGACATGATTCACCGCTTGATGCTCCGAATGTTGTTGTATTGTTGTTATGTAATTTAAATAGAAAGTTTTGTTGAATCAATGATTGGACTGTTGTTGTGTTCACTAAAATTATTTGTGTGTGAAATTGTAGAGAAAAAGAGAGCAATCAGATCGATCGTGTGGTCGTCGAGTATGAAAAGCTAAAGATGAGTGATTAGGCGAGACATGATCGAGCATGTTATACTTGCTCTTTTTGGAGTAATTTCTGATGTGGTTTTGTTCATAAATGTACATGATGAACATAAAATGGACAATTTCTATTTTCACACACACTTACAGAGTTCAATCACCAAAAATAATGGAAAATGATTGACAGCAATTCATTTCTTCACTGAATGATAATAACACATTACACCTTGGATCATATAATTCACTAATGATATTCCCTTAATTTCTTTGTGGGGAATGACTTTAGAACTCTTTGTCTATACACACTAGTGTACAGAGCCACAACCTTACAAGTGCTTTTGAGCTAGGACTGATTTGTAATGAGGAGTACCTCTATTCTTGATGTGTTCTTGTAATGGTTGATGAATGACAATGCCTATTCGATCAGCATTGGCATTCTCATCTTCTCCATAACATCCTTTGCTATAGTCGTATTGAACCACATAGGCAAAAAGTGTTCCCGTATCATTAAAGACGCCCACTCCTACTTGTCTTTGATAGGTCTCTGAAGTGTAAAGTTTTTGTTTAGAGTCCTTGTCCCAATAAAAAACTTTCTTGTCACCTAAAGAGTTGTGTTTTTTGCGAGTGTAAGATGAACAACATGCAAAACCATCAAAAACAATGACATCATTATTGTTGAGCAAATAACTTCTGAAGAATATGTGTCACAACATACCTCCTGTGGTCGAAAAAGTTCCATATGAGGGATTAAAATCAATAGAATTTGGTGGAAAAACATCTTGAGCAGTTCTATGACATTTGAAGATGAAATTAGAGGAAGCAAAGGTAGGATCAATATGACTAATCGAACATCGGCCTTCAACTGTGCTGTATGCAAAACCAAGACGATCTGGGAATAATTTCAAGCAATGCTTTTGTGTTTCACTTTTGAGAACACTCTTCCAAGATCGAACAGGAACGTTGGGTTGATGCAAATCAAAAAGTACAATATTACGTGGCTGGCTTGATACAATCATGAGGGGATATTTAATATCCATTGCTGTGATGCATCCATGAAGATTGATTTCTAATAACAAGGTCTTATCTTGATCTGATTCCAACAGGTCCCAAATTTTAACATATCCATCCCATCCTGTACTAATAATGCATTGCTCTTCTTGAACAAAAAAGATATGATTGACAGCATCTGCATGAGCTCCAATAATTTTGTTCGAAACGGTGAGAATATTTTTCTTTGAAAGGATTTGCTTGTTCTGATGATTGTTGGAATATTGTGTGAAGATTTGTTTTTCGGCGAATGCATGCTGCGTGAGACTGGAAGTGTCTGTTGTCTCAACCAAATCCTGAGTTTGATCCATACTACCAACTATTAATTCATCATTCACATCAAGTGTTGAGATGGTCATAAAATCTGTTTGGTCCTCTTGTATGAAATGGTTGGTCATCATTTGATGATCACGATCTCCATTGGAAAACGCTGTTGATGATGAATGGTGCATTGTGAAAAAGGAGGAAGAATTTGATTGAATATTTCCCTCTTGTTGTGCACTTTGGATTAAATTTCTCTTGTATTTCTTTAAAGCTCGGAACGGGAAATGTTGCCGAATGGTTCCATCTGTGTTGGCACTATAAATGGCTCCCGATTCAGGATCACAAGTGAAATATAATACTCCAATTGATGTTCCACCCTCCTCCTCCTCCTCTTCACAAACGTCATTGGTTGTTTTAAATTGAAAAAGAAAGTGAGATCGAACGAGTGATTGAAGACTATCTCCTCCATAAATTTGCCAACAACAAATGGTGCCATCATAGTGAGAGGATAATAAATATTGACATTCGTGGTCGGGATGTTCCAACTCTGCGTTTGAATTATGAGAATGATAATGACTACCCATCATCATCGGATCATCATCAAAGGCTAACACTCGACGATCAAGCCGCACAAAAGCAAGATGAGAAACTTCGGACACGGAAGCAATGGACGCAAATGTCGGAAACTCGAGTTTGTGTGTTTGTTGGGTGGTTGAGGGAAATGAAGACATTTTTTCAATAATATTGTTTGGAATTTGTAAAGTTGAACCGCAATTCCAATTTCTCTGTTAATATCGCATTCATTAGTATTCAGCTGAAAAAAGCAACAACTGTTTTGATCATGATGAGCTCATGACCTTGCCCAAATCTAAATTGGAGATTCTCGACTTGTCTACCATAATCATGATCAGCAAACAAAAACAGAGTGAGCATCAGACGCTTCATCACAAAGAACTCAAACATCCACAATGAACGGCAAACCTTCCATTAATTAGGGAAAAGATCAATGCCTTAGTCCAGTCATTAGTCCCACTTCTTTGAATATCAACCCGAAAATCCAATCGCTTATTTCATCAAATAAATCAATTTATCCATCTTTATCAACATCTCCAACAACGGAATTTTCAACAAAAAAATATTCTCTCGAGAGAACGTCTTCTCCGAAAAGAATCAATTCCTGACTATCTATTTCAATAAACGTTTTTGTCTCTCCATAAATTCGGTCGTTATAACGTTCCATCATCGATCTTCAATTTAAAATAAAATTTGCTGAAACGCAATCACAACCACCACCACCACCACACGACGGTGTTGCTTGAAGAAGAGTTGATTCCTCCTCTCTTGAGAGAGCCGCCTCTTGACCACACGTTTGGTTTTGAGCTCTGTTTGACAACAAAAACTTCTCAAGTTTTCATCCTTCTTTTTGCTTCCTCTAGTGTTGAGTTTTGCAAGTTCTTTATAGTTTCTCTCTTTCACAACTTGGCATTCCGAAGCTCCTTTCTCATCGAGAACAGTTTTGCAAAGCCTTTTTCAGAGTTGTTGTCCACTCCTTTTGACTCTGTACATTCTTACTCATTTCAAGTTGAATCTACGTATCAACAATTCTCTGTTCATCCGTGAGAGATTTATATTCATCAAATCTTACCCAATCTCTCCATTTGGATCTTGGATATTATTCAGCCTTTCATTATCCCCATTCATTGCTGAAAACCAACAACAACAACAAGATTAACAACACTATTCCTTCATCATATTCTCTCCGTCCGATCGTTTTTTCTCTCTCTAGGTGAATCCGAATTGACTCATTTAGATTCAGTCACTTCAACAACAACATGTTGCTCTCCACTCCTTCTCACCACAACAACAACAGCACTATCCATCCTTCCCAAAAGGTATCATCCAACACGATCACTACAATCGCCGCAATGAATCCTCCCACTCGTTGTTGTGGCATTCGTTTTGACCCTCCACTCAAAGAAAAAGAATCGACTGCTGCTTCTGCAGGCATTTGCCGTTTCTCCCTTCTCATGACTTCATCATCCTCATCATCGAATACAAGCAGCAATTCCAATATGTCTATGAAGGATTCTTCTATGAAGCAAAACAATCATGATACGACCTTCATTGTCGATGAAGGTGAAACTTTGTTTGGAAATGACGACATTCTCAGCCAACCTCATCATGAAGTGGAGTTATTGGACGCGTCTAATGATTTTAATTCATCTTCTCCCAATACGACACCCAATACGACACCCTCCAATCCCAATAATATCCTTCAGAATAATTCTTCAACAAATGCTCAATCTCTTCAATTGTATTGGATGATGCCCATGATGATGATTCAAAACTCATCATCAGCATCCTCTCTCGAATCCATGTCCGGAGTTGTTTCGTGCGTCAAGGATTCACAAGCCCATTCTCTCAAACGGAAACTTTCGGAGATGGAAACCCGTTCCGCTCCGGCCTCATTTTTGTCAACCACTCCCTCCGAGACCGACCCTACGTTACAACCACCACCTCGCTCCAAGATGAGACGACTGAGAAAACCACAAAAGTTACCATCATCCATCTCCACCGCATCTACCCTCTCGTCAAGATCTTTTTCCACTCCTCCCTTAACAACTCTTAATCAACAAGTAAGGTCTCAACCTCCTTCCACTTGTCTTGTTGTTTCTGCAGAGAGTACTTCCCAACGATTGTCCTCACCTCCTCCTCATTCTTCTTTTGATTGCTCCACTTCAGATAAATATTCCTCAGAGACTCTTCTCGATCAATGTTTCTCAGAGAGTGCATGTGATGACGACATCTTTTTGAAAGAAGAAGAATTATCAGCTACATTTGGATGTTGTGAAAGCACAGGTAGTGGTCATTCTAATAGCTCGTCTTCTCCTTCCTCTTCCATGGCATCGACGGAAGAGACTACTGACTTGTTTGAAATGACAAAAGTTTTGGAAGACAATAATGAATGTCATCTCAATACCAACACATGCGACGATGCCTCGACTGCTGCCAATCTGACCTTACTAGATAGTGTGATCATGATGGAGGATTTCACACAAAACCACAATTCGCCACAAACCACATTAGTGACACCACAAACTACCACTAGTTCAGCATTGTCGGAAGATTTTCTTTTCTCTTCGCTAGGCTATGAGAATGTGAATCCCATGGTGACCACCAACAATAATAATAACACTAACGGCCAATCATCTGCCATGAATACAACATTCTTCGCTCCTTTGAATGGAGGAGCAATTGCTCTCTTTCCAGTTCAAGCATCCATGATGTGTGGCGCTGAAATGCAAGCAAAGAATGTTATCATTCCACCACCATTGTTGTTGAAGAACAACACTAGTGGAGCTTCTGATGCAACAACATCGAGAAACTCTGCAACTACTACAGAAACACCACACGTTGTTGTGAAAAAGTCACTAAGAAGAGTCTCCAGAAACAAACAAAGACAGAATTTGCCTAATGGTGACTCAACAACGTTTTCTTCAACATCACCAACAACAAGCAGTTCAGTCTCTGCTTCTTCGACTGCAACTACTGCTGCAGACGCTTCCAGTACAACAAGTCAGCAAGCTCACTCCAGTCCATCCCAAGAGAACACAAAGCAGGACAAGAAAGCCCATTCCTCACTCCCGGATGTCAAGCCAACAACATCAAAACGACACAAATCACCCACATCCAACTCTCAGAAATCCAAATCTCGAACTAATACTGATTCCACCACAGGCTTAACTGTTTTTACCTTCTGTGATGGAGGTTATTCAATTCCTTCAGGCAAAAAGACAAGCAGCAACAATTTTGTGTCAGAGAGCTGCAAAAACTCCTCCAACTCCTCATCTGGTTGGAAGTTTCATCAATTTGATCGACAAAAGCAACCTTTGCGAGATTCCAGTGGTTTTACCTATCACTTTTATCAACCACACTCGTCCAAAGTAACAGACGATCACAATGACCATTAAACAATAAATTATTTAGTGATAATTGATTGAAATGATCAATGGTGTCTTTATAATGTGCTTCACTTGAGAATGAAATCCTATCGATAGGGCTACGTAAACTATTTCCGTTTCTTTACCGTCCTCTTTTTGAAATTGGTTGGGTCAACCAAACCATTGAAGGGCTTCTTTGAACTTCCATGAAAGTTGTTAACATTTTTAAATGGTGATGATGTTGGATCGTCTCTTTTTTCTGGTGAATATCTCTTTGCCGTGGAAAGATTTGCATTTTGGTCCATCTGCATTCCTAGCACCTTAGCATGAATGATTCGGTTCAAAGATGTGAACGCCAGCGTTGGACCATTATTCTCCCTTGTTGCCTTTAAGGGAGTGTTTGCTTTCTCGATTACTGTATTTACAAAGGGAGGGTTTGAATCGAAATTTGGGAAAATGGCTCCGTCCAGATCGAACGTAATCATGTGATCACTTTTTCTTACATCCTGGAAGGATTCTTTCCTGAAAATATTGGGAAGCTTGAACGATTCTTGTTTGTGCAATTTCTCTGTTGAATTATTGTTTGAACTTTTACAATAGGTCCCGTCCAAGTCAAATCTAGTGGAAACTTCTGATGAAGATGCTACCTCCTTTTGATAATTTTTGTCATAAACTGGTGCAGAAAACGGCTGCAAGTGCGTCTCATATTTGGGAGGACGGGGAAGCGGTTGGTGGCTCTTGTTAGCATTGGTTGGTGACACAGTTCTGTAGAATTTTTCAAAAGCTTCCTTATTATCTTGTTGGGTGTAGGTTAGGGAGGGTATTATTACATCTATTGATTTCTTCTTATTTGTAGTTTCATAGGGAAAAACGTAGGTTTGAGCGGGTGCTCCTGAAGATTTTTCGACTTGTCTTTTTGGAATTGGAAGATGCTCGGATCGAATAGGTTTGAAAGCTGTCTCTTGATTGTTCGGTGAGGGAGATGGGACGCTGTTCTGCAGAGCTTTCTCTCCCTCGGTTGTTGATGTTGTCACATTTTGAGTCTCACTCTTTGGAGGAGACTCTTGAGATGGTGTCTCTTCGTTTGAGGTCGACTGCTTTTCCTCCTCTCTAGCCGCTTTCGTCGCATTCTCTTCCTCTTGCTTCTCCACATGCTCCTGTGATTTCTCTATACTCTTGTCTAATTGCATTCCATTCTTCATGGTCACAAAGGGAAATTCAAATGGATTCGTGGACATATCAATAGACGATCCCTCCAACGACAAGGGTGATTTGGATGGAGATTTTACAGGGGTTGGTTTTGATTCATTCGATCTCAAATGATTCAACCATTCGTCAGCCGTAAGTGATCCAACTATTGGAGAAGTATTGGACGGATGTATGGTGGTTGTTTTTGATGGATGATTCATGAAAAGGGGTTGATCTTGGACCTGATGATCCTCCTTAGGAGGAGGAGGAGTGGCACGTTTTGAAAGCTTGGTATTTGGATGCTTTAAGAAAGTGTCGTTCAATACATTCATCTTGTTCAAGACAGTTTGTAAGGAATGAATCTCACCATCTGTACGTACAGATGCGTCTGCTGCTGCCTCAGAGGGATTTCGGAAGAATTGAGGTGAGTTACAGAGCGAGGCGCTTACGTTGGTTGTTTTATATCTCTTGGGTGAGCTGGTGGAAACGAGTTTGGCCAATGCTGATTGGGAGTGTTTTCTTCTAATCATGTCCAGAGGATGATGAAGAAGTGAGGGATCATTCGAGTTTGGGTGAAGCGAGGTCTGATGTTGGCCCTCAAAGAAGATTCTATCCTGATGAATTTTAATCATGATGATGAGTAGTAGGATGAGGATGATTAGGAATGAGTGAATCAATCAGTATCTATCGGGATTATAAATTATGATAAGTATTGCTCAAATAATTTAATCCAATTTCAGCAACTGCTTGTGGTTCCTTCGTTGAATTAATTTATTAAAAAACATGTCTCCGTACTCCAACAACACACACCAATTGTTTCTTTCCTAACTGAGGAGGAACTCTTTTTTTTAAAAATGTTTAAAAAAAAACCATCTCTCAACGACTCGTTGCAACTATAATGTAGAGATATATTGCAGTGATCACTATCAATAACGGATCACCTCTTTTAGAGTAATGATGATCATTCTGATATACATGTCTTATTCTGTTCCAAATTTCAACGCTGGTCGAGCAGTAAATTTTCAAAGAGATCTCAATAAGGGTAAAAGAAAAAAAATGATTCATTCCTCTCCACCCTTTACGCGCTCTCAATTAGATGATACTGCGAGCTCGGAAAGTAGAGAGGAGTCATTACCTCCTCCACCCGTGTTGGTTAAGGAACCTGCTCATTATCATACAGCGATGACGCCTGTTGGAACTAATCAGGATGATCATCCTTCGGCGATGAGTGGACGTCATCCACAGGGACTAAAGTATGATATGAGCTCGGACATGACCATATATCAACAGGTGCCAAGATCATCCTTCAAAACTCAACAACAAGGGATAAATATGATGAATAATAGTCCCTCTCATTATTCTAGAAATAGTTACTACACCCTCCTCGGAGGAGGAGTTAATGCATCCAACTCTCAAAATTGTATAAACACTGAACCTTTGTCAAAGCAACCAACATCAAACGTTAATACTTCAGTTCGAGGACTGCACCTTAATTCGAGTAATGTTGTATTGAATAAGAAGGAAGATATTCTTGACGCCCAAAAAACTTCAATTCTTGAAAAACCTTATATTGGAGCACATTCAACGCTATTTCCTTCTCCTTCAAAACATAATCACAAGTTGGATCCACCTATAGAGCTACATAATCCATCCAATTCATCATTTTTAAACTCCTCTCCTTCAAAGCAATATTCATTACTTTCATCCTCTGGACCTGTAAGTCCAATCGCAAAAGATTCAAGATTGTCTGCCAGTAATCAAAATTTTGTAGTGACAAAGGCTGGAACAAGTTCACATGGATTTTCTCACAATGCCTATAATTCCGCTTTCAGCCCAACAAAAAGAACCTTCCATAAAACCACCTTAAGTAGCATTTCCACACCATCTAGTTCTTATTTAAGGTCTGCAGCAGAAAAAGGAACTCCTTTGTGCCCTATCCACGAATTACCTGTGGACATTTTATGCACAGATTGCTCGGAACTGATTTGCGCCAAATGTTCCAGAACGCCACTCCACAACATTCATTCATGTAAGTCCATCGATGAATTGGATAGAGAAAAAGAATGCAGAGACGTCCGTGCAAGTGTTGAGGTGCTTGACTCAAGAATTAATGATTTGGAAATTAAATCTGGCTCGTCACACGATATTGAAGTGATTCATCAACTTCATTCAGATGCAGTTGATGAAATAAGGAAATCTTTTGAGCGAGCACGAGAATTTCTGTTTGAACAGGAGCAGGATCTAATTTCATCGCTCAATTTAATCATTCAGTCGAGGATCCAACTCAACACTGATATTATGGCGACAAAGCAAAAGATCATTCAAGCCTCTGCCAAGTTGTATCCAAACGATGAAATGACGAATTATGACATTGCTCAAAACAAGTACCAGCTAATCAATTCCATTAAGGACAAGGTCGAGTTTTTGGAAATTAAATTGAAATTCAACGGTTCATGCCTTGACCAAGATGTCCAAGAAATTAAGGAAAAAGGACAAAAATTAATGTCTCACATGGACGACCTTTCGAAACATTATGATTTACCATCATACTCTTTCTATCCCTTCCTTGCTAAGGTTGGAGGAAAGCAATCTTCAATGGAGTAAAAACTCAGCAAACTTGAGGAATAAATTCAAGGATTTTCTTAAAATCATCAACTATTCAGAAGTAATTATACCAATTTTGGTTCTTTCACTCGAGACAGGTTTTAATTTAGCAATTTCGATTTTGTGGGTGGAATGAATCATCTAATTTCTACAATGAATGGTACTTTAATAGCATACTATTTCCCTTAAAATACATACAATTAAAGTAGAATCTCTATATACACATGCACAACAACTTGGTATGTTACAAACTCATTTGAATTTTTTGGAAATGTAATCATAGGCCATGTCTAAAAACATGAGAGTGAGTGGTGCCAATGTGGAGTGACAAACCAAAAGTGGGAATCCACTGTAGAGAGCTGTAATACCTTCATTTTGAATGATGTTTTTCACTGTTTGAATGGTTCCTTGAGATGACGTTTTTTGTTCATCTTCGGCTGCTTCCAATTGCAAACGTCTCATGACTGTAACAATTGGATAGGTAAATAAGCTGGAGAAGGTCGAAGCAATGTTGCTGACCACAAGAGCACCCATAAAGGAATCCTTTTTAACCGGTACAATAGAGCCAAGCAAGCTGTAACCAGTAAAGTAAGCAACTTGATGAAGAGCAATTCCTAAAATGTGTAAATGATAGCCTCGGAACAATCCCGCAAGTCCAGTATTATCAATAACTTTTGAAAGCACTTGAATCACATTTCTGTTTTGTGGAGACATGTCCGATGCCAATTTAACACGAGCCATTTCAAATGGGTATGTAAAAAGAGGATCAAATATTATCGGAAGATAGGTGGAATTATTAAGCTTTGAGAAAATCGCTGACCTGATTCTCGGAGCAATTTTTGATAATCGAATTAAAATGGCCAATATATGAGCATCAAATCCTTTCCAAAATGATGAAAAATTAATCTTCTTCAATGCAGCAATCAATCTTTTTTGTTTTGAATGTTTCAAATCGTTTTCATCATCATGATCCTTTTGAGCACCATCGGAAGATGGTTGTTTACAAGCAGCAACTCTCAATACCGCTTGAAATATTCCACCCTCTACTCCTAACACACCCGATTGTTGGATGGTCTGTACACGGGACAAGGGATAACAAACAAATCGTGTGGCCGCTTGAAGCAAAATGTCTTCCCGGGTCAGAGTGTTCATTTTTTTTTAATTTTTATGGAGTGACCAAATTTGATTGGAACGGAAACTTTTTAGCAATGTCCAATTCAAATGCATGTTTGAAGAGACTTTGAACTCACAATCGTGAAGACGACCACCTCCATCATGATGGTCCTTTTGGGTGGAGAGGTTGAGAGTACAACTGGAAGAATGGATCAATGCAATGTCCATGGACACTCAACAACCATTGGCCACTTGCCAAACCATGCTTTAATAAATTATAAGAATAGTAGTAGTGGTTAAAAGCCACTGGAGCCAATGACCATTCCAAGCATCATCTTAATTCTCTTAAAGAAGTTTTCAGTCCATCCACTCTCAACCTTCTCCTTTACAAAGTATCCATTTGAGTCCTTGTATGGAATATCCACTTGGTGTAATTTCACAGTGGTCTCACCATTTCCTGTATCATCAAAAGTAAGGGTGACGGTGCTTGTGGCATTCTCTGGCCAATCATTGAATCGCCACTTTTGAACAATTTTCTTGTTGGGAACAAACTCAACAAAAGTACCTGAGACCTTTCCATTGAAAAGAGAAAATTTACCACCTTCCTTCTTTTCACTCTCAGCCTTACTTTGCGTGTATTGAGAAATAATGGCTGGCTCAGTGAAAAACTCGAAAATCTTTGGCAATGGTGCTCCCTTAAATTTTTCTGTAATCTTAATTTCAACCTTCTTCTTTTGTTCTTCTGTAACGTGACCACCACCAGCGCCAAGAACAACTTCAGTCACATTCTTGCTGACACCAGTTTCTGGGTCAATCTCTGAAGGAGGTTGATCCGAAGAACTGCCAACATTGTTACTATGGCTAGCAGAGGAGGAGGAGGCTCTAAGATTTTGTTCTTGTTCCTCCCAGAGTTGATATTTTTCTCTCACATTTGCACCGTCACGCAATGCTATTAAAAATTCATTCATAATTTTCTTAATCGTGGCAGCGCCCTCAGTTCTCAATGCTTCCTTGATAATTTTATGCTCTTGCTTCTTGCAGCTTGAATCCATTTCAATGTTGATTTCAAAATCACTTCCTTGGTCAATTTCCTGAGAAATGTAAGGAAGTTTAATTTTTCCTTTGGCTACCACACACTTTTCCGAATCTTCATCTGTCATTTCCGATGAATCTCCTAATAATAATTTACCTGTCCATCCAATTTCCACGTCCAATTCATAAATTGCAATTAGTTTGCGCTTACGATTCATGATACTGGCTTCACCTTTGGTAGTAACCGATGAAGTTGTTGTAATTCTCATATTTTCCTTGGATAAAAGCTCTACGTTCTTGAATCGTTGTTTCAATTCATTCTTGCACCAAGGGAAAACATCTTCATCGGTCCAGTGCCACCTTCCGACATTGCGTCCTGTAATGCCGAGATCATTGACGATCCATCTTTCATCTCCTTCTCCTTCCTTTGCCATGTTGTTGTACTTTAATTCAGTCAGGTTGTTGCTGTTGTATTGGTTGAAGTGGTTAACTGTAGGGAATTTCCTTGTTGTTGTTGTTGAATCGGAATATAATGACGAGGAACACAAATTGCTGGATTTTGAATTTTTTTTTTTGATGGAATCGGAAGTTCTTTTTTTTTTCGGAAGTCTTTTTGTTCTTTATGAGGAGCGTTCTTGTGACAATAACCTTTGCTGCAAACAGTTGTTTCCAACCCTATCTATGGTGGTTCTCATCGGATGGATGTGACCACAGAAAACACACAAATATTTTGATCGTGTCTTTAATTTAACCAATAAATATTAATTTTACAAATCAGAAAGATTAGAGAGTACTTCTTGAGCGGAAGGTCTTTCATTGGGTTCAACATGAAGCATTTTGGTGAGAAGAGTTTTGAGAGAGGGCAATCTGGAGGATAAATCAAGTAGGAGACTATTGTTTGAAAGTAAGAGTGAATCCAAGGCAGCTGCTCCACTCTTTTCAATGACATCGTTGACAGAGTGGAGAGTGAGGGCAGCACTTGGATTGGAAAGGCAGCACACGATTTGAGTAAATACAAGGCCTGCCTGCCAAATGTCAGCTCTTTGATATCTCTCAAGAGAAACATCGGATGAAAAGTCTTGTAGAACCTTAAATTCAGGAACAATAGAATTGGACAAATCTTGTGAAATTCCATAGTCTGTTAATGCTAAAACGATGGATCCACCTTGACCATTCTGAGGAGGTGTTAATTCTTGAATGAAAATATTACTCAATTTGATATTCTTGTGAGCAGTTTTTTGAGAATGCAGGAAATGAATGGCGCTAGTAATTTGTTGTAAAATGGATATCACAAGTGTGGAATTCATGATGAAATGGTGTTTCTGAATGAAATCTTGTAAATTTCCTTTTTCATAGTAAGGCATGGCGAAACACATGTAACGAATAGAGGCCTTATTCGATTCCTTATATTCCTCTTCAAAGACATCGAAGACATTGGCAAGAGGGATCTTCTTTTGTAAAATAATTCTTCCAGTTCGAATCATTTGAACTCCTTCTTTCATGCAACGATTGAACTCTAAAGTGGATCGAATAGGAAGATATTTGATGACCAATGGAGGTGCTGATTTGTTTGCAAGATCTTTGGCTGTGAAAACTTTCTTGTTGGAATCTTTGGAGTCAATTCGATGTTGAAGCTTGTAAGTTTCATTGACAATCTTATTGCTTGCTTTTTCTTTTTGAGGAATTATGGCTGGCTCCTTAATAGAATCTGCAATATCGAAATTTTCACTCAATAAACTATTACCACCCATGACACTGTCCATCATGCTGTTGTGTGAGTGGTTATTGTTTTGAATTTCGTTTGTGGACATGAAAGATGGCATGTCCAGTTGACCTGTACCCTGTTGATGGTCGCTATTGAACTGAGAAAATGCAGACATGTCCTGTCCCAATCCTGACATTTGTATTCCAGAAATCTCTGATTGCATGACAATGCCTGACATTTCAATACCAGACATGTTGGATAATTGAATTCCGGAATCTTGGTGAGCAGATGGTTGTGTTGGTTTTTGTTGAGGTTTTTCCTGTGTCGACATTTCCAGCGCTGACAGTTCTATACCAGACATGTCCATGTTTGACATTTGAATGTTTACATTATTTACATCATGATCACTCACGAGATCTTTTTCAGAAATATCGATCAATGATGGTTTTTCAGAGAGTGGAATGTTGGATCTTTCTGAGAGACTCTGGTTTACAACTGGTTGCTTGGGTTTTGCTTTGGTTTGGTCAATGGTTGTTTTCAGTTTAAACTTAGCAACTGCTCCTTGTTTTTGGAATATTTGAGGATCTGCAAATTCAAATTCCACATAATCCTCAATGTCTTCGTCATAAAATTCTAACTCATATTTGGTGACACAGTCTACGTCATCCACACATTTCTCTAAAATAAATCGTGCAATATCCTCAACGGTAGGCTCAATTTGCTTTGAAATCAAGTACGAAAACTTTTTCTTTGTTCCTGCATATTCCACAAAGAATGAAACAAATTCACTCTCATATATATCTCCAAATATATTGATCAATAAATCCTTCACAGCTCTGATTCTTGTTGAGTAGAAACAATCTTTGAGCCAAGCAAATTCATTTGGAAATTGATTCAATAAATCTCGATTCAGATTCACTATATTTTGGATCCATGTCAACATGGTTTTAAAATCATGTGAATTTGGATCAATGGCCTTCAGAACTTGAATCATGTATGTAATCACTAAATGAGAATATTCTGGAAGTGAACCTATTTTCTGAAAGATTTGCATGAGTTGAAACATGATATTTCGTTGATGGAAGAATCGTTCAACCATGTTCATATCGATCATGAGTTGCAGATAACCACACTTGACAAACTCTTCTGGAAAAGATGACAAGTCCTGAAATATGGACAACAAGGACCAATGCTCATTTCGTTGTTCCGACTTGTTAGCTCCAAATTCAGGATTGGCAATGACTTCTCTGTAATATCGGGCACATTTTTCTGTCATGAGAATGGGGAGAGTATCATTAGATTGTCTCAAATTATCAAAGAAGGTCAACATGAAAAAGGAATTTTGCGGCGTTTTCTCTTTGATTTTATACAGATAGGTTTCAACTGTTTCAAAAAAGAAATTTGAAAGATTTTCCAAATCTTGCTCCGATTTTGTATTTCTATAGGCAAGAACAAGATCTGAGATTTTCGTAAAGATTCGGGATCGCCAAATGTTAAAGTACTCGCTATCATTTTCATTCTCTGGGAGAGAAGGAAGATTGTCCAATGTACTATTGTTGGAAGACATTTTTTTTGAATTTTTTTTAATGAACTTTCAAGACTGTTCTTTTGAGCTTGTAGTTCCACAGATATCGTTGCAGCTGATCATTATATTCAATGATTGGATTTTTAAATCTAAAGGCCTGAAACAACTGATTTCAAAAGTTCAAAACAGATTTTTACTCTGGAATGAGCTCTAATCTACAAAAATCATCACTGAATTTGAAGGAAATTTGTAAGTGATCAGCAACCACAAATTTAATTTTTCTACCTCAACTATTCCTGCAAAATATTCTATTGCTTGAAACAATTGATCACTATCAAATGAGAGCAATTTTTGTTCAATGTAGATATATTTAAGAATTGATGGAATGTCTCTATTTAACGTTGATTTCTGTTGATTTTCAAGTGAGTGCAATATTTGATCATAATTGTCCAAAGAATTGAATTCAATATTTGTTTTTGAAAATATTCAACAATTCTTTACCAAGGTCTGCACTGCTGAGTGATCTGTTGTCAAAATCATGGCAAATATAATCTTTCAATATTGAAGTTTTCATGCACTTTCGAATTCTTGAGAACGGATTTTTCAAATGTGAATTTTGTAACTTTTCATGATTCGTTTGTTTGGCGTTGATGATGTTCATAGTTTTAGCAGTTGATAATGATATTCCTGTGCCATAAGTGGCGATATCAGACATTAATTGATTTCTTTTTTTGATTTTCTTTGCTGTGAATTGTTTCACCATCTTGGACTGTTTTGTAATTTTACAGTTATACCATTTGGATTTCTAAATGGCAATTTTAGAATTTTTCACAGAAATTATTGTATTAATAGCTTCTTCAGCAGTGCAATTCAACAGGCAGATTATTTCCTTTAATCGCCGGTACATATCACACTTTTTTACTGACAAATTTGGCCGGCAGTTCCTATACTCCACTTTTTATTCCAGTTACTGCATTGCTCTCTCCCTTAAACGTTGGAAAGATTATTGACAATTTATCAGTCACCCATAATAAGCTGAAGAATTGGAGGACTGACATTGAGTTTAGACATTACTTGAGACTCTTTGCTGGATTTCCAAGAGGTTTAGAATATTATCTCGAACAATATTGTACATCTCAGACTACAGTACGGACTGCATTTGAAACTTCAACATCTGAATTACGAATAAAGTACCTAAATAATACTGGATGACAAAATTCGTCATATTTTGGGCTAACTATCAAATTCAAGGCACTATGAATGAAAAAATTGAAATGAAAGACCATAATTTGTTGGATATAACAAAGGTTACAGATTGTACTATCATCAAAAATGCAGCCTCTGCAAAAGCTGGTGACATTTTAATAATTGGTTTACAATTGAAAGATTCACCTGATGATTTTCTGGTTCTTCATATTCAATACAAATGGGCTGACTCTGCAAAATCTAGAATCATACTAATTTTCTAATTCGGGAACTTCAACAAAACTGATCAACACTCTTAACGAAATTATTCTTCTAGAGATGTTGTTTGAACAAGGATCCTTAAAAAGGCGTTTTCAACCGAGTGAACTGGTCCTCCAAGCAATTAGATCCATTTCTTATAACCATCACCACACAAGTGATGATACTCCAATCCAACTATAATGACACCCAAGTAACAGCACTTTACACAGACATTAAGGTTAAATCCACCAAATTCTCACTATTCTCAAGCCCAATACTATATGTCACAAACACCGTTTGACAGAATTTCCGAATGTTCAAGCATGGAGAACTATATCAGCGAGCAATAATCATTCAGAAGCTCCTCAACCAATATTTTCTTCTAGGACGAATAAATTGTGGAAATTCAATAATTGCCAAGATTGTCTGCATAAAAGTCAGTAAGACTTCTGAATATTTTCAAAGATTACGAAACGTCCCACCTCATTAGACACTTTGTGGAGTTTATAAATTGTTGGAAGAATTGGAGCTCTCTCTCTCTTAATTGTGAACAAAAGGTACTGTTTTAAGAGCAGCATGGAAGAGACCATTCGATTTTCTGCTCTATTGCAGTAGTGTACAACACACTGCAACAGTTCACATGCTTTATCCTTTGAAATGATTAGATTGAAGTTCACATGACAGGCTTAATGATAATCATTTCAATGAAATGAAACCTCATCCAAGTCGTTGTAGGCCAGCGAAAATTGGCGGATTTTCAAATATTTTTTCGCTTTAAAGTCAGCTGGTGGCCCGAGCGGAAATTGGGTCCGGAGCAACGACGTGAGCAACGCAAAAATCTATTCATGTTGTGTGCTTTTAATACCCCTCAAGTCGGTGGTTGATGTTGCGTGTTCATTGACGCCAATGGAAATAGCATCGTCTACAACGGAAGAAAAAGAATGATGATGTAACGTGTCTCCAACTCTCCACTCCTTCTCATGAGGACAATGGATTTTAATTGAACAGGTCCTGTTACGAGTGCTCTCAACCCCCGTATAGACTGCCTCTTGGTAACATGCAAGACAACAGCTTTTAAGAGGTTTTGGAGTTTGTGGGTAATGAGTGGTTGAATTTCTCTTTCGTCGACTCGTGTTTGACTTTGAAAATGATTCGTTGTTTTGGTTTTCATTTTCCATCATTTTATTGAAGGAGAACTCGAGAATGTTGTTGTTGTTGCCTTCATCGAGAACGTTCTCCATGATGAGTCTCAAAAAGTTGAGTTCTATACAAGACATGTTAATTTCTATTATTATTCTTCTTCTTTTCCTTCTCAGATAAGAGGATCAAAATTCGAACAAACAATTGGACAAAATCAATAAATAATTCCAAAGCATGATGAATGGCATCTGCATTCTTGGATCCCACAATGCTCACCTTCTCCACAATCATTTGAGTGTCATAGAGCACATATAAGATAAACATGATCAATCCACCATATAGAGAGACGTTGAATGAAAATCTCGTGTAAAAGAGGGAATTAATCAATAAAACTAAGGTCAATGATGAAATAACGCCTCCCAAATATAAGAATTCTCTTCTTTCTGAATACAATGCAGCTGCAGAGAAGGAAACAAACACGACCGTAGTAGCCAACAAGGCCAGGAAAATAATATTTGGATCAATGGAGAGAGCATAATACACGATCGGAGCCAAAGCAGCACCTTCAAAGAAGCCTAATGTGAGTAACAACCCCAAACGATAACGTTGTTCCAACAAGGGTACACCTGGAGATGAAGGACTTAAATACAACAACAAACTAAAAACAATGGTCAAAAGTGCGCATATGGATACATTCAACTCGTAGACAAACATGGAAAAGTAACAACCGAAAGCCGAGATGCCCATCAAAACCGTTAACAATCCATAGACTTTGGACAAGTGTAATTGGACATCTTTACTCAAGGGGTTACTATCCAACAAGATAGAGAAAATATTGCGTGAAGAGGATGATCGGAACGAAGAAGAGGATGTGTGATGATCAAATCGATTCATTTTTTTTAAATTTAGAAAACCTTCATTTAACGGGTACAAACAGGGACTTTTATTCCGAAACACGTGTTTTTTGAAAGGCACCAACTGACAGCATCAAACGATTGAGAGCGTTCAATCTCATCATAAAAACAACAAATGCTCGAATGTTGGATCCTTTTGGACAAGGAGATTCCTGTGAATATCACTTCTTTGAATATCGTCGTTGTGGTTATTATTTGAGAGGAGAAGAGTTTGATATGTGTTTGTTATTAATCAATAGAGATGAATTTGATGGCCATCATTAATTGTATCTTCTTATTAATCCACTGGTTCATTAATTCAGTGAGGCAATACTTCAGTACGTTACTGACATTAATTATTCAAAGCAATTATTGCTCTGAATGAACACAAAACTACTGAAACAATAATACTAATAATTTATATCGTATGTCGTCGACATGTCAACTCGTATTGATCTTAGTGATCCTTGTGTTCGTTCTCCGGTTCAGCCTTATTCTTTTTTTCAGTCTTTTCTTGCAATCTCTTCTTTTCTAAAAATTCACGGAATTTCTCTTCCTTGTCAGGGAATGGAGATGGACCAACCAATTCTCTGAATTGTTCAATATTCATGGTTTCATGTTTCAACAAGTAGTGAGCAACAGTTTCTAAAAGCTCCTTCTTTTCTGTGAGAATATCTCGTGTTCGTTTCAGAGCATCTTCAATAATTGTTGCCACTTCTCGATCAATAATCTCAGCAGTTTCTTCACTGTATGGCTTTTGGAAGGCCATGGATTGATCGCCAGGAAGTGGATACGACACAGGTCCAACTGCTTCACTCATACCAAAACTACTGACTGCTGCATAGGCAATTCTTGTGATTTTTTGCAAGTCGTCTTGGGCTCCAGTCGATAAGTGTTTAAAGATTAGCATTTCTGCCACTCTTCCTCCCAAAGCTTGAGCCATATAATCCATCAAATGGTCCTTTGTTCTAATGTAGTGCTCTTTTGGAACATATTGAGCATAACCTAGTGCTTTTCCTCTTGGAATGATGGAAATCTTCAGTAATGGATCTGAATGTTTGCAGAACCATGAGACTAATGCGTGACCAGCCTCATGATAGGCAATAACTTTCTTTTCTTTTTGTGAAATTGGAGCAGTTCTCTTTTCAATACCACCAATCACTCGATCGATGGCACGTTCCATGTCTTCCATTTCAACTTGTTTTTTACCTTCACGAGCAGCAAAGATTGCTCCTTCATTGCACACATTGGCAATATCGGCTCCTGTGAATCCAGGTGTCAATTCAGCCAAACGTGGAATATTATCTTCCAAGCCAGGAGCTTTCTTGATATTTCTCAAGTGAACCTTAAAAATGGATTCTCTTCCTTTTTGATCAGGTTTGTCAATGGTAATTTGTCGATCAAATCTTCCAGGACGCAACAATGCTCGATCTAATCCTTCAACGTCCACGTTGGTTGAGGCCAATACAATGACATTATGATTTTCGTTAAAACCATCCATTTCCACCAACAATTGATTGAGAGTGTTTTCTCTTTCGTCATTGCCACCGCCGTACATGCTATTTCCTCTTGGTCTACCAATGGCGTCAATTTCGTCGATAAAGATGATAGCTTGACCGGTTTCTCTTGCTTTCTTGAACAAGTTACGGACCCTGGCAGGACCTACACCGACGAACATTTCGACAAAGTCTGAACCTGACATGCTAAAGAATGGCACATCAGTTTCTCCAGCAACGGCTTTGGCTAAGAGGGTCTAAATGACGTGCATCATTGTGGGAATCATTGTGTTTAGAGTAAAGACAATGGAATTCAAGATTTGGAAAATTGTGTTGAAATTATGTTGAAATGAATGCAATGTTTGAAAACCACTACTCAACAACACACGCGTGATACTTACTTTACCAGTACCTGGTGGTCCCTATTTGAATTTCATTATCACATAATATCAATAGTAATTAACGAATTTGAAATAAACATTTTGATCAATCAGATAAATAATTGGAACATTCCTATTGAAAAAGTAACACGATATAACATACCATAAGGATGGCACCTCTTGGAATTTTGGCACCCAATTTCTTGTAATGTTCTGGTTTTTTAAGGAATGAGACGAATTCTTGAATTTCAGCTTTGGCTTCTTCCATTCCTGCCACATCATTGAATGAGACTTTCACCTTTTGCTTGACTGCTTCTGGTGTTTTGGTAATTCCACCAAGACCAGGCATTCCTCGAGCAGTTGCAGTGAATGACCACAATAAGATACCTGCCAAAAACAATGTGAAAGGACTTGGCAAGAGAGAATGCCAATCGAGAGATCCAGTATAAATAATTTTTGGACTCATGGATGGAGGAATTCCCTTTTCAATTTCTCCATCTTGTAATCTTGTCTCAAATGCATCGACATTAATCATTTGGAAATAATAATTAAATCCGCTAGATGGGCCCCAAACAGATCCCTTATGCTCTTTTCGTTCAGTACGTGCCACATCTTCAGCTCTGCTCTCCTTTTTATCCACTCCCGAATAAACAAAACTTCCACTTGAGAATGGGTCTTTAAGATAGACATAGACCTCATTGGTTCTCAAATCATATTCCAAGTGATCCAAATTTGTATTTCCGAGATATCTATCTACAAAATCTTGGAATGTAATTTCCTTGTTTAACTTTTGAGATTGTGAGGGTCCGGCAGGAGTTAAATACAGGAGCAAGTAAGCGGTCATAACGGCCATGGCTAAAAGACGTAATTTTCTCGATTTTAATTCTTGTTTCTCACCAGTCTCATCTTCGTCGTCATCTTTGTTGTTCTTTTCTTCCTTTTCTTCTTTTTCGTCTTCTTCCTCTTTCTGTGTTGTTTCGAATGGATTGTAAATTGGGTCATTGTTGTGAATGGATGATCCCAATTATGACATGTATGCCAATTGATTTATAAAAGATGAAAATAATTGATTCATATTAGTACCCAACACGGAATGTCATTTTGTCATTGAAAAATATCAAAATTATCACAATCATTACCACATTTAAAATGTTGTTGTTGAGAATCTCGCTCGGAATAACACTAACCTTCTTTTTGAACACTCCATTTGTTGTATGATATTGTGCTCTTTGTTGTGTTGCCAATTGATTTAAAAGTCTTATCGATGCAGATAACGATGAAGACAAATTATAAATCTCCGAATTCGGATCCATCAGCGATGTCTTGTTGCCATATTGGCCCTTTTGCTGTTTAAAACAACTTGTTCCAAAAATTCTTCGGACACACACCTCCTTCATCATTCCCGAACATGGTATCGTTCCTATCCGACGACTTATGCCACTACTCATGCCATTCGTTGTCGTGCTGCTGAGGAGTAACACATTCGAGGCTTGTTTGAGCAGGGTAGAAGCCTTCTGCGATTTGAGTTTTTGCATTTTTTTTTAAAATAGATTTCCTTCAAGAACGGGCCGCTCAAAGCGAATTGTCCTCTCAATCAAAATTGTTGACGTGAGTATCAACACCATTCATTTACACAACAAGGGGAGTGGTTCACTGATAATTGTTGAAATTAAGGAAAAAATTCCAAATGGTTTTTACTTTTGAATTCTTTTATTCATAAATAACAACTACTTATTTCCAACAACAGGTATTGTTGTCCGTCACTGTGGTGGTTCCTCTCAAACCTGGGCCAATCACAGTCGTCGAAGAATCTGTCTTTTTCTTATTATTTGGATGATTGTCAATATAATTTTGTGATTTGATGACAGCTTGAAGCATCTTGTCAAATGCCACATCCACACCAGTCGAATTCTTGGCACTTGTTTCAATATATTCCATTCCCATATTCTTGGCAAACTCTTCAGCCACTCGACGATCAATGACTCTCTTTGAGACTAAATCTGATTTGTTTCCAACGAGAACCATTGGTGTATTCTCTGAACCATACTTGGAAATTTGATCCAACCATTTACCAACTTCACGAAATGATTTCTCATCGGTCAAATCAAACACAATCATGATGCCATTCGAAGATCGATAATAACCTGAAACAATTTGGCCAAATCGTTCTTGTCCTGCTGTATCCCATAATTGTATTTTAGCCACTCTGTGATCTTGAAGTGTTTGTGTCTTGATTTTGAAATCCACTCCAATAGTAGAGAGGTGAGATTCATAGAATTCATCATCGCTGTATCGAACGAGAAGGCATGATTTACCAACGCCCGAGTTTCCAACGATTAATATTTTGACCAAGATGTCGTATTCCCAAGGTCGATAATCAGAGTAAGAAGTGGAAGATCCAAAGTTGTTGTTTGTAGTAAGGTATGACATGTTGTAATTGTTGCACTGCACTGGAAAAGGAGCTCAATATTTCAAAAAAAGAGTTGTTGTCTTGATCTGACGGTCTCAAGGAGAAGTGCTTGAGTTTTTTTTGAGTATGAAAATAATTCAATTATGCAACAGCGAAAAGATTTTCTCGACAAGTTCCCGTCAAATGACGCTAAAAAGGTTATTTTTATCATCGATGACGTCGTGTGTTAGCCGTTGCGGTGAAGGGAAAAGAAAAATCATCATTCACGACAACAACGCTGTTCAAGGTTATCTATCCGTTCGGATAACACCCTCATACAATTGAAAATCGTGTATTTATCCTTTTTCACAAATTACACTTTCAAGATCTCCTGTGTGTACAAGTTGTAGTGTTGTGATACGTATATCTTTCACACGTTAGGACTGATGGCTGGTTGTGATGATTCTAGTTGTTGTAGATCACAACCTTGTGTTGCTATCTCCCACTCAAAATCATGACCCTTGCTAATTCTTGACGTTGAAAAAAACCCTTAGAGATCAACCAGATCAACCTTAATCCTTCTTTGTGGATGAAATGTTCAAAGCGTCTCGCGAGAGTTGATCGATATAGTCAATGGCATATTTGGCACATCCGTTATTCGCAACTTGTTGTAGATCTGTGACACAAGCCAACACTCCGAAAACATTGTCATTTTCCAATGTTCTTCCCTTTCTACTATTTTTCTCGACGCAATCTACAATTGACTTGTTGCATGAAAGTATCATACCTTTAAAGAAGTTTTCAAAACTGATTGCACTACATCTATCGGTGGCAAGCGCAACTTTGTATTCATCATCTTTGGCTTGAATGGTATTGGTTTGTGCTTTAAGACAATCAACAAATTGGTCTCTTGATTCTCGGGTATAATTTTCAAAAAGGCGAGTGGCCTCTGATTGGGAAGAAATGTCCTTAACTTGTCCTCCATTAGCAGCCTTCAATTCTCTCAATTTACTGGCAAAGGATGGCATCAATCGTTGAATTCCTCCCTCTGCGAGTGAGCCTAATAATCTGTGTTTCATTTGAACTCTTTGAACAAGACTACTATCCATTGCAAAACAGTCACTCATTTCGGCAAAGGTTTTCTGGGTCCAATTTTCGTCAAACAAAAAGCGAGGATTGTAGGTCCAAGTCGATACAAGATCTGAATTTAGTGGGTTCCAATTTTGTTCTCTTGTTCTTTCAATAATCTCCAATTTTGATAAGCAAGAAGCTTTCGTCCTGCTATTACTCGTTTGTTTTTGCAGATTACTTTCAAAAGTGGGTTCTTGTTCCCGAATTTCTGGCAAAGCCTCCATACAAGCAAAGTAAAAGAATTCTGAAGCATCGGAACCCAATCTACTTTCAAGCTGCATCTTCATGGACTGACAAGTCGACAACAATTCAGTCGTACGGAAAAGCTCACGTGTTTCTTTTGCTTCTTCAGCAGTGATGATGATGGGAGTGGTCGCTTGTTGAGGCTTTGCGCTCATTTTTTGCTTCTCAGAACCAAATAATGAATTGTAAAGTTTTTGATTGAATTGTGTTAGAATTGTTGTTGCTTTTTCTTTGTTGATGATTCCGAATCAAAGGATCCATTGAATGTAATAGTGGTTTGTGATCAATATTAATATATTAAGATAATGACATTCGAATGAAAAACATCAACACCTCCTCTCCCAATACCAAAGATCGATTTGTGAATAGACTCTCTTCAACTCGATGCCAAAACATAATAAGAAATACCTGTATACAGGCCTCTAAGATGTCATGCACTCAGCTGTATTCCGATTGGTACAACAATCGATGATAGGACTCTAGTTGACATTCATTATTCCACTCATTAATATTGTGGGCCTGAAAAATTCCAGTCGAGGGAATTCCAGAGGGAAAAAGTAACGTTAGGAATTTTTCAAGGCGGGCAAAATTTTTTTTAAAAAAATTCTTCAGCTATCTTGTCCCTCTCGGTCGAGTTTCATCATCGTTTTTTTTGAAAGCCGAAGAAAACAAGAAACTTCGGAGATTGAATTTAGAACATTATAATAGTATTAACACACTTATTTGGTAACTAAACATCCTACACTATTTGGTAGTATTTGTAGATTCAAAACATCCTACATATCTTCAGAGTGCGACCGAATCCATCATCAATTATATCCATCTCCATATAATTTTAGTTTTATCATCATCATCAATATGGAAGCTATATTAAATTTTAATGACCCTTTCAATGTTGGCCTCTTAGATATGGTCATTGATTGCCTGTACAGAGGTTCTCCTCAAGAGGTAAGTTCGAACTTAAACTCAAACTCATCAATCTGACATGAACCTCATTACTTCATATCAACTACACCAACAACACATGACTATTAAAATCTTACTTTTCAACAAATAGATCCAATCAGCGCAAAGAGTACTTACTCAGTTTCAAGAACATCCAAGCGCTTGGACCCGAGTCAAGCAAATATTGGAAACATCAAATAATGAAAACTCAAAGTTTTTTGCTCTTCAAGTATTGCTTAAAGTTGTTCAAACAAGATGGAAAATTCTTCCTCAAGATGAACGAGAAGGAGTGAAAAACTTTATTGTGATTACTGTGATTAATTGCTCGAAAGATGAGGCTTACTTTAGAAGTCACAAGCTATTCATCAATAAGCTTAACGAAGTTCTTGTAGCAATTGTGAAACAAGAATGGCCTCAAAATTGGCGTAATTTTATTCCCGAAATTGTCAACTCGAGTCCTTCAAATGAAAACCTATGCGAAAACAACATGAATATTCTCAAGCTTTTGAGTGAGGAAGTGTTCGACTTTTCAGCAGGAAAAATGACTCTCAAAAAGATGACCCAACTCAGCGAAAGCTTCCGAAATGAATTTTCCTTAATTTATCAACTTTGTGAGGCCATTCTACAGGGCGCACAAAAACCATCACTTCTTAGTGCCACGTTACAAACTTTATTGCGATTTTTGAATTGGATTCCTCGCCCTTACATTTTTGAAACGAATATGCTAGAAGTTCTAATTACCAAATTTTTGCCGGTCCAACAGTTCAGAAATGATACACTGAGTTGTCTCACTGAAATTGTAAGCATGGTAGAACCAAAATATGATGAAAAGTTTGAATTAATCTTTGTTTTTGTTATGCGGGTGATGCCAAATATCCTTCCACCAAGTACCAATTTACCGAGCGCATACAAGAATGGAAGCGACTATGACCAAAAGTTCGTCCAAATTTTAGGCCTCTTTTTAACATCATTCTTCACAAACCACTTGGCTGTTGTAGAGAAGGATCAGCATACACAGCTTGTACTCGAGGGCCATCAATATCTTGTTGAAATTTCCAAGGTAGATGAAACCGAAATTTTCAAGAATTGCCTCGATTATTGGATTTATTTTTCAAGAGATTTGTATTTCTCTGAGAAGAAGGCAAATCAAACCACACTCTATGAACCTCTCATGCTTAATAGACCTACCTCTGCAAGAAAAGCAATTTATTCACGAATCCTCTCACAAGTAAGACTAGTAATGGTCTCAAAGATGGCCAAACCAGAGGAAGTGATCATTGTTGAGGATGAAAATGGACAGATTGTGAAAGAGTACATGAAAGATGTTGATGCCATTCAACTGTACAAGAGCATGCGTGAAGCTTTAATTTATTTGACTCACTTGGATTATATAGATACTGAGAAAATCATGTTGGAGAAACTACGTGCTCAGCTCAATGGATATGAATGGTCTTGGCATAATTTGAACACCTTGTGTTGGGCTATTGGTTCAATCAGTGGTGCTATGGAGGAAAAAAGACGAAAAGAGATTTGTAGTGACCGTAATCAAGGATTTGTTGAACATGTGTGAGATGAAAAAGGGCAAAGAAAACAAAGCTGTGGTGGCCTCCAATATCATGTATGTCGTGGGTCAATATCCTAGATTTTTGATTGCACACTGGAAGTTTTTACAAACTGTCGTGAACAAATTATTTGAATTTATGCATGAAAAGTTCCCTGGAGTGCAAGAAATGGCCTGTGAAACCTTTGTGAAACTCGCTCAAAAATGTAAAAGGAAGTTTGTGCAACGACATCAGGGAGAAGATATCATGTTTCTTGAGAGAATCCTCAGAAACTTGAAATCTAACATTTCGGATCTAGAACCTGCACACATTCACGTTTTCTATGAAGGCGTTGGTTACATGATTCAGGCAGCTTTACCAGCTGATCAAGAGCGACTTCTTCAAATGCTCATGTCTATGCCCAACACAAAATGGCAAGCCATCATGTCTCATGCTGCACAAAATGTTCAATCTCTTGCCGACACTATAGTATTGAAAGAATTGACAAATATTTTGAAAACCAACGTTGCTACATGTAAATCAGTTGGACATGCCTTCATTCATCAAATGAAATTCATCTTTAGAGACATGTTGTCCGTGTACAAGGCATACAGCCAATTCATTTCTGATGAAATTCAAAAGATTGGTACAAGAGCAGCCTCCCACAGTAATGTCAGAGCAATGCGAGCAATTAAGAGAGAAACCTTAAAGTTAGTGGAAATGTTTATTGCCAACACTGACGATACTCAAATGTTAGTCACTTCATTCTTACCTCCACTTTTGGATGCCACTCTTGGTGACTACAAGGCAAGCGTGCCTGATGCAAAAGATCCTCAAGTATTGACTCTCCTTTCTGTGGCCATGGACAAACTTCAAACAGCTATCGATCACTACCTTCCAACTATTTTAGAATATGTGCTTGAATGTACACTTCCAATGATTACAACGAACTTTGAGGATTATCCTGAGCACAGAATGAATCTTTTCACACTGTTAAAGTCGATCAACAAGAATTGCTTCCAATCATTCTTGCACATTCCTCCAAATGGATTCAAATTGATTGTCGACTCGATTCTATGGGCTCTCAAACACACTCACAGAAATATATTCGAGACAGGACTCGGCATTTTACAAGATATGCTTTCCAACATTGAACACCTTAATAATGATGGACTGAGGAATGAATTTTATAGCAAATTCTACATTCCCATTCTTGATGATGTTCTTTATATTTACACAGATACATTGCATCAGTCTGGTTTCAAGATGCAAACCACTATTATTCACCATTTACTTTATGTAATTGCTACCAACAAGATCACGGTACCACTTACTGAAAATCAACAAGTACCAAACGATTTATTTGTCAAGAAGCATATCCATGATATTTTAATTGAAAGCTTTAACAACCTCAATTCCCAATATTTACAACAATTCATCATAACTCTCTTTGGATACATTCATCAAGAGAAGGAATTCACAAATTGCTTGCGTGACTTTTTAGTGACTCTAAGGGAATACCAAGGAGAAGAGGTTGATACAAGCGATTTGTTCTTTGAAGAAAAGCAACGTAAGGAATTGGAGCAGCGAGAAATTAGAGCAGCTGTTCCTGGTTTGGATTCTGTTGTTGTGAATGAATTTGCGCCATCACAAGACGATGATGTTGTGTAATCATAGATGATTTGTGGTGTTTAAAAGCATGATGAGGAATAAATCGTGTTTAAGATTTGTCAAAAGAAGATTTTCTCTTAGATTTAAAACTGCTCTTGGTAACCAAAGCTCATCCATGAGTGGCTGTCGTTCGAATGCTGCTAAAAAGCATATTCTCCTCATTTCAACAACAGGTTTTTTACTTTCCTCTAGATTGTAGTCTTAAATTATATGATTCAGCTGAATTTGTTCTATGGTGACTTGATTTACAATTCCTTCAAATGTTTGTAAACATCTTCGAATTTAATTCCCGCAGGGACTTCTTTCAATTTCATTAAATCTTCAAAAAGTGGTTTTGCTCTTTCTTTTTGGTCAAGAAGGGCACATCCTCTAATTAGAGTATTGTAAATTAATTGAGAAGATGTAATTCCTCGTTTTTCCATTTCTTCCTTGAGGGCAAATCCTTTGTCCAAATTCTCTGGTTTTCTTGTACGAACGCAACATTGAATCAACATAAAGTAAACTTCACGGTTCCATTCTATTCCATCTTTTTTCATATCTTCTGCAATTGAGAAAGCCTTTTCAAGATATTCTGGTTTTTCCCAGCATAGGTTATTGCAGTGTTGTATGAATTGTCTATAGAAAGTGAAATTAAGTTGTTTGCCTTGATTCTTCCAATAATCATAAACTTGAACACATTCTTCGTGGGCTATTGTGATTAAAGATGTCGACCATGACATTAGGATGAATAACATTTTCAAAGTATCAATTTCGAATGTTACAGTTGTTGTTATTGTTGTTCCGAACAAGTGTTAAACAATGATGATTCATGCCGAGAGTTTTGCCAAGTTAGGTCGGTCCGTAATGATGATGGAGAAGATATGAACATTGTATTTACCATATTGGTATTTAATAATTCACGTAAAAGCCATATCAAAATACGAGGAATTCAAAAGTATTAATATTATAATGTTCATATGATGATGAAATAGGTATCAGAAGCAGTAAATTTGATGATGTTGTTATGTTGATATAGGGATGAAAATGGTGATGATGACTTGAATTTGGTATTTTCCGCTACTCCTACTTACAGAGTCGTTTAAAATTCGATTCCTTTCCTTGTTTACTCTTTGGATGCTTTTGTCTTTGCTCTTCAGCATAAAATCGTAAATTATTGTTCTCTCTTGTGGCTACTCCAATAGTCCAAACTCCCGAAGAAGAATGAGTATTAATGCCATGTAAAATGTTGTTGTTGTTATTCATGTTGGAACAAACACATAACACTCTAAGAGAGGAAGTGGCAGAAACCTTCTTCACTGGAGAAGCCTTCAAAGCAAAGGAACGAAGCATTTTTCTATCAAAAAAATTTCTTTTTCAACAAATTTTTGGTTTCTTTCATCATCATTATCCGAAAGAGAGAAGAAGACTTGAATTTTGAGAGGAAATTGATCATCATCGCGTCGTGTTGAAGATCATCAATTAAAGAACCTTTCCAACTTGCTGATTAATTTGTTATATTATTATTGAAAACTCTTATCAAAGATGGTAGGTTTGAGAGTTGTTGATCTCAGATGCCGGTGATGATTGTGATGATTATAAATTATAATTCGGAATTTAGAGATTTCATTTCTGTGGAGGATTGGACGCACCTGATTGGCTTTTGGCTAATGTGGCCATCCTGTCTAATATTGTATGTTTAAGAGTTTCAAAATTTCATGAACCTTGTTAGATTTTTCTAATTTCATCTGAATTGGGATGTTTCGTGTGAAACACGAATTTTCACATCATTCTTGTGTGGATGGACAACATCATTGGTGTCATTGTTATTATTCTTGCTCTCGCTCACTTTAAAAGTCTTCCGTTCAGTTAAAGTTTCTCTCGATTGCAATTATGAAGGAAATTTGTGAAGCGGAAATATTTGACGTAGGTTGATGAAAATTTCACGAATGACATCAAAATTATTAATTCGATCATGACGAATGAAATAATTTGTGGAACACTATCATGTGAATTCAAATTGAAAAAACCTGTGTTCAACATTGGCAATATCATTGTTAATTTTATGAATTCATTCTGAAATATAGTATGATAAGGCACTGAAAAGAACCGAAGGTGCATGCAAGGACATCAAAGAAGTGAAAAGTGCTATTGCATCCATATTATTTATAATTTCTAACGCTGCAAGATTTGATATTGAAGAGCAACAACTTTCATTGGAATTACAACAAATTGGTTTACCGAAAGAAAGCAGTGAGTCTCTCTGTCGATCCTATAAATCGAATAAGGACAAACTTGTTCAACATTTCAAGACAAAAACTTTGAGATGTAAGTGGATAGAAATTGTCATGTCAACATTATTTAGCTCAATTTGCTTTGAATTCTTAATGAACCGTGGTTGAACTCGTGGCCGCGGGCTTCACACTTTGTTCAACAATACTGAACGGCCTCAAACAGTGCCAAAAATCGATGAATTGAAATGGCGAGTAGATTTAGTCTTGTCCTCATCAACCCTCAAGTCAATGAATGAACCAACTGTACAGCTCAACTTGAAAATTCTTCACTCTGAAGAGCATGGTTCTGTTGTCACCCACGAACGATTTGAATTGTCGGCAGACAAGTTCAGAATTTTGTACAATGAATTGAAAGATGTAAGACAACTCATGGAAGAGTACATGAAATAAATAGCATGCTTATCAACCTCACATTCACGTGTTGTTTCTCAGGCACTTGTATTTGACAAGCAATAAAACCCTCATTTCAAGTCAGCGTTCAAGCAAACAAGAATGGACACTTCAAAAGAACATACGCCAGATTATTGTTTTATTTGGAAGAAAAGTGGGAAGGAAGAAAGAAGGTAGAAGCATCGGAGCATTTCAAATCGTCTCCAAATCGTTATGATGATGAGGAAGTTTGTTGATATCCAAGAATCATATAAAACTCCAACAATTATTGTTGTTTTTCTTGTTGTTGAGGTTCCGATGCAAGTTTAGCAACCTCCTCGTTCAATATGCTTTGAATGAGTAATTCATCATCATGAACTCCTATCGTTTGAGAAGTAATATTCTTAGTTTCCAATTTTGCAGAGTTTTGTGGAGTAAAGTTAACATCCTCTCCTTTATACATTGAGCCATGAATAATTTGTTCATCATATGATTGTCTGAATTGATCCTTTTGTTTATAGAAGGCCCAACGGAATACTTGTTGGTCCTTTCTAATTTGTTCATTGAGTTGCTGAACGCAAGTTGGTGAGCCATCGAAGAGCATCATAATCCATCTTCCCTTGTAATGTTTGTCTCTGTGTCTGTACATGGGATAAGCAAGAGGTAAAATTCCCATATTGTCCAAACGACGGATGACTCCATTGTTTTCAAAAACCACTTGAGCATTTCGCTTCATCACTTGTGCAACTGTAGGTAAAGCAGCTTTAGCATTTACTAAATAAACGAGTTCATACAAGGGCATTTTCCAGTTTACCGAGTAGTACAAGAGCTGTCAATTATTTTCAAAGAGTAGAAATGATGATGATTGAAGGAGGAATTGAAAAAAGCAAACGAGAGAGTCAATTCCGAAAGTCTTCTTGTGAAGAGCAGTATTTTTTTCTTTTTTTCGTCCTCGTGATGAAAAGCCTCTCAAAGCGTTATAAAATTCAAAAGGTTTTTGAAGAACAATATATATGAGAGTGGCTTTCCTCCGAGTCAGATCTGGTGCACAACCTTGAATAATCACACAATCTTCAGTGGGTAGGCAGGTTATATGTCATCATGATGATGAGGAGGCTAAATGACATGGCAGCTATTGTTGCACCAACTGAAACCTTTCCCTAAAAGAAACAAATTCCGAACGACCCAATTATGGTTAATTTTTTTTAATGAAATATCATCCATAGAACAAATCATCATACTGTTCCTTGTCTCACATTGAAACACCTCTTCTTCAGTAGATGTTTCAATAGTTTATAATTATTCATGATGGATTGTTATACTTGCTCATAGAGTTCGTAGTTAGGTGATTTTTACAATGTAAACAAAAAAATGGAACAATCATACTCCTCAGCTACTCCTCCAACCATGATGCCTTCGATTAAACCATTCAAAGCAAATACATCTCCGAATCCATTTGTTATTGAAAATAAGAAACGAGAGGAAAAATATAAACCAATTGTGATGTATAAATGTGGAGCATGCGGAATGGAGAGCAACAAGTTTCTTGCATGTGCCTCCTGTCAAAGTAAATTAATGTACAAAAAACGAACACCAAGATTTATTCATCACGATACGAATTAATTTGAAAATTAATTTATTAATTTTTTAAATTGATCTTTCATGGGTGGTGGAGTTGTGAATGTGAATTCACAACATTCCGACAATACTACCATCCGAAGACTGGTACTAAAAATTGTGTGGAATCAACTTTTTTCCAACATTGCAATTGTAAAATTCACACACTCACGAGAAGAAGAAAGTAGATATTAATAAAGTAATAATTGGAAGGTTTACCAGTTAAACGCTGAAACGATGATTGATTGACTCGAAAGGCAATGAATAGGTCCACAACTGTGTAGTTTCATATTATAGTCTTGGAGAGAATCAAGTTGAGGTGAAATGCAACTAATTTACTCTCTATTTGAGTACGTTCCACATTGAAAATAATGTTATTTAAATGCACTTTCAAATTCCATTATTATTGTTCTTTTATTGACCACTAAGATGACAATGAGTAATCTCTCAAAACATAAATTCAAAATCTCGTTTTGTTTGTTGAAGACAACTCCAAAATTGATCATTGTCATCTTTGTCTATAAATCAAAAAAATAATGACAAAACGAAGGTTCGTGATGATGTAATGAAACATGGAGCCAAAACAACATGGAATATATATATGCATCGGAATACGATGATGACAAACACGATGGTGATGAATTGAAATTTTCAACAATATATATCGATATATACATTCACCGGAAACAAAAATCATTTACTTGAATCAAAGAATTCTGACCTATGTTGGATATTGTGGATTCGGTTTGAAGGGCTCTCAAATTCAATCAACTATTGCCCCCGAATATAGTATGTAATTTCTACAACTCTAAGCATACATGATTCGTTTTTTATTGTTACTCATTTACAAATTGTCATACTTTAATATTTCGTTGTTGAATGATAACCTCAATTCCAAACAACACATTCTCATGTTTCTGATTGTTCATGATCCTTCCCAATACACTCGCCATTCATTGTTTCATTATGACATAGCCATTGAAGGAATTATTGCAAAAAGGCTTTTCAACCATCATCTCCTAAAAGAAAATAATTATTTGAATCCGGAACATTTAAGGCTTGATAGAAGTACGAGAACGGATAAAGGAGTTCATTCATTGGCTAATTTCATATCTCTCAAGGTGGAGTCTGCTGTGAATCGATCGGATGAGAAGGCAACAGAATCCTTTGCGGACTCGATTCAACAAATGATTAATTCTAAAAGTGAGAATGAACAAGTACCATTAACAATGAATAATTATCAGCAAGTACAACAATTTCCAGATTCTAATTTGAAAGCATTCCGAGTGGAGGTCATTTCCAGAAGAGTCAATACTCGTTCATTGGTAGTCATACGTGGTTATGAATACATTCTGCCGTTTCAAATCATTCTAAATCTCGTGAAACAATTTGATTCATCTCCTCAGAAAGAGGACAAAATTTTGGATTTATTGAGATTGAAAATAGCGAATGAGGACATATACCAACTAGAAGAGGAGAAAAAGACCTCTCTATTATTGCAAGTAATTTGCGAAAAGTTAAATTATATTTTGAATCAATTTGAAGGTTATCATTCGTTTCATAATTTTACCTTACCAAGCGCAAGTAATGATGGCGAACCTATTTTGAGACAAATCTATCATTGCTTTGCCTCTCCTACTCGAGTAAAATGTGACAACAACCACGAGGAATGGGCAATCAGAATCAAACTATCTGGTAATGGATTTTTACAACATCAAATTAGAAAAATGATTTCTTCTGCTCTTTTGCATATCATTGCCCCAGAAATTATGAATCAAGAATTTTTGGACATTGCACTTAAGAGTAATGAAGAAATATTTGTTAGCAAAGTACCTGGCGAGCATTTAATTCACACCAGAAGTATCCTTTATGACCTCGAAATGGAAAAACGATTTAGTTCCTGCCGAGAGCAACAAATTACATTCAAGAAAACAATTTTATATCCAAAGATTTTCAAAGAATATCGTTCAGTATTGGAGGAGCATTGGGACAAGTATGCCAGAGAAGTTGAATCATTTGGAAATGAGTGGCTCTCGAAAAAAGAGCAAGTTAAAAATCGAGCACTCGAGAATATTGAGACACAAAGGTTATTGACCCTGCAAAGACAAGAAAAAGATGCAAAATTCAGACAAGACTTACTTTCTCAGAAGAAACTGTTTCCAGTTCGAGCGTTACCAAATGGATACAGGTCACATTTCTATGTAAAATTCAAGCTGTATCCCCATGATGAGAGAGCAATTAAGACATTGTCTACTCTAGAAGCCATGATTTTGTCCCAAAAATTGGCTGTCTCATCAAGTTTTGAACTGTTGGATCAGGTGGTTGTGTCAGAAAAGTTGTTGAATCCTTCTGAAATACAGATTGATGAAGAATTATAATATTAATTATAAATATTAAATGGATGTTAAGATTGAATGCATCAAATCATGGTTTTCTCTTTGTTCTTTTATTAACCATTAATTGGACCATATTTTGACGGTAGCATCGTCACTACATGAGGCCAGTATTTGAAAATGCTTGTTCCAGGAAACACAATTCACAACATTAATATGACTCAACAGAGTGTCCTGCAGTTGACCTGTCTTTGAATTCCAAATATAAATTTTTGAGTCTTCACTTCCACAAGCAACATATTCATGCCCAATAAAAGTTGGCCTTAACACAAATCGAGTTTGCTTATGTCCCTTATAGGTGACAGCGATCCTCTTTTCTACAATATCCCACAGATGCATTTCAGAGGGTTCTTCCTCCTCAGAGGCCAAGCACACGAGTAAAAATCTTCGGTTATTGCTTATCAAGAGCGATACAACATAATCGCTCTCGAGGAATCGCTCCACAATCTTCTTCTCTCTCAAACTGTAAATAATGATCTGTTTGTCATAGGAGGCAAGAATAATCTTATCGTTGCCCATATAGGTGGCATCTTGTATTCGAGTGTCCAACTTGATCGAGTCACTCAGAGCATGGTTGCTTCCTCCATTGCTTGTGGACACCACCGACGACATATCCCAAATCAAAATATGAGAATTCTTCTCTCCTGTCACAGCCATGTATGAAGAGCCGTCATCCGTCCACAAGCATGCAACAATGGGTACTGATTTTTTAGAAGAAGAAACTAACTTTCCATCCACAGTGTCCCAAACTGAAATTTCATTCTCTGAGGTTGCTGTCAAGATAAATCTATCATCTGGCGAAAAACTCAATGAAAGTACATGACCATTTTGTTTTAGATTGTGTGTATAGATCATTGAAGAGTTTTCAAGATTTTGAGAGGATGACGACTGAGTGGCCACTGAAATAATATTCGAAACCTTGTACACCAATAGAGACGAGTCAATTCCAGTGGTAGCCAACCATTCTCCATTATGTGAAAATTTACAAAACCAAATTTCATCGATATGATCATCTAATGTACATAACAATTTAGAGGGTATGGCGATTGAGGAACTCTTCTTAAATGAATCATCATTGAGGAGAGGAATACCATCATCATGTGCATCATGCATGACATCTCCATCTTCATCATCATAAATTAACATGGGATCATTACTTTTTTGACTTTTAACAGCCATTAATAAAAGATTTTCCAATCTATTTTCTGGAATGAGTAAGGATGGAGAAATATATTTTTCAATTTCTTCCAATAGTTGCCTTCTCGAGGTTCCATTCTTACCATCCCAAGAAGCACTCTTTTTCAACGATTGAGGATCTGGGCACAACAACAAGCTTGAAAGCATTTGTAATTGTTGTAAAGTCATGAGCGAGGACTTGTCTAGTGTGACAGTGTTCGTGGTGTTGTTGTTGTTGTAATTCGCAACACTTGACACAGAATCCATTCCATCACTAACATTACTGATGGTGCTGTTTTTCAAGGATGGATTTGCAGAAGATTGCAAACTCATGGGTGTTAATTCATTCCTCAATGTTTTCAAAGCCTCCTCAATTTCTCCATTCTCCAACAACTCCAAATACTTTTGTTTGTAGATGTGATATTTAACCATTTGAGTGTTCTTGCAATTGGATTGATTCAAAATATCATCCACAATAGATATACATTCATTCCATAAACCTTTCAGAATACTCTCACGTAATTTTACAATGTCTTTGGAGAGATATTCAATTCCAGATTCTTTCTCTAATTCAGCAGCGGATTGATTATAATCTAGAGAATGTAAGGCTTGGATGATGATCCGAACAAGATCTTTTCTATTTACATGTTCCGAAGAAGATTTGTTGGTGGAGGTTTTGATGGAGTGGAAATGATTATTGTGATGTTCAGCACTATCTTCATCCGTCATCATCATGGATGTGTTGTTATGTGTTTGTTGTTGCATTCTCAATTTTCAAACAACAACAATAATAATTTACAAATTATTTATAGTAGAGATGATGAAATGTTTTTAAATCAATGATAACGTTAGTGTTCTTGAAAACTCTTGCGCGAGTCAATGATAAGCCAGTAATAGAGTAGAGTTGATAGGATGATTTCTATGTTGAATGATTGGACGTTAATGATGCCGACTTCTCGGTGTACGGTATAAATAAAAACTCTATTCGGAAGATCAATTTCGGTACAAGTGTGATGAATCAAATAATTTTTTTTGTAAAGAAGAAACAAATTGATCATTCAACAAACTGCCGCTGATTCATCTCCAACATGACACGATGAAGTAGATCTCGACGAGAGGATTGTTTTATACTTTATTCTTTCGGAGAAGGTTTGAAAATTGAGTCTTAATGGAACTTTTAAGATCCTTGTAGGTAACGACAATCAGGGATTGTTCGTCACGGCTCATTAGTAATACTTTCTCATTGATTCCAGCGTCTAACTTGTTTAATGTTTCAACAATGTGTCCAAAATCTAGAATGCACTGATTGGAGTCAGAAACTTGAACGAATAAATAATCAAGGAATAATTTGATCATTTGTCGATCGGCAACTCCTTGTCTGTTTTTAGTGCTGTACTCGAAACTGTTGTTAATGAAATGTGTGAATATTCAAATGGCGAAGGTGTCCATAGGATGAATAATATTGTTGAGTGTGAAAAGAAAAACAAAAATTACAGTAGTACACGTACTCTTCATGCTGTGCAACAAAATTCAACTTGACAAGTATCCTGAATAATCGACCATTTTCTAGCTCTTTGGCAAGCTCGTTTTCCAGGCTATCGGCATACCCATAGGCGTTGGATAATTCATCGATATATCGAATTGCAAGTTTTGAAATTAAGGTATTAATGTCAACCTCTCCTTGCAAGAGATAGGTGATTATATCAATCAATTCTTGGGAATACTTGGCAGTGTTCTTTTTTGTAGGCATGGTCATAAGTCACATGCAATGATTAATCAAAATTTTCAAAGACCATACGATATTGTATGGGATCCTTCCAAAAATCACTAGTATCACCTACCTCATGGGAAGTTAATAATGATAGGCTATCTTGCGATTCAGGTAAGTCCTTTAGTGTACAAATTAATTCGACAATCAATGTACCCAACTGCTTAAAATCTTTCTGTTGTTGCTTGGCAATGTCGTCCTCTGTGGGATCTAGTGTGTGTCGCATTCCCATACAATTCAATTTGAATCTCTTATGTGTTCCTGGAAGAATCAAAATTTTGTTTGGTGCAAATGTTCTATACGCAAGATTGTGTGAATGAATTTCTCTAAGAGCGCTCACAACTTGGCACAACAAGCTCCACAATACAGCCTCTGAAGGTGCCCTAGATGTCTCAATAAAAAAGTGTTCTTCCAATGTTTCTGCTCCAGCACAAAAATCGTAAATAAATAAAAGGTCATTGTTGGTTCCAAATTGATCTGTAGTGATAAGATTTTTAAGGGAAACAATGTTAGGATGTCTAATTTTGAACCATGGCTCTACAAAACTGTAAGCCTGCTCGAAAATTAATTGATGCGCGCTAATACGTCTCATGCAACAGGGACTTGCTGTCATCGAGTCTATAACTCTGAATGACTCTCCAAAAGCATAATTTTCTTGATCCGAAAAATCATTAAAAAAATTACAATCTAATGGAAAAAGTGAGTGATATTGATCAATAAAGCTTGGAATTTGGGACAATTTTTCAGAAACAGATCCTTGATTTTGAGTTTCCTCATCCAAATCGTCCAAAGATTGAACATAATTTAGAAAATTACGATTCAAAAGAATGTTTCTGATGGAATCATTCGCAAAAAAGTTGTGAATAGCACGGTAAGCTGATTTAGAGGAAGAGCCAGAAAGGAAATCACTATCTCCAGGTGTGAAAATATAGGATGCTGTTGAACTGTTGTTGTTTGGATTATTATGATGATGATAATGTGGAGATGATGTGACAGGACCAGGAGCGTTTCTTTTATACGCCAAATGCTGTTGGTGCAATTCGTATTGCTGTTTGTACTGAGTTCTCTTTTGAGAGAATTGTTGTTGAAGTGTTTGTGTTGACTGTTCAATTCATGGTGATTCAAAAAGTGAAATGTTTCAAATTACATTGGCCATAATTCGGACATTGATTCATCGAGATGAACAAAAATGTAATTCGGATCCAAAACAGCAATCAGAGAAATCCATAGTATTCGCACATTTGAAACACCCAATGATTTGTCACTTATTGATGAGAAATTCATTCTCCAATTTTAAACTTACTGCTTTTACATTTTGATCGTAACTTTTGGGTTGATAAGCAAACGAAGAAGAGGACAATTTACTGGGTGATGATGGTGTAAAAGTACCACTTGATGAATGAGAGGATTGCACATTTCCACTTGTAGAAAAAGAATCACCAGCACCACCACTTGGTATCCATGATCGTTGATTTGATAGGGCTGATCCTACAGTAGCATTACTAACAAGACTACTCATCACTCCACTCGATGGAACAAAAGTTTTGGGATAAAAAGGTGAGCTCGATGATGATGATGTTGATGAACCACCACTTGTGCCCGATGAAGGAGTGATGGAGGGCGTTGATGATGCCGAAGAAGTTTGTGGCCGCAAGTTCGAGGTCGACCCTCCCGTATGCATTTTTTCTGATATAATTAAAAACTCAAAAGTTGTGTAACGGTTTTTCTCCACGAGATCAAGTTGAGAGGATGATTATTTAGTCGAGAGTTTCATCATGGTGATGAGGAGTATGTCCTTCATGAAGGACATAACAACCCTTCTTTCATTCGTTCGAATACATAACACAAAATCATCATTCAAAAGATGAATTTGGAATTTAAAAAAATTTTTCAAAACAAAGCCCTTCTTGTTCGTTCATTCAACTCCTCTTTCTGTTTCCTCGTCATCATTAGCAAAAGTTTTTTTCTTTCCTATTATCATTGTCTTGTTCTTTCTCATCATCCTCTAGAGGTTTTCCTATCATTATTATAATTCTAATCAATTTGTTAGTCCAAGATGAGTTCATACATCCCACAATCATACATACGAACGGGAAAAAAGGCAAAGGACATTGTTGCCAGAATGTTGAACACACCCGAACAACTCAAAACTATGCCTGTTAAATTGTGGAACCAGTATAATTTCATGTCAAAATTGGCGAGAAGTGAAGCTGTTGGTAGAAGTGGTCCTGTTACAGCCTTTTATAAAGGAAACTATGAAATTAAAGTTCGCCTCGAAAAAGAACAAGTACCCTACATCGGACACGGACAAGTTGATGTTTCCAAATTACAAACTCAAATTATGGAAGCTATTGAAGATGCCCGTAGAAACAATCACATTCACAAGTACTATGAGAAGAGTAATTACGAGTTATATCATGATAATTCCCTAAAACCCTATACTTTTTCTAAAGGAGTACAATATGCTTCACGGAGAGAAGATATTACTAAAGATTTCACGCTCGCTCAAGATGACGATGAAAATCAATACATGTTCAAAAAGACTCTCCAAAAGATACAACAATTAGAATTGGAATTTATTGAAGAAATGAGAGAATACAAAAAGTACTTGGTCAAGAAGCAAGACCAAATGAACATGAATCAGCCAGAAAATGAAAGAACTGACGCAACATTTACAATGACCTTGCGTGATTTTGCTTCACAAATGCCAGTGCCAGAAGCCCACAAACAATCCATTAATCAAACAGCACTTGACATGGAACTTGCTTCCTCATCAATTATGGATTATTACGTTGACGAAAACAGTGAGGCTTTGAAAAATATTGAGCTTTTGACCTATGACTCTCGTTTGGATCCTGATATGGAACCACTTGGTCCATTCATGGATGAATTAATCAGGCTTAAGGAAACAGAAAAAATGATTGCCGAATATGAGAAGGAGAATGGAAAGGGATCATTTGAAAAGTACATGACTGAAACTGTTGGAGCTGAGATTAGCACTGCTGTCTCTGGTTTGGAAAGTATGGAGTCTGTCACTAGTCCAGAAGCTCAAGAGAAGTGGATCAGAGCGCTTTTTGGCCTTGGTATGGACGAGAGTGTGGAAGAAATCCAGAAAGCCCTTCAAAACATCCAAAACCCAAGTGAAGCTTTAAACAATTCAGTTGAGACCGCCTCAGAAGAACAATCTGCAGAACCATCAACAGAACAAACTAGTGAAGAAGAAAACAAATAACTTGACAGGAGCAAGGTCAAAAGGATACAATAAAAGTTGACAAGTAATAGTTGAAATTGAGTTCAATTTAAATTGACCTCCATACTGTCGTGTCATCTATCTGCAAATGCTCCCTCACATAAAAAATTGTAACAAATACTGAGTTTTATTAAGGTTGCTGTTTTTGAATGACCAAGCTTCCAGGTACGGGCGGAAGTTGATCACTGATAGCCCACACAACAGTTTGGAAATAGGATGCATGTTCTTTGCTTGGTATTTCTCCTCCGTAACCTCTAAATAAGTCGAGAAATTGCTGATAGGTCCTCTGTTGTTGAAGAAAATATTGCTTATAATACTCATAATACAGGTCATAGGTTTTTTCATATGAATCTTCGAAAGGATTTGCACTTGGTGCTTGAATTTTTGGTGGCTCTACCACGGCCTTCTCATCTTCCATTTTCTGTTCTTCGGTGAGAGCTTTACCCATTTCATCGGCCTCCATTAAGAGCTCTCTCTTAAGCTTGTCCAGAGCACTCTCTATACCTGATTTGCCTCCACTTGTGTATTTCTTATTGTCGGTCACTCCTGGAATTTCTACATGTGACGTGACACCTGGAATGGGTGGTTGATCGGGCATGTGTTGATTTAAGCCATAAGATTGAAGTTTTGCAATAAAATCAGCAGATTCTCCGCCTCCATCTTCTACAGCAGCTCCAAGCTCAGCATCTGACATGCCTTCAATGGTGAATCCTCGTTGTCGTGCTAATTCTCTTAGCTGTTCCTTTTTTAATTCATTCGTTCCTTCTTCGACTGGAATGAGTAACCTCTTAATCATTTCAGCAGCTTTTTCAACAGAATCTTCATCTTCAGCCGTAATAAGAACATGTAAATTCTCCTCATCACCAAACGATTTTGCAGGAATTTTACCTGGTTTAACACTTCCCTTTCCACGTACAGCAATTTTTGCTCCGCTTTCCTTTTCCAATTTCTTTTGTGTTAACCCTCCAGGTCCAATAATCAAACCAATAAAATTGTAGTCTGGATATTCATCGACAGGAATGTAAATTTTACGACTAATTTCTTTTGTTTGTTCCGATGATTCTTGTTCTCCCATATCAGCCATTGAAATCTCTGATTCTGTAACAAATTGTTTGATCAATGAAAAGTGGTTCTCATAGTTAAACAGAGGATTAATTTGTCGGGCGAGAGAAACCAGTTTTTGAATTTCACGATAGAGCTTTTGTTTTTCTTGTCGGTCAAGAGATGAAAAACCATTATGTAATTGTGCTCCTTGTTCATTGAGTTCATGTAATCGAATTCGGATGAGAAGAGCATTCAAGGCTTCAATACTCATGCCTGTTGGAATTATTGTAGGGAAAGGTAAGTTTGTTGAAGACGCGCCTAGAGAAAAACCATTAGAATTTTGTCTGGAATATTGTGAGGATGATGATGAATAATTATCATTTTGATGATGATGGTGGTGATCACGATATTGAGATCCAAAATGTTGTTGTTGTGGGTGATGAAAATCAGTCTTTTGTTTTTTCTGATAAAACTGTCCTGAGTGTTGTTGTTGGTGTTGAGGTGGTGTATGTTGAGAATTTTGATCTGCATTATAATCGGAATAACTTCTTTTATATTGTTGTTGTTGTTGTTGTTGCTGATGTTGCTGATAATTTCCTCCTCCACCACCACCATAATAAATTCTATTCTGATGGCCCTGATATTGCTGACTTCTCTGTTGTTGCTGCTGAAAAGCACTAATTCCTCTCTGCTGCGATTGCGAAGAAGGAGTGACATCTTGTCGGTAGAGTCCCGACGGTGGAGGAATATTGGGCATTTTTTTTGTAATAATTTATTTTATTGTAATTAATTGAATTCATGTTCAACCACATGTAACACACGAAATTCACAAATGATGATTCACCCTAAATGCTTGAACAGATTTGTATTCAACAACATCTATCATTTCCATTACCACACAAGCGACAAATTGTCCTTAGCATTTGATAATATTTATTATTACCTTTGGATTTGTTGTCACAGGCCGATGACAATCAAGCAAATGATGAGTGAACGACTCGATTTGAAAAAACAAGGAGAACAAGGGAACGTGCATCCCTTGCGTTGCAATAACCAAAATCCATCTTCACACCCTGTGAAACGCAAGACCAAAAGGAATCTTGTTTAAATGACCACATTCTTGGTCACCAACACCCCAAAGATTCCTTTCGAAATGGTTCAAAACTTCTTTTGGAAACGTTTGGTCATTACTACTTTATGTAAAAAATCGTGGATGCATGTGCTAAGGAGAAGATCGACCTTTTTTAATGATTCACAAAAACTTCCACTCTCTGTCAGGTGTCTGATAAAAGCGTTCATTTCACTTTTTTAATTCTTTTGGTTCATAAATCGAATATTCACAACATCAACAACACCAAAAAAAAATCAATTATTTCATTTCCTTGATTTTCGAAAATTCTATTTTGCAATAATTAACCGAATCTTGATCTGAGAAGAATCTTTTTTCCACCACCCACTCATAGAGCATCTCTTCCTCCTCTGAATATTCCTTCTCATCCTCAACCTTGCAAGGTTGATCATCATCATCATCAACTTGAAACTATCCTTTTCAACAAGCTATATTTTGTTTCCAAATTTACTTTACCATGTGTTGGTCCATGAAAAGTTCCTTCTTCTTCTCATGTCTTGGTCTTGTTATGACTCTTGATCAAGTGAGAAGATTTATGCAAGTAGCAGTTCCCTCAAAAGCCCAATCCTCCTCCTCCTTTTACAACTTCAAAAAGGCTGCACTCTTCTCCCAAATTCTTCTCTACGGGACCTACTTTCTGATGGAGAGTTTGCAATTTGCTCAGTATTACTTTGGCTTGATCGATTCATGCCATACTCCGAGTAATCAAATCCTTACGGTAGTGGCTCATCTCTTGATTTGGGGTCAACCTCTTGCTCATAATTATTGGTGTTTGAAGAATACATTGAAAGGAAAGAATTTGTATCGATTTACGTTGGTCGCTTCTCTGTTGTGTCTGATCGTTTCTTCCATTTCCTTGTATATGGGTTATTATGGCTTGATGGGACACTTCCCAAAAGCCACTAATTTCTCGGAACGTGCTGATGAGAGAAAAAGGCTGATTGAATCAAGAACCACGACTTGGGATGCCTACGGAACAGAAAGTAGCATCAACGGAGTACCATTGCAAAACATTGGTACCAGTATGTGCTCCTATCAAGGACCCAATCATTTGTATTGGATGTTTCCATATCATCAATTGTATGGTTATGCACCTCATTGGTTCACATGGCTTCTCATTACTGTATTGCCTCACTTCTTTCGTTACCAACCTGTTGATGATTGGTTCATGTCTAATTACATTATGGGATTTGGATTGTTCTCAGGTTGGGTGTTGAGTGTGATTGTTTCATTAAGTTTTGGTGTCTTTCATGAAATTTGGTCTTATTGGTGTTTGGAAAGTGTGGTAAGTACAATGTGAAGTTATTTAATGTTGATGGATTCATACACAATGACGTACATTGAACAACATACATGAATGGATGGCATGTGCATTTGGATATAATACATTCTAATCTCACAATCATTGATCAAATGAAATGAATGGCAGCCTTATCTTGTGTTGCCTTACTTGTATAGAATTGTTTGGAGAGGAATTATTGGAGGACCAGATCCTAAACATGGTGCTGCCAATGCTGCTCTTCAAAAAGAAAAAACTTCAATAAATATTATGATTCATTCTTCAACTCGAAGAAAACATAATTTACAAATAATTTGACCTTGCCTAATCTGAACTCAAATGGTTTTATTGAATTTTGGCTGTGTTAAAAAGATTGCGTTGAAACAAATAGAATATATCTGGACATAGTTCTCTAATACTATTTGGATCAGGGTTCATGATCAAATATTTTCCTCCTTCCGAAAAACCTTTAATAATTCTCTCACCTTTCGTTGTTTTGATGTGTTGATATTTTATGTGTAGATGTGCCAATAAAGGAATCAGTCTATTATTCTTGCTTAATGTTGTTATAAAGTCTTGTTTTTCTTTCCCCCAATCACAACCGCAGAAAAAGGAATTAAAAAGTCATAATTAATGTAAAATTCTTCAACTTTTGTGCACTTGATCCCTTTTTTAACAGCTATCAAGAATTCTCTTCTTGTATCGAAATTGTGTAACTTATTACTCACAATAACCCCATAAGGCCCATCATCAGAAAAGTTCAAACAAATACCGTCTGCATGACAATAGGTAGAAGGATAGAAATATAACCCGTCAATGATATCTTTGAATGTAGTGCTCGAGTTTTCTTCAATTGGTTTGTTATAATTTAACAAACAATGAAAATAAAAAACATCCCCTTGAGCAAATTTTTTAACAGATCTGTTTAAAAGTGCTTGTGCCCATTTTGATGTGCGATATTTGTAATAGAAATTAATCGATTGAATGAATGACTTAATTTCAAAATTGAGTTCCATTAATGGCTCATATGGGCTACCTTTGGTTATGAGATTTGCAATGACTGCATTGTTCTTGAGAGATTTGCCACAGTGGTGTTGCAATAGAAGAGGAAATATCTTGTTCCACACTTGAGGATTATCATGTGGAATTGTTAATAATTGGTTCAAAATGGAGATTGGATTATTTGGTATGGTCATGGAATTCAAGTATTTCTTTGTAACAATCTCTTTTGCTACCTTTTGTAGAATTGGATCAGACGCATCAAATTGATACTCATTGCAATTAAGTATAAACGTTGAATTCAAACAACTCCAAATTTGGTTTTGCTATCCCAGATCCAATTACCGAGGAAGCCAATTGATCATCACATGTGATTGTTTTCCCCCCAATATCATATTCATTAATTAGAAAAACATCCATTAAAAACGAAGGGTCCAAATATTCTGGTGATTGTTTGTTGTCAATTCTTTCTAATACACTTGTTTCAATTGACTTCACAAAATTGTTCCACTGATCTTTGAAAATTTGTACTAGATCGGGAGATGAAGTTGTTTCTAAAAAGGAGGCTACAAGACCAATAACTCTTCTTCTTGTGGGAAATATGTGTTTAACAGATTGATAAAACTCTGTTTTGGAGATATTGGATGCTTCTAATAGAGCATCCACATCATACATTGTTTGGAGCAACTGCAATGCTTGCTCGAAATCAATGAAATTCAAACCAATAAAGTTGTATGGAGGTGTCATTTCGCGTAATCTCCCCAGAGTTGACTTGACAAACTCAATCCTCTCAATTTTAAAATAGGTGCCACAATAAATATCACAAATTATCGGAAAGGAACTTTTTAAATGAAAAATTTCTTTTTCCATTAATGAAAACAAATTTCGAGGAGTACCCTTATTAGATAATATTGGAGTTTGGAATTGCAAGAATAGACTTGCGTTATCAATAGCAATAATAAATGGCGAATCATTTCTCAGGTTCAATCGATCATATAACTTTCGCATTAAAAAATTTAAGAAATTACTTATATAGTAAGGCTGGGCAGATATCCAGGGATTACTTTTCACTATTTCTGAAAAAATTTCTGAAGATACTTTCATAGTATTTCTATTATATTGAGCATAAGATAACATTTGGAGAGGATTATCGAATGGTGTTTTGTTCTCCGTTTGTTCCCATATAGTTAATGAAAAGTGAAGAAATAGTAATCTTGCGATAAAATTACAAAGAATTAGTTGACTTGCAGTAGCATTGATATCAATGATTGGCTTTTCTTTGAACATTCTTAATAGTTGAATAGAAATTGCATCACCATTGCTATCAGAGAGATTTTGAGAATCAGGTGAGCATGTCATCATGATGCCTGGATTGGCTCCTAATTTTCTCGCAATCAAAGCAGTTTTCCCCACCCCTTCTGGTGCCAACACGTAATTACATGATTCCTTAATATCAACTCCTTCATCAAACCAAACCTCTTGTAATTTTGGAACAAAGGGAAACACTTCTGTTGCTATTTGGTTGTTTCGAACAGGAACAAGAACATCTTTAACAAACTGAGAAGAGGTCTTACAATGTACCTTAAAAGGAACAAGAATGTCCCGCATAAACAAAGTATGTTCAAAATTATTTCTATCTTTTTGTAGTAATCGTTCATTGATGAAGCGATTCAAAACATCCTCATAGTCTCCATGATCTCTCAAAAACCCATACCATGTAACACCGAAATGATATCTTTTGCCTGATTCTTAAGTCCTTCTGAATTGATTGCATTGACCAATCCTAGCGATACCAAACCTTGGATTTTCTTTCTTTCCTTCTATTTTCATCTGATTGAGGAAGAGCTTCCACTCTCTCTTCATCATCCTTATCCATCACAAATTCTCTTTGCTTTCTCTGTTTGTGGGGTGGCATTCCTTTTCCTTCGTAAACGTTGAAGAATATTTTTTAAGTTCAAAAGTGTTTAGTTTGGACACTTAAGGCTTTTTTTCAAATCAGTCCTGAGAAAGCTATGGATTGGTTGTTAAGCTTTGTAAGGAATCAGGAGTTTCAACAAACACAATCCAAAACCAAAACTTGTGTTTAAAACAAGATGGCTAACCTTTTACAAGGAGAAGAATACGTTTTACATACCTAAAAAGAAATAACAGAATAATCAACGATTTATAAAAGGAATAATATTCATCTAAGGCTTTTCGATCAAAATAAACGTTTGAAAAACCAGAATTTTGTTCACATATTCAACATTGTCATTTCATTGTATTGTTCCACCTTTGTTTGTCACAATGAATTTGATTATAAACAATATTTTCGATTTTCGATTTTTAAGGAAACTTCACTTCAATACCTGTTTTAAACAAAGTTTGATCGGTCATCTTGAAATATACACTTTTGCATTCAAAAACAAACCCATTCATATCAACATCTTGATCTTACAGTTAGGCTCTGCATTAGTTTGTATTTGTTCATGTATTCGATTTCTGTCAGAATTGCTTCCTTGTAAAGAAAAATCCAATTTCTTCAAAACAATCCAAACACGGAATCAGTATCAGATAATGTCAATAACTATTTGATAATGTCATAACTATTTGCATCAATAACATGAAAACATTTAAGAGTGTCATAGATGTCAGTGATTCAAGAGTGTGATGTCACTTCACATGAAATATCATTGTCCATTATTGTGACTTGTTGTTCTCTTCATTTGGAAGCAAGCCTGTCAGCCATTGAGAGGATGGTATTTCATAGAATGGCATTTGGGTATTCTCGTTCAAGGCTTCATTGATATCCGCGTCATGATGAATGGTAGAGTCTATTTCCTCATTGACATGTATTACCCTCACATTCATGGTTTGAATGGAAAACAATTCTCGGGCCAACATGAAGGAAATGTTCGGAGCAGAATCACACTTCTTCACGACGGAATTTGTTTGCGATGATGATGAAACGGTTGCCAAGGCCATCAAGTGTTTTACATGGTTGAATAGAGAATTTTGGAACGAAGGAAGTATCATCATGAAAGAGTTGTTGTTGTTGAATTCAAATAATGGGGATGGTGTAATTGTTTTTTTTAATTTCTGTTTGGCATACAAAATTTCTTAAAATGTACAAGTTGAGAATGTTCAAATTAAGTAACTATAAAAACATCCAACAGAACGCTTTATTCACAGTTATGATGGAGCAATCCCTGAGTTCCTCTAGCAGACCAGCCCTTTTCGATAAACATGACATTTTTTCATATCAAGCTTTTGAACCTTCCGAAAGTATATGAGTGGTTTCCTTTCTTTCAAGGGATGTTTGAATTGAACAAATGCACGCTCGAGTTTGAAAAGTCTTCAAATTTAATACTTTCTGATTTGCTTTAATTTCCTTCCTTTACCTCTCCCATTAAAGAGAGTGAGTGCACGATTGAGATGCTGCTCTTGCTTTGGAATGAGGATCATTAAAATCAAAGCATGTGGAGCATGTCGAGATCGAAACAAAAAAATGCTCCAAAATAACAACACCCCACAACAACTCTTGCAAGAAGTGGATGCCAATATTTCCTTCCCACAAGAAGAGGAGAAGGTACTCGCCTTCTGGAAGGATATTGATGCTTTTAAAACAAGCGTAAAGATGTCTGAAGGAAAGAAGCCATATTCTTTCTATGATGGTCCTCCATTTGCAACAGGGTATGTAGTTTCGGGAGAGAGATTTTGAAGATGATGATGACTCTGAGGTTTTTGCTGAATATTCATCTCTCTACCCGTCCGTTTGTTGTTCTTTCAATATATGGTTGCCGAATACTTGAATCATCAACCTGATATATATTTTGTTGGAATTGAATTTTTGGTTCGTGATATCCACTTTTCCACAATTTGGAATCTTACATGAATTTAGCGTATGTAAATATATTGTGATTTCTTGTCATTCTCCTAACACGAGTTTCGGTAATATTCTTCAAATCTTCTGAATTCTTCAATGAATTGTGGGTTATTGTTCATCTCATTATTGCTCACGTTACCCGATACTATAATTGTCAACACATAATTAATCGATGATGAATCAATGAATGGCACATATAAATATTATCAACCGATCATCATTATGAAATCGTGTTGTTTCATCACTACTATGGAACCTATAGCATCCTCACTACGGTCATATTCTCGCAGGTACTATTAAAGATGTAGTCACTCGGTACGCTCACCAAACTGGACACTATGTTGAAAGAAGATTTGGATGGGATTGCCACGGTTTACCAATTGAATTTGAAATTGAAAAGATTCTCAAGAGAGAAATGATTGAAAGCCAAAAGCTTCTCTCTGAAGAAGACATGAAAGACGAGCAGAAAGTGAAGGAAAAGATTGCTTCCATGACATTGAGTCGTGCTGACATTGAAAATTATGGTATCGCTAGATACAATGAAAAATGTGAATCCATTGTCATGAAATATGCCTCAGACTGGGAGGAAATTATTACTAGATTGGGCAGATGGATTGATTTTAAGAATGATTACAAGACCATGAACTTTTCATTTATGGAGAGTGTTTGGTGGGTCTTTAAACAATTGTGGGACAAGGGTCTCGTTTACAAGGGAGTTCGTGTCATGCCATACAGTACAGGTTGCACCACTCCACTTTCAAATTTTGAAGTGGCACAAGGATACAAGGATGTGCAAGACACTGCCATTACTGTTGCTTTCCCAATCATTACTAATGATGAACGATTCAAAGATACTAGCTTTTTGGCTTGGACCACTACACCATGGACTTTGCCAAGTAACTTGGCTCTCTGTGTCAATGAAAACTTTGACTATGTGAGAGTTTATGATGACCAAAAGAAATGGCACTTCATTATTTTGGAAGAATTAGTGCCAAAATATTTCAAAAAGGCAAAGACCAATGGAAAATTCAAGGGTGCAGAATTGGTTGGTTTGAAATATGAGCCACTTTATGATTTTTATCGCGCTGAATTTGGATCAGTTGCATTCAAAGTTGTTTCTGATGACTATGTCACCAATACAAGTGGTACTGGTATTGTCCATCAAGCTCCAGGATTTGGTGAGGACGACTATCGTGTCTGCTTAAAACACGGAATTTTTGATGGAAAGGAAGTTTTGCCACCATGCCCATTGGATGATGTCGGTCGTTTCGTGTCCCCAATTGAAAAATTTAAGGGAATGTACATTAAGGATGCTGATCATCACATTTGTGATGATTTGAGAGAACGTCTTAGATTATTCAAGAAGGAAGCTATTGCTCACAAGTATCCTTTCTGTTGGAGATCTGATACTCCACTCATTTATAGAACCATCCCTTCATGGTTTGTTGCAGTGACTGAATTGAGAGAGCGATTATTAGAAAACAACAAGAGAACCTACTGGGTGCCAGAACATGTTCAAGAAGGTAGATTCCACAACTGGTTGGCTGATTGCAAGGATTGGACCATTTCAAGAAGTCGATACTGGGGTACACCAATCCCAATTTGGATGAGTGATGAAGGTGAGGAAATGGTTGCTGTAGGCTCTGTTGCAGAATTAGAACAATTGAGCGGTGTGAAGGGTATTACAAATCTTCACAGACAATACATTGATGGAATTACTATTCCAAGTCAAAAGGGAACTGGTAAGATTTTGAAGAGAGTTACCGATGTGTTCGATTGTTGGTTCGAATCTGGATCCATGCCATACGCACAAAATCACTATCCTTTCGAAAATGCTGAAAAATTCAAGAACACATTCCCTGCTGATTTCATTGCTGAAGGTTTGGATCAAACAAGAGGTTGGTTCTACACTTTGTTGGTCTTGGGTACTGCCTTGTTTGATACTTGCCCATTCCAAAATGTCATTGTGAACGGACTTGTTCTTGCTGAGGATGGTTCAAAGATGAGTAAGAGTAAGAAGAATTATCCAGATCCAAAGCTGGTCATTGATGAGCACGGATCTGATGCTTTGAGATTATACTTGATTAACTCTCCTGTAGTTAGAGCTGAACCTCTAAAGTTCAAGGAAGCCGGTGTCAGGGATGTCGTAAAGGATGTCTTGTTGCAATGGTACAATGCCTATAGATTCTTCGTCCAAGCTGTGAGACGATACGTTACGGAGACTGGAGAACCCTTCAACAGTGATATTGCCAACTCTGCCAAGATTGAAAATATTATGGATAAGTGGATTGTTTCCTCCAGCAACAGTTTACTGAAAGCCATTGCTGAAGAAATGAAGGCCTATCGGTTGTACAATGTTACACCAAAATTAGAAACATTTATCGATCACCTTACCCGTTGGTACGTCAAGATGAATAACAAACGTTTGAAGGGAGAACAAAAGGGTCAAACTAAGGAGGATAGATTATCTGCTTTGTCTGCCTTGTTCATTGCATTGTATAATTCTGTGAGAATTATGTCACCATTTACTCCATTCTTGTGTGAAAAGATGTATCAAAATCTCAAAAATTTACTTTCTAAGAGCGAAGCTAGCGTTCACTTTGAAATGCTCCCTCAATGTGATGAGAGTAAGATTGATTTAGAAATTGAAAGAACTGTTGAGGCAATGCAAAGCGTTGTTAAGGTCGGAAGAACTTTGCGTGTCAGAAAGAATATTCCTTCGAGAACACCAGTTTCTGAGTTTATTGTTTGCAATGTTGACGAAGATTTCATTAGACGAGTGAAGGAAATGGATTATTTCATTAAGAAGGAACTCAACGTTCACGGTAACATTGTGGCAACTAGTGACATTAGACAATATAGCGTCAAATTAGAAGCAAGCCCCGATAACAGACTTTTGGGACAACGTTTAGGCAAGAAGTTCAGAGAAGTGAATCAAGCTATCAAATCATTAACACATGAGCAATTGGTTCAATTCTTGAAGACCAGAGAAGTCGTGTTGTGTGGTGAAAGAATTACCAGTGAAGAATTGATTGTCATTAGCAAATTTGTTGGCACTGAAAAGAACTACTTTGCTGATGATTGCAGCAATGGTACCTTGATACTCAACACTGAGGTGAGTCAAGAGTTGATGGAATTAGGTTTCTGCAGAGAAACAACAAGTATGGTTCAACAACTTAGAAAGAAAGCTGGATTGAACTTTGACGATAAGGTTGATGTATTTGTGACAGGCAAGAGCTCACCACAAATTGTTGAAATTTTGAAGAAACACACCTCTTTCATTGAACAACACTTGAAGGGTATGCAAGTCTTCTTTGAAACTCCAAAATCTGAAAAACCTGTGGTTATTTCTTCAGAGATGAATGTTGACAGAATTAATAACGACAATGATCATGTTGTAGTTGTCACCTTGGTGAGATAAATTATTTAATTGTTCATTCTTCTGAATCATCAATTTCTGAATCTAAAATTTGCTTGTTTTGAAGGGAGAGTGGACGTCTCATGTGATAATACAAGCCAGGATGACAGTGCTGAAGCTAATTGCACGAAACAATCAGCTTGATACCCATTAATTATGGTACTTTTGGAATGCACTTGTTATTTAAATTTCTATATGAGTACAAACAAGCCTTCTCTTTTTAGCAATTTACAGCTCGTCATTCTGTCAAAAGCAGTTCAGTTATATTCACGCAACAAAAAACAGTCATCCATCTCATCCCCCTTCTCTCTTCCCACAACAACGCCTAGCTCCATACTACTACTACTACTACTACCACAATTAATAACGACACACTCTTATCGTTGTCATTAACCTCCTTCTCTCTCCTCAATAATGATGATGACACCAAGCAAAACAACAACGGCCAATGCTTCCTCTTCATCATCCTTCGGAAATGCCAACAACATCAATCATTCCATCAGCACCAACAACCATAATCATAACATCATGAATAACTCCACTACCACCAGCACCACAACAACATCAACGACCGGAAATTCCCTTCTCACAACCATCAAACGAAAATTCGCTCCTTCCTTGAAAAACAAATCCTCTTCTCCCAACATCCAAAAGTTCAGTTCTAGAACAACTTCCTCTCATCGTGTTGATGATGATGATCCTGTTCATGAACAAGAGCGTTCGGCTGTATACGGAGGCAAGACCAAACACAAGTCTAAATCAGCTCCTAATTTAAAGAGTAATAATCATAATAATAATAACGGCAACAATACGAATAATAGTAGTAGTAATGGTGCTGGTGCTTCTTCTTCCTCTTCAGTCATTGTTCATTCTCCTTCATCCCCTCTCCCGGAAAACACCACCACCACTCCAACAACAACCCATCCCTTCTTGATGATGAATCATGGTAGTCCCATTACCAATAACAACAACAATAACAATAGCAGTAGTAATAGTCCTACTCCAACGAAACGTAAAATTCCTCTTCTTTCCTTGTTCACGAACACCACTTCTGCGACACTTCCAACAGCAACAACGACCAAAGAAGCTTTGGAAACCTTCTTTGATGAAACTTTGCAGGTCAGTCAGACTGGTCGTGATGATGGTTCAAGCACTGGAGGATTGACCTCTCCGAGAATTTCCATCGCTCCGAGACGTACAAAATCCATGGATCGAACATGGAGTGGTGGTGCTAGTGGTGGCCATCATACGACGATCACCACCACCACCAACAATTCATCAACAACATCCATAACAACTGCATTAGGCTCTACAATGACTCCACAAACCAGTGGTGAATCAGCAACTTCACCCTATTCACCACGAGTGTCCTTTCAACGATTGACAGTGGGATCCTTCATGGATCATGAAAATTCATTGATGATGCCACAACATTCTGAAGATTATCTTTCCAATGATCATTCTCACAACAACATTAATACTAGTCATGCCAATACTGTGATTGAAGATGAATATTCACAAATTATGAATTCGGAAATTGGACGTGAAATTTTCTTTCAATACATCCAAAAATCAGCGCATTTGGAACAAATTGAATTTTTACAAGACACGATTCGATTGTATCAAGACAATGCATTATTATTAATGACGACGTCGAATTCTGCAGGATTGCTACCAAATTCAGCACGATCACCAGTTTCTCCAAGAGGAAGAAGAAATTCCAATTCATTGTACCATCATGACACAAATTTCAATTCAACAAGTGCAGTCACTGCCACGACGACGACACAAACGTCATTTTCTCAACCAACAAGTTCATTTGGATATTTATCATCGTCAATGACAGACGCAAATACTTCTTCATCATCGCTCAGTAGTGGTGGAACGACCGATGACACGAACTTTTCACAAACGAAATCGTCGTCTGTGAGTGCCATCGTTGGAAATTCTTCACCCATTGGAGGTTTAAAGAAACTTGTGAAATCCAAGACACGTGCAAACAGTACTTCCTCAGATCCCAATGATAAGACATTCATTTCAACTTCGGAAATTTTAATGAAATACAAGCAACAACAGTTACAAAATATTCAACAGTCACTCCTTCAACAGCAACAACAAAATTCACCACAGTCAACTTTTTCTCAAAATGGAACGTTCCAACAATCTCATATTTATGTTGGATTTAATTTATTACACATTGAAACATTAATTCATAAATACATTTTGGAACATTCTCCAAAAGAGTTAAACTTGAGCAAGAGACAACGACAAAAAACATTGGACGCTTTTGAACGACTGAAGAATGAAAAACTGCGCTTTTTAAATACTCATGTTTATCCAGAAAATGCACAAGTTTCAGAAATTCCTCATCATCTCTATTGCGACATGTTTGTGAGTGAGGATGAATTTATTGAAATTTTTAGAGATTTAATTAATAACATTAATTTACAACTTAAATTAGAATGTTTTAGAGATTTTAGAAAATCACCCGAATATTTGGAAGCAGTCGTAAGTGAAAGCAGTAACGACGTGAGTAGCGTGACTGGAATTTTGAGTAGTCAAAGCAAGTATCCCATCGACACGATTGCAACTCCTAGAAGATTTTTCAATAAGCGACGACTTTCAGAGAATGACCTTTCGCATCTAAAGAGTGATTCAACATCATTCAATAACCATGCATTGTTACTTTCTCCAAGAAGAGACTCTACGGCTGGTTCGAGTACAAGTGGTCACCACTCGTGGCTGCAACGTGAGCAAAAGTCAAGCGCTCGATCCTTGTTGAGAAATATGAAAAATCCACTCGAATTGTTTATGGTATTGCACAATAGGTGAAGAGAAAGTGAATTAAATCATCCTTATTTAAGTGATTGTTGGTTGTTCCACCCAAAATTACAAAGCCACCTATCAGACCAAATTTGGAAAAAGCTTTAAAAAGATTTGTAGTGGTGAACTCTGAAATTGTTGTAACCCTCAATAATACACTACGAATTGTCTTGATACCAAGATTTAGATTTACTTGGAGAGTATTTTAGTTTTTGTGATGGTGAACACTGCTGGACACTGTTAAATTTGGGCCGCGACCACACATTTCGTCATTGTGGAAACAACACAAAAATTGAATCAACACTAAAAGATGATCTTTATTGGAAATACTAGCAGTAGAAACAATAGCAACTCTACTCCTATGGTTAACACAACAAACATCATGAACGACGACAATATTTTAGAAGTTCACATGAATGAATTATTGATGGAGAACAACGAAGACATTTTCATGTTATTATTAACGTTGAAATGTTCCAACCTGAAAATTCGACAAGAGTTGAGAGATGACAAGTTCCATTTAGAGGAGACTGAACAATTGTTAATGAAATCACATACACCTGCAGATATTGTTTGTGTGATTGACAAGAGTGGTTCGATGAGTGGTGAGAAAATGACACTTGTCAAAGATACTTTGGATTTTGTCATTGGAGCTTTAGGACCCAAAGACAGATTGTCCATTGTTTCATTCGATGATGAGTTCTTCACTAATTTAAAATTGACTTTTATGAACATGGATGGAAGGGTAAGTACTGTGTGAAATGACAACAACTTTCAATTATTTTACATTTATGGTTAAAATATTTCAACTCATTCCAGAGACGAGGATCCATTTCCGTTGAAAATATGAGAACTGGTGGAAGTACTTTCCTCTCTGGTGGTTTACTGAGAGGTATTGAAGAAATGAATGCCATTCCTAAACGTATCAGAAATCCTTCACGAGCTCTCTTATTGTTTACAGATGGAATGGCAAATAAGGGAATTACTAATACGTAAGTCATTATTCATTTGATTCAAAATGTTTGACAATACAATTTTTTGTAAATTATTATAATATATATTCTATTAATATTATTTTATTTATTATAATATATTCTATTAATATTCTATTAATATCATATGATTCATATAATATCTTATTAATATTGCCATTTATGGATATTCAAAACTATAACAAAATTGGGAATGAAAATTATTCAGTTCTCATCTCATTCAAGCCATTCGAGATCCAACTAAAGATTATTCTATTCATACCTTTGGATATGGTTCAGAACATGATGCAATCATGCTCTCAGCTCTTGCAGAAGAAGGAAATGGAATGTATTATTATGTGAAGGATCAATCGTCCATTTCGAAGTGTATGGTGGACTGCATTGGTGGAATTTTGACATGTCAAAAAAGGAATGTGAAACTAAGTTTGAGTGGTGATAGCAATGTACAGTTTGTTCAAGTTTTCGGACCTCATGCAACTCCACAAGGAGACAATACTTTTACAATATTTTACAATGATTTACAAATGGAAGAGGAGAAGCATATTATGATCAAAGCCAAACGTCAAATGCCAAATTCTCAATACGTGGGCCCTTTAAAGATCAGAATACAATTAAGCATGAATAATATTCAAAATAATTGTGAAATGGAGACATTCGAACAGATTGTACAAGTAGAAAAATCTACTCTCAACTCGAATTGGAAATCCAAGTTGAACTGCCACTTGTCAAGACAATATGCAGTCCAAGCATTGAAAGAAGCAACAGAGAAATTACAAGATCATTCCATGAACGTTGCTTACAATATTTTGAAGAATGGTCTCGAACAAATTCATCAATGCGTGATTGAAATGGATCATTCTCTCAATTCTCCCAATGATGCTTTGACACTTTACATTTTTCACACCTTACAAAATATTCTTGCAGAGTGTGAAAACCATTCGATTCCGTCTTCCAATATATTAAGCAAGATGAACTCACTCTATTACGAGTTATTGTATGAAAGGTCAGTCAGTGATCCGAGTGTGATGGATCAATCATCCTCTTCGACTCATCCTTCAACTGTCATTCATCAAACTCTCCCTCGCAAATTCTATGCCTATCGAATGGCCAATCGAATCAAATTCATGAAGTGCCATAATTGTGGAAGTAACCAACATTTTGCAAGAAATTGCACTCGGGCAGAGATGTGTCACAATTGCAAACAAATTGGACATTTGGTCAATCAATGCCCATTTCCACCAAAGTGTCATCATTGTGGAAGCACTGAACACTTGTCTAGACAATGCACTGAAATGATTTGTTTTAAATGCAAACAATCTGGACATCGAGCGAATGAATGTCCAATGACGCAATTTCAAGGAGGAAACAGCAAGTCAAGATTTGGGAAGGACAATGACAGAAAGAAGCATCATGGAAATTATCCAAAAAACAAGCATTAATAAGGATTTAACTGATGCATCGCTTATGAACTTATTCAGTTAATTTGTGTGTTTTTTATCTAAAATGTGTAAATAACCTGCAAAGGTACTTGTTAAGAATGAAATAATGGCAGCAATGATTTGAATAAAGGCACTCAAAATCATTCCTAACATGAGACCACAAATTTTGGTGAATGGTCGATTCATGAATGAAACCTTTTCCTTGGTCGTGTCAGAAGAGACATTGGAGGAGGTTTTTTTCACAATAAAAAGCAATCGAGCGCTGACAGCAATAAATACAATCAAATTTGTCACATTGACAATAAAGAAGATGCATAAGAGCACAATTTGTAACGGAACGGCAAGTGTTTTGTTGAGAAGAGTTATTTTCACAAGCAAGTTGAGAATGGCATTAAGAATAATGAGGACGCACAAGATACCACTCGTGATCATGTTTAAGGCAATGATTGATCCTCTTGTGAAAATGTAAACCTTTTTGGTCATGGTCCCTGCAGCTGCTGCTGTGGTCATACTGTTTCTCGAATGAAATCCATATGCATTTTGGTTGGTGAAGAAATTGATCAAGAAGGGGAAATCATGGTGATGAATTTGTAGTGGGTGATGGTTTTGGCCGTCACAGAGATTGGTCAAGAAATGACATTTTAGAAATGCAACCAAATTTGTCGACAACGTTCTCGATTCCAGCACGCGCAATTATCATCATTTGATCCCACTCAATAACCAACAACAATCAAACACACACACTCTCTCTCTACTTACAACAAGTCTTGTAGAAAACCAATAATCATCGTAATGGTTACAATCGCACCAAAAGACAAGGCATTCTCAATCACAGAAAAGACCCACAATACAATTCTATAATCCAACAAATTTGGAAAATTCATCCAATCCTTTTCATTCATATAGGCCGAAGTACCATGATACACCACACGAAAACACAAGGCAACCAATAAACCTGTCAAGAAGAAGAGAATCTTTTGCTTTCGTTTCATTTCTTAAATGAATGGCATAAATAATGAGAATGGTCAAAAGAATGTTCAACACGATCAAGTAGAAACCAGAATTGCTGAGAGAAGCAACGTTTTCTCGAGGTTCAGCAATTTTACCTTGAGTGGCATTAATGGATTGAAAGAACATGATGGGAAAGAAAAGATTGAAAGATGATGCTGCAGCAAGTGTTGAGGTTGGTGATGTTGCTGCTTCTGTTGTGGGTGTTGGTTCTGTCATGATCATGTTGTTGGACATGTGGTGGTGGTGGTTGTGAGAGTTGGTTTTTTTGTGAGTGGTGGTCATCATGGTAAAATCTTTTAATGGAAGAAAGAGATCTCTGTTTGAACAAATTCAGAATGGAAAAAACTTCCAATTAGTTGATGGATTTCATCTTGAACCACTCGAGTGGCCATGAGCTGATGCTGGCAAGGTTCCAAATGCTGGCAATTTACCAAGTATGTGCAAGGAGACATGTTGTTTCAACGCACATGAAATCCGTAAAGAGGGTATACAACGATGCATCTCATGGTTGGAATAACTCTGCGAGGAACCACCCTGGGTCAACATATTTTGACCAAAAGATGGAATTGGATTCCTAAGGAGAAGAGAAGTGAACTGCTGATTGAGTCACCGTCCATATGGAGTGACACCATCTCTGTTGAACCTTTTCGCAAGAAATGACACAGTGCCACTTCAGAAATTTCTTTCATCAGATGGAACGACATGAATGTATTGAGATTTAACCGTCAGCAATTCTCTCGTTGTCTGCCATCACTGAAGGTTGTTGAGTTGATGACATTCACATCTTGACAAATGTTTAAAGTAAGCAAAATTTTTATTGAAGGACTCATCGATGAATTCCATATTCTCTCAGTATGGACCATCACATTCATGTGTGCGTGGACATTCATTCGATTGCATCACATAGTTCATCATTCGGTCAAGTACTTGAATTTCATCAAATTTCGTTGTGTGTTGAGAATAAAGTTCAGAAGAAGCTGATTTTGATTGATCACTCGACAAGAAATGATTCACATTCACCATCCAGACACTTTCAGGCTCACTCGACACACCCGCAGGCATGGTGACATAGTCTGCTTTCTCCACTCTTCCTTCACGAGCCTCTCCTGTCCTTATTTTTTTAACCGCCACAAGCGATACCATTGGGGTACGTTTTGGTCAATTTTTTCTTCTCCAAGTGAACACAGTGGCAATTATTCAATCCAATTTGCATTGTTGAGTCAGAATCAATAAATTATTGTGAAAGTACTTTTAACGGTATCATCTCATAGATTTTGAATGTCCTTTTCAACACACACTCTTGAGAATTCCTAATTCACGATTCCAGAATTCATCTCCTCCAAAAATAACTACCAAAAACAACAGAAAAAAAAATGTAGAAACGAGATCACAACCACCTTGTGGTGAACTATTTATCACAACACCATCTCTGTCGGAAATCATACTCCTTCAATGACCATGTTTCGTGTGACTTGGAAAAAAACAAGAAACAAAATCTAGCTCCAAATCTCATACTCACAAAGAGCAATCATGTAAAAGTGATGATTCATGATTTTTCAAAAACTTCTTTTGATGAACATGATTCAGAAATGAATCCTCTTCGTCGTTGGGAATTGTTACTATAAAAGAAAATTTCATTGCAACAAGAAGGAAAAGAAATGGCTCGAAAATCGTGAATTGAAATTTGACAAGTTCTTTCCTGTCGAATTTATGAATGATAAGAATTTGTGTTGAATTACATTAGCAAGTATGGCTATGGATTGAAATTTGCATCCAAGTCATTAAAAAAAGATCGAAAGTTTGTGTTGAAAGTGGATCAGTTATTAGGAACAGAATATGCAAGTGAAGACTATCCAAATAGGTACAAAAAACTATTTTTCAACGTTGTTTAGGAATGTCAAGTTTTTTCGCCTGATAATGATGAACCGGATTATAAACAAATTATGTTAGCTGCCGTCAAGAAGAATGGTCAAGCATTACAAAACATCAGCAATCATTTGAAATTCAATAAAAAATTTCTATTGACAGCCATTCAAAAGAAAGGTATTTTCATTCGTGCCAACAACCATTTTACTTGATCGTGAATTCTTATGGACACTTGTCCAATTTCTAGTTCCTGAATTTTCTCATTTAAATCCTCTTGATTATTCCAAAAAAGAAATCATGATGAAATTTGTTCAAGAATTTGGACCCGTTCTTTGTTTTGCAAATAATACACTCAAAAAGGATCGAGAGATTGTTTTACATGCAACAAGGAAAAGTATCAATTATTATGCGCAGGATGTCACTTTTGAGAACACACAGATATTGAAAAGAAGGTTGTTTTAAATTCCTTGCCCAATTCCAAATCGGTGATTGAGCAAATTCAAAACGCAATGGCCATCAACAAGATGAAATGGATGATTTATGAACAAGATTGGTTGAAGGAGCATGTGGATCGTGTTCAGGTATCTGTAAAGGAAGAGGAGGATTGTCAAGAGGAGAAGGAATGTCAAGAGGAAGAGGAGTATTGTCAAGAAGAGCAAGATCAAGAGTTTTTGGAAAATCTGTGTGAAAGTGATTTGGAAGAAGAGGATCAAGAATGAAACGATTGTGAAAACCGATAGGATTTATTCACGGGTGGACAACTCGAGCGTATTTTTTGCCAAACACCTCAAGCTACGAGAAAACTTTTCGCTGGGAATTTTAATAACACAACGATCATAGGATGATTTTATGATGGTTTCAATCCATCAAAACCTGCCAATGCAATTGGTTGTTTCTGACACATAAAGGAAACACCACATCACTATTGGTGCGTCAATATGTTGAATTGGCATTACAAGAGCCATGGTGGTTGCTTCTTAAAAATTTGTCACGTCCATGGAGGACTGGAATTGTGACTGAGTTGAAGACAACCATTCCCGCTCATCACAATCACATGATCGACACCATCTCTCTCTCAAACAGTCATTACATACTTTCAAGCCACAATCCTTGCATGGAGTTAGTGATAAACAAGGCTTGTGGCATGAATTGCATAGCAATGTTGGCATGTTTGGATGGCAGATCTTACAAAGGCCGTCATAGTAACATTTGCAACATGTTGAATTTTGACATTGAAGGCATTTAGAAACGGCATTGGTTAGTCTGTGACAACATTTGCAATGATAAACTATGAATATCGAACATCGTTGACATTCTCCATTGTAAGAACATCGCTCACAAACAATATCAGAACAACAGGAACACAATATTAGTTCCGTGTAGTTGGAACAAACTTGGCACTGTCTCCGTTTGCAATTTTCTGGATTGCACCCACAAGTTGCATCACATATTCTTCCAAGCTTGGCATAATTACAATTCAAACAATTTCCTTTTTTACATCTACATCCAACTTTCTTCTATGCTTTGTGTTCATCATCATTATTGTCATTAATTTTCTCTCTTTTCCTTTTAAGTTGATTGGTATTGAAGCACTCGATAGCTTTCAGTGCATCGTCGAGATTACCATAAAACTTGATCAAAATATTAAGCAATCCAATAGCATCATAAAATGCACAATGCGAATTGCTGACATTTCCTAAATTAAAGTGTTCAATTAATACATCCTCAGCAAAAACTGGTTTAGATTTCCCTTTCTTTGTCATTTTCCGAGGAAGACAATTGTGTAAAGTCGATTCTGATTTCATTAATCGGAGAGAATCAACAAAGACAATATTGTCATGATTAAATTCAGAAAACTTTCCGAAAAATTCTTTAGCAAAAACTTTAAAATCCAAACGGTCTCCATTATGAGCTATTAAGTAAGTTTTTCCTTGAGAGTTATTGTTTAAAAATTGGATAATATCATTCACATGCCCTTCAATAGGCAATTTTGATCTTAAACTATTCAAGTTAAGTCCTGTAATTGATTGTGCTTGGTTAGAAATCACTTTTCCAGGATTAACTAAGCCATACAAAATAGCTCCAGTCAAAACGTCCACAAAACAATATTCCGTAATTTTTGGTGGATCATCATTCTTCCATAATCCAGTCGTTTCAAAATCAAAAAATACATATTTGTTTTGAGGTGAAGTTTCTGACATTTAAGATGAATCTTCTGAAATAGAGTCGATGGTGGCGATATTTGATGTTGAAATATTTTCTGCTTGTGATTGCTTCTCGTTAGATGGAACAAATAATCCTTTTTCTGAATTAAATGTAATAACTGATTCTTTTGGTAATTCAGGTTCTGTTCGAATTCGAATTTGCTTAAAGGTATTGGTTACCAATTTGGTTGCTATTTCCTCAACAATACCCTCAACATGTTGGCCAAATTGGCGAGATTTGAGTGAAGTAATAATTGTGTTGTACAGTGTATCTTTGCATTGCTGAGGTGAATAATTGTGACATTGTAAGTGCTTAATGAATGATCGTTGTCGGACCATTATTTGATTACATTCAGGGCAGCTGAGAAAAATATTGTTCATAATAGTTCCATCATCCGCGACTGGTGCTTGTTTACATAAATACTCTCGTATCAGCATTACATTTTTCTGTGGAAGAAAATCTTGAGTGACATCGAGCACATATTCATACATCTCTTCAGAAATAGTTTGATCTTTCTCTAACAAAGTGTCCTCATCGTCTTCTTGAAGAATGTGTTTCTTTACATAGTGTTTTCGATGTAATTCAGAATAGTCTAAGCTTACGTTACAATTTGCATAACACTTTGTGGTTGATTGTTGATTGACATTAATTGGAGAATTTTTTGCCAATTTCGTCTTCAAAGCAATCCATACGGCTCGATAGATCCCACAATAATCTCGAAAATTAGGGTATCGTATTTTTCCTCGAATTAAGGAAAAAAAATGTTCAACAATTAATGTCGAAATTCCTTAATTTGAGTATGGTTTCCATATTTTTCAAAAAGAGAACGAAGTGAAGTCATAGTCATCACAATATGAGAATACAATTCGTCACTAATGATGTTAGAATTTGCATCTTTCCATTCCTTAAGTGTTGTCAGTACAGATTCAATTAATTGTTTTTTCTCATTCCAGTTTGAACATCGTTCATCGTCAAAAATTTGATGTATTTGTTGCATTAACGTTAAATATTTTGCTAATGCACATCATCCTATTTGCTTGCTTTGTTCAATTCCACTAATAACATTAGAATCTATCAATGCAAAAACAGGTTCCATTTTCATAATGTCGACTGGGTAAATTATATTTTCCGATACCCAGTCTCGCAGTTGGGGTTCATTTCTAACCTTCAATAATGTATTCATAGAAAAACTCTCTTTTTCAATAATCAAATCATCCCCTTTCAATAAACGATTTCTCAACCGTTTGAGCAAATGAGACCAATCAAAAAGGTGAACATAATTTTCATTAGTATGAGAGGTTGCATATTGATAATTACCAGCTAATCCATCACTACAACCTCCAACCACTTCTAAAACATAATCTCCATAAGAAGTTCGTTTGAATTGATCTCTAATTTCTGTCATTTTCTTTGTAATAAATTCATAATGGTTTGATTTGTGACCACCAAAACAAATAGGAAAAGACATCTCACCGTCAATAGTTGTTGCAAAAAACTGGCACACATGACTAGCAATATCGTCTGGTGTAATTTCTCTTTTTGCGTTATATATATCTTCAAAAGACTTTTCATTGCAATTTGTGAATCCAATTACTTTTCCAGTGCTTTTCATCACACATAACCCTCCTCTAATCTCTATTTCATCATATGAAATTATGATCTTATTACTAATATTATTCAATGCCATGGCTTTAACAATATCTTTCAAATCACTGTCGACAAGGTTACCAAAAGACAAGTCTGGAAGATAGCTCTTAATTGTTGAGATAGATGGAAGTAATAGATTAAGCTTATCCAATGCGTTTTCAGATGTTATAGTTTCACCGGGAGAATTTCCTTTCAAAATATTCCACAAAAGAGAGCCACCATAAAATCGAAGTAATAAACACCAATGAATGATACACTCTTTGTATCGAAAACTGTTAACATTTTTCGACGAAACCAAATTTTGCAAAGTATTTTCTAATAATTGATAAAAGAACTGGGTTTCGTGTAATGATTGGACATTTTTTGATAGCAGGGTGTCATTTATCATCATGACAAACCAATAACATCCTCTTCACTCCTTCAAAAGGCTCTCAGAGTTAATTAATGAGGAGGAAGATATAGTAACCTCTTCATCATCGCATAATTCTATCAGTACAGGACAAGTGCTAAATTCCAATACACAAAACCAATGTGTTTGAAAAAATCCTCTCAATATCAAATGGACACTACAGCAGACGTGAAAACGATCCTTCCTTAATATATTGATTGGACACATAGCTCAGAGGTAGAGCGTTTGTCTTATGAGACGGGAGAGCAGATGGTCGAGGGTTCGAATCCCTCTGTGTCCATTTCCTTTTTTGGAAGTGATTTGAATTTTCCCTGTTGTATTTGGGTCTCTATAATTTTATAATTATACAAATTATAATGTAAATAGATTTTTAATATCTAAATACTCTTGCGTCTCATTGAGGGAATTGATAAAGTTATTAATAAATCAGTAAAAATGACCAAGATGCGAGACAAGATTCTTCACGAGCGCACTTTTATTTTTTACTCAGTTTATAACACCGACCAATTTTCAATACTTGTTTCAGAGTTGAACTGTTCGACAATTACGCAGGCTGAAACCAAGATTTTCATATAGTAGATGTTTCATTCCGTCTAGTTTCATATTCTTTAGTTTGGAATTGTGAGACCTAATATACAATAAATAGCGGCCGTTAAAAAAAGGTGACACTGACTTTAGTTGAATTAAACATAAAGCCCGTGTAAAGTGCAAACAACCAACAAGAAATTCTAGAATAACAGGCCAATATACACTCAAGGATAATCTATTTGTTCTGCACTTTTGAAGGGCTTGGTGTTAATTTCAAACTCTTCCAACTAATTGTTTTTGCTTTCATTCAACAGAAATTTTTTCGAAAAGAAAAATGAAACGAAGATGTTGATGCCTTTGCTCCAAGAACGCTTTGCGAACCGTGCCAACAAATATCACCATACTCGGAACAGAAAAGTCCAATGCAACACCTTTGCTATGCAATACACATTACAACAATATCAATAATTTTAAAAACACCCACCACATCAGCAACCCTGTTACCATTGAAATTCAAAAACAACCAAAAGGAGTGAAAGATATCATTTCAATCGTTACCGATAAATTCGGTCAATGCAAACATTCCGACAACAAGTGCTGTAGTAATTGCAAAGAAGGTAATACGCGATGTAAAGGCATCTCTTTCGAAAAAGTGAGCCATTTATTAACAGTATTGGGAATCATATCACACAATGGCCACAGCTTCGGAAGTGTGAATTTCAATCATCATGGCGAATTTTGTTTTTTAGTGTAGACTGCAATAATTGCAATCTCAACAAATATGGAGTTTGTGAAAAATGTTATGAATGCTATGAAACAAAATTACGCCATTATCAGCGAACAATTGAAAACCAAAATACCAAAACAGCTCACCTCGCTGCAAGAACACAAGAATACAAAAATGTCATCAAATCATTGAAGGCAAAAATCTCTCGACGAGATACTACAATTAAGAATTTCGAAGAATTAATTGAAGAAAAAGATCAAAAACATTATTTGGTAGAACTTCTCTCGATTGCGCTAGAGGAAGGAAAGTTACATGAAACCCAGTTCTTTTATCAATTATTAGAAAATACTTTGCAAAATTTGGTTTCGTCGAAAAATGTTAACAGTTTTCGATACAAAGAGTGTATCATTCATTGGTGTTTATTACTTCGATTTTATGGTGGCTCTCTTTTGTGGAATATTTTGAAAGGAAATTCTCCCGGTGAAACTATAACATCTGAAAACGCATTGGATAAGCTTAATCTATTACTTCCATCTATCTCAACAATTAAGAGCTATCTTCCAGACTTGTCTTTTGGTAACCTTGTCGACAGTGATTTGAAAGATATTGTTAAAGCCATGGCATTGAATAATATTAGTAATAAGATCATAATTTCATATGATGAAATAGAGATTAGAGGAGGGTTATGTGTGATGAAAAGCACTGGAAAAGTGATTGGATTTACTAAAGTTTTAAAATCAATCAGCTGAAAAGGAAAAGAGAGAAGATTAATGATATTAATGATGATCTACACAAAACAAAGAAGAAAGTTGGATGCAGATGCAAAAAAGGAAATTGTTCGAAATGTAGTTGTGCAAAAAAGGGAAGAATATGTGATTCAACTTGTGGATGCAATTCAGAAATTTGCAAACGGAGAAAGTGCCAGGTTTGTTCTAATCACACGGAACTAATATTGTGTTCACTTTGTTCTGCTATTATTTGCGAGAAATGTTCTTACTTAGGGGAATGTCAACGCTGTTCCATATGCATAGTTATTAATTGCGACTGTTGTCGCAGATTAGCCAATGCTGTTTCTAAATGTACTCAATGTCAAAATTCAGCATGTTGTAAATGTTACTACGATGGCCGTTGTAAGATCTGCCATCCAAACATGCCAACATTGCTGTGCAATTCATGCCACAAGCCTTGTTTATCACTAACTCCATGCAAGGATTGTGGCTTGAAAGTATGTAATGACTGTTTGAGAGAGAGATGGTGTCGATCATGTGATTGTGATGAGCGGGAATGGTTGTCTTCAACTCAGTCACAATTCCAGTCCTCCATGGACGTGACAAATTTTTAAGAAGCAACCACCATGGCTCTTGTAGTGCCAATTCAACGTGTTGAGACACCATTAGTGATGTGGTGTTTCCTTCATGTGTCAGCAACAATAAATTGAATTGGCAAGTTTTGATGGATTGAAATCATCATAAAATCATCCTATGATTGTTGTTTTATTAAAACTTGCAGCGAAAATATTTTCATGCTCAAAAATTTTCTGCCTGTTCGTGCGTTTTGATTTGCTTAGTGACTTCCCTTTCGCACTCCCACCCATTTGCTTTCAAAAGTTTTTAAGGTACCTTTTTCGCTTATTTTCATGGATTTATCAAGCAATTGCTTAAATGTGACTTCTTGCGCTTCACATCTTAGAATCTTTGTCTCTGCCTTCCTCCTTCATACTTCCTTGCGTTTCTTTGGTTTTTCTCCTTTTTTCCGCTGAGCGGTTTTTGGAGTTTTTACCTTCTCAAATCTTAATTAATACTCGGGACTCTGCTAAATAAAGTCAATTGACAAAATATGCAGAAAATCCACAAACACCGGACCTTTATCAAGGTCGGGTGTTTGGAGAGACTACAAACCCATTAGTCCTTCCTTTAATTAACAAACGAATTTTATTGTTTATTCTTTTGAAACATGATATGTTTTGAATGTAATGAAAGTCATGAATGTTTTAATTGTAAACAATTAAAGAGTTTAGTTGAGCTTAAAAATTTTTTCCATGCTCAAAAAATTTTCTGCGTATTTTAAGCTGTTCGATATCCATCACTATCACTTCAATGTTACAAATATATAAATTGTGTTACATTGGTCACCAGACAACATGCTCGATTTACCAGTAACACTTTCTGACGTTTGTGAAATATTATATTCAGACACTCGTTGTTTCTATTCTCTCCAATTAAAATGCTCTAATCCTTTTAATTTTTTCAAATTCTGCAATATGGTATTGTTATACTGCCCACTTGAAGCCATATAAGCAATTGTATTTTCAACTAATCGCTGTTTAACATGAAGAGCACACATAATTAAATCTTTAGGACTGAATGACAAGGAATCTCCAAGGGTTGTTCGATTTTTTGCTCCAAATTGTTCAACAGTTTTTGCCATGCAGTATGGACAAATATCAAATTAAAATGTAAATCCAACATTGTGCATGTCTGAAACATAGAAAAAATGAACTCTAGATTTTTCAAAATATGTTTTTTGTGACACAGCTTTGATTTCGTCTGTAAACGTTCCAATGGTTTCCTTAATACTCTCTTTTGTTTCAGATATTTCAGTTGTTTGTACCGAATGTTTTCTTTCAAAATTTTTTCTGTAATTTTAATTGTTTTTTGAATGATTTCTTTTGTTTGCAAGAATGTTTCAAACCATGCGTGAACATCGTGTACAAGAGTCCCTATCATTTTCTCAAATAGTGATACCATTTCTCTAGCCCCATCTCATCTTTGTTATTGCGAGTAAAAGTATCTTGTCCTGACTTCATACTTGAATATTTATGGTAATTTGCTTGGATATCATGACATCCACAATGTGAACATTTTCAAAATTTCATGTTGACGGTATCTTTATTGCTTGATAAGCATGGTTTGTGATTACTATAACGTTGATCATAATCATTCTATATTTCACTGTCGATCTCGTTATCAATATCCATAACATCAAGCAAGCTCGTTTCTTTTGAAAAAGTGGTGAATGCATCCGAACAAACATGCTGCTTTCTTAAAAGATTAGCCTTCATCCAATTGAACGCTAAATCAAAGGCATGCCTCCTTTCTGTTAGTCAGATCATAAGGCGGTTCAACCATCACTAACTCCTCATCTTCATGTTCCAATATTCTAAAAACATTCAAACAAGCAAGTGAGAGGGAATGTGCGTTTTCCGAGATTTCATCTTGCCTTCAACAAGGATGGTACTTTTGGAGCAATCCAGACCGTGGAAGAAGGTGATGGATCCATCCGACATGCACTTTTCGGGAGAAAATTTTTTATTTGGACCTTTTTTGATGAATGATTTTGTAATAAGTGATGATCAAACGAAGGTACGGTGAAGATCAAGCATTGCATTCGACTTGTACGAGTAATACAAACATTATTGACGTGGAAATGAATTCATTTATTGAGCTTTTGAATGGATTATTGATAGTTATGATCGTAATCGCGATGTCCACATGAACAAACTCCAACAGCACCTGTTCCATTGTATTGAGCACAACTGCATTGGGTACAACCTCCCCATCCTTCCTCCTTTGTTGAATGTTTTGGTTTGTGGAAATGTTGTTCTGTTGGTTTCATTTTTTTTGTTTCTTTGGACGTTTTTGTTGTTGTTTATTGGAAAATTTAATCTTTTCAACATGTTGAACCAGAGAATGTGACTTTTGACAGATCCCTGGATGACAATGATCAACAATGACCGTTTAAGACAATCTAGGTTCTCCTCTGGTTGGAAAATTTTCATGGAATATTCTTGTTGGTGTTAATTGTTGTATTGGTGGACAGATTCAAGTTGTGCAAGTTTTTGAAAAGAGGAAAAAAGGATTTGAAATCAATGAATTCGATGCAATGCATCAATAGATCACCTCACCACAACAAGTAAACAACTTGATGTTACGGACCTTATTGCAATTGTTTTTGATTCGTTTTGGAAAGATTGATAGCTCATCCAAAAAATGTCATCCCATGACAGCCATCACACCTCTGACTCTTCCAAAACCACCATGGCAGAAATTCTTCGTGTGAGAAATCGTCTTGACCAACTCATTTCCAACAACAACCCATCTCATCGTTTTGTTTCTGTCGATGACATGTATTCAGAGAGCGAGAAAAAGTTTTACATGTACCTCTCGGTCAAGATTAGATGTCAAAAAAAGAGTAGTGAGTTGAAAATTGATCAATTTGATGCAAGACGATTGAAACATCGAGAAACGAAATTTCCAAATGAAGTCTAGGAATTATTTCATGTCTTGTGTTTACGTGAGTTTTGTTTTGAATAATGTTTATAATAATTGAGAGTGAAATGTTGGTCATTCATTTAAATTCAATGGAATCATATGGTGGAAAATGTCATTAATAATGAATGGATCATCATCCTTGTGAAAAATGATTTGCATTGGATCGATCTATGAATCTGGTTGATCACAAATTTATGAAAATAATTCTTATGACAAATACTTTTGACAAATATTATGAAAAACACCATGTTGTTCATAATATATTGTGAAATTGAAGAAAACGAATTGATCGAAACTCCTTCATGTCTTAAAAAGTATGAACATGCCAACTTGTCCGAAAAAAAGTTCAGTGCCACAGAACGTAAAGAATTATTTGCAGATTTATTGAAATGTGCTTCTCTGAATGAAAATTCTGAAAAAAAGAGATTTTATGAATGTCATGACTCGACTATTCTCGATCGTTATGTAATTTTGAGTGATTATGATTCGAAATTTATATATCAAAAAGGTTCACTCAAAACCATGCCTTCTCTTTACAATGCCTTTACAAGACAAATTCCTGATTCGAGTGATCACTTGGAAGGAGACAATTTGGATCATCTCACAGATGACGACATTTCCAAGTTGAAAATAGTTTTTCAAAAATTTAAATATGAGAAACAATTGGATCAAATAGTGAAGGATTATGAAACTCTTTCAAATTTTCCTCCATTGTTTTTGGCATTTTCGAATACGGCTTGCATTCCATATTGTCGAAAGCACCTTTTGAATTGTTTGAAAAAAGTTTATTCTCAGAATCATCCAGAAGGAAAAGTTGATTTGGATGATGCTTCCATTCTCGATCATTCTTCTCTAGAAGATGCTTATTATTGTTTATATGAACCTTGTTGTTCAAAAGTGGCTAGTTATATTGATTATGAGAGAAGCAAACTAAATGATAGATGATTTAGTGTGATATTTGCAAAAGTTCTCACAAATGCTTTATATATTTAAAGTGTTCTTTAAACATTTTAGTTTCTTATGACAACTTGTTCCGACGAATTGTTAGTATACTTTGAGTCTAATTAAACAAATAATGTAAAAATATTTATTAGGGAAGATGAATTCATGAACCATTTTGATATCCTAAATCCCAAAACACACGAGAATAAATACCATAAGGAAAGACAAATTGCTCAAACTCCACTTGGAATCTTCACGAGCACTCTTGAAAACAGAAAAAGATGCAGCAGAAGATGAAGGTTCTGTAGCACGTGGACATGCATCCATCCGAGCACACCGACATGGCACTGCATGCATTATTTGAATGATGCGTCCATTGCAATTCCCATTTTTAGTTAAAGTGAAGGTATCACCTAAAGAAGTGGTGCCAAACACACCAGTTGACGAATGAATGTCTCCGATATACATGGTCACTGTTTTTTGCCCACCACAAACTCCCGACACATTTCCAACGACTTGAATTAAATTCAATCCCTTTCTTGTTGTCACAATTTGTCCATCCATACAACAACAACGTGAAGAGTCACATCCTGTGCTGCCCTGTTGCTTCTGGACATCCCGTCTTCCAATCCATGTGTCGGTATAATCGAGATTCTTCGCTTGCTTGCTTGTTATTCACACGAACCATTTTTGTATCAGTGATATTAGTACCTCCATAACTTACGGCTGCTTGGAAGAGAACATCCGAAGTAATGGAAGTGGACAAAGTGACTGCAAAGGTCGTGACACTGTCGGAGGCGTCCACAAGCGATTTTCCAGAAACAACAGCTCCTGAGCTAATGGCTTGTAAGTACATGGGTCCTCCACCTGAAGTTAAGGATCTGGCTGACCAAAGGACAAGACAGTTCCAGTAAACAATGAACCACTTTCATAAGAGACATTGGCAACGTACAATTTGACACTTGACAAGGTGTAAATCACCGGACTGCAACTTGCTGAAATGGAGCGAATGTGCTCCGTGCCATTGGAAAGCTATATATGCCATGAAATAACATCAAACAGCAAGCAAAAAGCTGAAAGAGCAACGCAGAGAGTTTGGCAGGTGTCATATTTTTTTTCGATTTTGTGACATGAATTTGGAATGCCAGAATGGATATATTTGGAAACTGATTTTGGCGAGTTTCGCTCGAGGAAATTTTCAAATATTGAAAGTATTGGTTCATTGGTTACCAACGGAAACCTCCTCATCCAATTACTAATCTCACACACATTACCTCTGGCGTGGTCAAAAAGTTGTGAATGAGTAATAATATCTGAAACTTGACATGAATCACAGCGACTTCGAAATTGACATTTGAATGTCAATTAAAAGGGAAGTTGTTTGCAAGGTCACCGAATCCAGATGGGATTCTAATTGAGGACCCAAAAGAGAGGCATTCTTGTCGTTATAACTACGTTTTTGGCTTTTACAACGAAGAGGGCGACGAGGTCTGAACACTCGGAAGTAATTCTTTGAGATGGTTTTGAAAAAAAAATGGAAAAAGTTACTTCACCCATGTCATCACATTCTCTTTTCAAAAAAAGACCAACTCTCTATTTATTGGGTGATTCCATCACTGAACAATCCACTCGAATGAACGGTTTGCACTCACTTTTATTGGATTGGTACTCTGTGAAAGTGGATATCATCAATCGGGGATGTTCTGGATATAATTCCGATATGATTTTGGAGGCTTTAAAAAACAATTTTGATGGTGCCTTTTATGAGTGTGCTGTTTCAATGAAAAATTATGATTATGACACGGAAGGTGGTGTTTCCTTGTCATCATTGCCCACAATTTCTGTTTTTATTTGTTTGGGAGCGAATGATGCCAGTAGTGAACATGTTTCAGGTATCAAGCAACATGTTCCTCTTGAACGTTATTACGAGAATTTGAAAGCCATCATTCAGTTATTGAAAACAAATCTCGTATATTCAAGATTGGACATTTTGCTTTGTACGCCACCTCCCGTTCATACTCAACAATATGCCAATTATTTGAAAGAAAAATATAATCATGATGGAATCATTGAAGTGAGAAGTGAAGCATTGGTGAGACCCTATGCACAAGCTGTAAGAGATTTAGTCGATCGATTCAAGGAAAATGTGCAAAAAGAGGAGACATGCATTTCTGATAATTGTGCAGTACATTTGGTGGACTTGTGGAATGGACCCAATTCTGAGTTATGGAAACAAGAGAGTGCCTATACAGATGGTTTGCATTTATCGAGTGATGGGTACAACATTGTTTTTAAATGTTTGAAATCAGTCATTTCCAAAGAGGTTACTCATCTCAATGCTGACCTGACGCCATTCTCTCATATTTATTGGAGAACCTATTTGGAATCCACACAACAGAAATCAGAGAAGCATGAACAGCAGAAATGATCTTATAATTTTAATAACATGAGAGAAGTTTATACTGCAACCAAACTCACCTTTTTCCCTTCTGCTCGAGAAATTTAAATGAAGTCATTGTACTGGATCATTTTCAAAGATGCGTGCGTGTCGAGTTAGTGAGATGAAACTGGAAGGTGTGTACAATGAGGGAGTCATTCCTACTATATCATTATACTGCATTTAGAGAGATTTGTCACGATTGTCATACGCACTCTCACTATTGGTCGAAACGCAAATTCAGTTAGAGATCAAATGCCAAATCGCAACAACACAAAAAAATGAAGAAACCTCAACTGCTCTCAACCCTTAGGAGGATCGACATGAAAACTACGATTCCAGCGAGGATGCCAGGAAGTGTATCGATTCATCGGAAGATGAGATCTCGTCTGACCTCACTCTTTACTATTCTACAAGTATCTATCATCATCATCATCATGATAATGACCCCAACGGATCCCATTTCTTCCTTCTTCTTCTTATTGAATATTGGCCATTCTCCTCCTGGAGTGGCCCGGGCGTTGAAGGTCAATATAGCTGCTACACAACCAGATACAAAGGCATGTCATTCCAAATTGGCCAAAAATTTAATATTTGAGAAGGTTACTTCATTATATCGGGGAATGGGAGAAGATGGAAATTTGTACCAAGATCAAATTGAGAGCATGATGGATTTGCAAATGAAATCGGTAATTAAGGAATGTACCGGAGTTTCCTTATTGTTCAATCCGACAGATATCAGGTCCTATCGATTAGCTCTTTCTTCAGAGACTGACTTGCAAGAGTTGTCCAAAAAAAGTCAATTCGAACGTGTGATTCAAGAGATTTCCCAATTACCATTGACCTCATGTCAACACAAAGTGATTGAATCTCTTGTTGGGAAAGAAGCCCTACTATTTGTTGAAAGGAAGCTGCAAGCCACTACAGGTCGCATGACCGAGTACTTGAAGAAAACTTTGCATGACTCTGACAGTACAAATAACAACGAAGAAGTGACCTGTGGAAAGATGGTAGACCAAATTTTTAATTCCCTTGACACTCTTCTTACCAAAGACGAGAGGCTCTCACTGACAGAGTTGATACAAGTTATACCGATTGGAGGCTCATTAGTAGTGGTTCATGAATCTGACAAAGGTGCTGTCTCCTTGTTTGAGAATCTTGTTGGGTCTCATCACGAGTATGTCATTTCAATATCATGGCTATTGATGTTTATTTTGGCGATTTCTGGCGCAGTTATGCATTACATTAATGTACGTGTTCAAAAAGCACTTAAAAACCAAATCGAATGTGTCAAACAAGAAAAGATACAACAAGAAATGGTCTTCAACGAAAAGGAAAAGAGTTTCCAGCAGAATATTTCCAATTTGAGTTCAACTCTGGAGAAGAAGGAACATGAAATAGTAGAAACCAAAACATTTTATGAACAACAAGTCGAGTTGGAGCACCAAAAGCTCATTGAATTTGAGAATAAGGCTTCACAGATTCAAGAACAAATTTGTAGCGAGAATAAGCAACTGGAGAGTCTTCTCAAAGACCGAGAAATGAAGGTCTCTGCCTTATCGAGCAGTCTTGAAGCTCTTTCGAAGGAGCGCTCTCAAATCGAAACAGAAAAACAGCAATTAACAAGGAAAACTGAAATTTTAAATTCCACCCTTGAAGGTACGATTGAAGAAAGTACTGCATTGCGAGATTTGTGCAATCAATTGCGAGACGAATTGAGACAAAAACATGCACAGTTGGACAGGGCATTCGTCAAGAATATGGAACTTCAAGAAGCCATGGACATGTATGGTACTGAATTGAAACGTATGAAAGAGGTTATTGAGAGTGTGTCTGAGCAACACTTACGAAACACAGCTGAAAAGCAGCAACTCGAAGAAGAATATCGATATCTGACCATGGAAAAGCTTTCATTCGAACAAGAACGAAAGGATTATCAAATGAAAATTGAACAGTTGTTGCAGCAACAAGCGCTCACCGAACAATTTATTGAATCTGAGAAGGAACGCCTTCAACAATTGTTTAAGAAACTCGAAGATGAAATGAATAGTGTTGAAAAGGAACACTTGCTCAATGTTTGTCGAATGACCGAAACCAAACAACAAACACAATTGGATAAGGAAGCCACCATCATTACTCAAATTTTGAATCTAAAAAAGATGGTGTCACAAGCCAGTTTAATGGGCGGAGTAATGCTGACCTCATCTCCAAGAAGCCCCTCCTCGTCACGAAGCAACAACAATAACACTCTTGCAAATAATACACGAAAGGATAGAGACTTGAATGCAGCTGAATCCAGGCAACATGCTACGACGAATAGTGGTCTTTCAAAGGAAAAGGACATGATCTACACAAGCATGCCACCTTTGAGGGTTTTCAGCTCTCCTCGAAAGTTACAATAATGCATTATTACACACTATATAAATTCTGTAAATAACATTCAAAATGGGTGGAATCATTGCATAGATAATCGAGTGAAAATTGATATACATTTGAAAGAGATGTTTGCAGGGTGTTTACCAATGCGTTGGACAACCCACTTGAGCGATATGTATCCGATCGTTAAGGGATGATGTAAATATGACAGGAATTATCTCTCCATGATGATGGTGTGTGCTGGCTGGTTCTGCGTTGTGTTGCCCAGCACTCACACACAACTCTCCTCACGATTTGAAATCCGTTGAAAGGTCAGAGAGAATCAATACTGTCTTTGCAACGAAGAATAGCGTACAGTAGAGAGGTTTTTCAAAGACCATAAAAAACAATACAAAAATGAACAGTGAGGAATTGCTCGCTCAATTAATGGATAGCAAAAAGAAGGCTCGTCCTCGGTTAGGCTCCGTTAAAATGGATACAACCACCACTTCGGAGAGCATGATGATGAAGGGAGGAGCAGGAATGAGCGGTGGAGTGAATGTTGTTCAGGAACATTCCAAACATTTGAAATGTAGGTATTGTTGTAATTTATGAGATCTTTTTGGAGAGATGACTGGTTGAGGATTTGAACCATTCCATCACTATTGCCTTATTTGATGTTTGAATTTTTGAATTTCCAATTCATCATCAAATAACCCTCGTGATGACACTTCGGGAAAATTTTGGTTTTGAATGAATGTTTGATTGCGGTTACCATCCCCAATGCATCATCCATGGATGAACCAATAATGAACCAATAATGAATCAATGATGAACCAATGATGTACCAATGAAACCCGAATTCTTTCATAAATCAACAAAATATTTCTAGTGACACCCAAGGACATGAAAATTCTCCTGGCTAACTTTAAGAAGAAGAGTGATAGTAAGGGTCGAATCAATCGAGAACAATTTGAGGAAGTGATCCGATCAACGCTCTCCTCCTCTCTTGATCATCATGCGCTCACTTCAGTGAATAAGATTTTCGATGTTTTCGACAGCGAGAAGTCAGGACATGTTGACTTTGTAGAACTCTCCACTGGTTTGAGTAATACCTTGTACACAGACAAGAAGGAGCTTTTGAAATGTAAGTGGAAATTTTGGATTTCGTTGAATGTACTAATCGATGAACATGCAAATGATGCGATCTTATTGGAAATAGTCGTGTACAGCTTGATTGATATCAACAATGATGGAACGGTCGAAAAGAGTGAACTATTGTCTTTCTTTAAGAAATTCTATCGTAAGTAGGAGTTGTGTGCACTTTGTTATTGCGAATCAACATTCCTTAATTGCATGAATTTTCGTCCATTTCGGGCACGTTCCAATGCACAACAACCACGCGTCAAATATTCCCCACTTACAGTCGGTCAAGCTAAGATGAATGGTTACAGGCTCTCACATGATAGGTGGCATACGTTGGAGCAACATCTTTCTCTTGCTTTCGATCGAATGGATCTGGATGGAAGTGGAGCCATCGACTATGAAGAATTTATTGTGGCTGTCAACGATCCAGACTCTGCCCTAGGTTATGCCTTTTATAACTGCATGAAATTTTAATTGATTTCTCCATACAATGTAAAAACAATAAATTTTAATTCGAACGATCTTGCCTGAAACGACTAGTGGTGTACGTTCCCAAAGTCAACAAACCAGCGTTCCTCGAAGTGGTTGAAGCTGTCTGACCACGTTGATTTCAGCCCGCCAAACAAAAATATTTGTCAAAAATTCAACACAAAAAAATATCGAAATTTCATTTTTGTGTGGTGCCTTACCTGATCATCATCATCACCCATGGCCTCCAAAGAATTTAATTCCATCCTGCTTGGTCGTACGGCCGGACCACAAGGCACTCTCACTGTTGATGCAAAAAAAGATGAAACGTTTATCTGGAAACCCATCGGCAACGAAGCGATCATATCATCAGGGAGTTCTGTCGTCAAAAAGAACGAAATTGAAAAATTTGAATGGCTCTACACAACAAAAGGCTATTGCTTGCGGATTTGGAAAGACAATGAAGATATGGTCGAATATATCGGATTTAAAGAATCCGACTATGATGCTTTAGAGTCACAAATTACACAATTACAATTAGAAAAGGATAAGCCATTTAACAAGGTGGATGCTTGTCTAACTGGTGTCAATTGGGGCAAGCCACTTATCAAAGGCAACAACATGACCATGTATTTTGATAATAAGGAAATGTTTACAATTTCCCTGTCCGATGATGTTAAAAATTGTCAAAACATTCCAAAGAATTCTGAATTAGTGTTAGAGTTTAGAGATGATGAACCAGCCGATAAGAATTCGATACAACTCACAGAAATTCGATTAGTCTGTCCTGAAGATGCAGAAGAAGATGGAGCTACAGAAGATGGAACCAAAGAAAAGAGCACTGAAAAGAAACAAAACCCACTTTCGGCTGAAGCACTCCACGAAGAAATTGCTAAAAGAACAGCCTTCTCAAATGACACTGCCAATGCAATTGCATCATTTTCTCAAATGCCTGTGGTCATACCTAGAGGTAAATACAATGTGGATCTCTACAAGAACAACCTTAGATTGTACGGTAGAACTTATGTGCACAAGATTTTCTACAAACAAATTTCCACACTCTTCCTTCTTCCAAAACCTGATGATAAGCACATGTACTTGGTGATTAGCTTGGATGTACCTGTTAGACAAGGTCAAAAATCTCATTTCCATATTGTCTTCCAATTTGAGAAGGAAGCCAAAATTAAGCCAACAGATCCACTCCAACTCAACTTTGATCCAAATGACTATCCAAAAGATGCACTCTCCCCCACCATGAGTGGAAAGACTTATGAAGTTTTTGCAAAAGTTTTGAGAGCCTTGACAGGAAAGAAGCTCATTGGTCCTGGAAAGTACAACAGTTTCAATGACAAGAAGGGAATCAAGTGCTCGCTCAAAGCCAACGAAGGATTCTTGTTCTTCCTTGAAAAATCCATCTTCTTCCTTCACAAACCAGTTATTTATTTGAGACATGACGAAATCAAATCTATCAAATTCCAAAGAGCTGACACGACTGGAAGCGGCTCTAGATTCTTTGATTTAGTTTTTGTGTTAAAGAATGGCAAAAATCACACCTTCTCGAACATTGACAAGAATGAGTACGATTCTCTCGCAGAATTCCTTCCAAGTAAGGGCCTCAATGTTGAAAATATAATTTCTAGGGAACAACCAAATATTAATGAAATACTAGGAGGAGAAGACGATGAAGAAGACGATGAAGATTTTGTTGATTCCAAATCTGATGAAGACGCAGAGGAGGAGGAAGACGATGACGACGAATTTGAAAAGTTTGTGGAAGAAAAGGATGCTCTCCAATCCGAGACTGAAGCTCTTCTCAAAGATGCTGGTGACATTGACGATTTGTCAAGCAAGAAGCGAAAGAAAGCAACGAGCAGCAGCACTGGTGGCGATGCCTCTGATCCAAAAGCAAAGAAGAAGAAGCAGTAGACAAGTCTTGATAATGTCATAAAACAATAATCTTGGTCAACTGTTTCAATTTGTTGTTTCACAAGCGATTCGACCGAATTTCATTCAACCCTTGAGAATTATAAAAGTGAAATACTTCCAAATCATGTGGTTGGTGTAATGTTATCACTTTTGTAATTCTCGAATATGTGATTCAGAAAGTTGAATGTTTATCCTTCGATAGACCTATTTGTGTTCGGAGCAGTCAATAACACAAGCCTCAATCAATGGTGTGTGTGGTGTCCTCCGAAAGTTAATAGTTCTTTTCAAACCCAGATTATTTGTTTATTCATCGTACGTGGCTGCAAGATTTTCTATTGATCATTTTGGAATAAACAAATAATCTGGGTCTTCACCATTAATAATTCAACCCATTCATTGATTTTTAGCAGTTCTTTAAGATTGCGACACCCACTGCGCTTTAAAAGGGAATAAGAGTGACAAATGGCGGATGGCAGTAGTCCCAAGCAAAGAGTGAGTCAAGTTTACAATGGATGCTCTTGAAAATCTAAAAGCCACGTCCCTTTGCTTCAACAACGCAAAAAAAATATCAAAACATCTTTCCTCCAATCATCACCTTGGCAAACCTTGTAAGATTGATTTCAGAGAGAAGGAAATTTTCATCATTGATTACCGAACTCGTTTCCCATATTTACTGCTGGTCCTGTAAAGATCTTCTTTTCTAGTACTTTTACTACAAGAAGATTAATCTTTGTTTTACTTCATACAATTAAGTGTGCTTGTTTTCCCACTCTATAGTGTGTGTTACATCCATCCATTATTGATTCATCATCATGTCTGCTTCTCTCGACGGTATTGTCAAATCAGTTGTTAGTGGTAACACCATCAAAGTTTGCCATCCTCAAAGAGCTGATAAAGAAAAGGTTCTCGTTCTTGCCGATGTCAAAACTCCACGTATTGGATCTAAAAACGATGAAGATGAGGTAAGTTGCTCATATTATTGCCGTTGTTGGTGTATTGAACAGTATTCATATTTGGATGTTGCAATACGCGAATCGCCTTCCATCATCAATCATATCATCCACCCATATTGTTGCTAAATCATTATGATAATAATCGTGTTCTTTTTACTATAATTATTGTGGACTCCTCCACTGAAATATCTCATCATAACAAAAACTCGCACATCATTATTGATTCGGATTCAATGTCCTCACGATGATCATCATGTTTCTCTTACTTTCTTGATGAATTAGCCTTTCGCTTTTGGAAGCAAGAGAGTTCTTGAGAAAGAAGCTTGTTGGTAAGCCAATCAAGTTTCGAGTCGATTACACTGTGAAAGAAACAGGCTTGAATTATGCCACCATCTTTTTGGGTGATGAGAATATTAATGAGGCTGTTGTGGAGGCCGGTTTTGGTGAGGTCAAAGAGGTCAAGAATCCAAGCGAGGATCACAAGAGATTGCTCGAACTCCAAAAAGTTGCCAAAGAAAACAAGATTGGAAGATGGGATACTGGCAATAAAAAGATTGCCAAGACATCCAACAATGCCGAAATTGATGTTCAACAATTGTTGAAATCATTCAAATCCAAGGCTATTAATGTCATTGTTGAATATGTACTCAATGGTGCCACTTTGAAGGTCAGACTCCCTACTCATGAAGTTGTCTTGTTGAATTTGACTGGTGTCTACTGCCCACTCTTCATCAAGAATAAGAAGGAAGGAACTGAACTTGCTCAACCTTTCGCCAAGGAAGCTAAGCTTCACACTGAATATCGTTTGTTGAACAGAGATGTTACTGTTTTGTTTGAAGGTATTGACAATACTGGTAACTTGCATGGAAGTATCATTATTTCTGCTGATGAAACTAGCGACAAGCCAGTCACTTATCAAGAAGAATTATTGTTGACTGGTTATGCATCTGTTGATGAAAGAAGCGCTCCAAAGTCTAAATATGCACAAAGATTCAGAGCAGCAGAACAAAAAGCAAAAGATGAAAAAAAATGTTTGTGGGTTGACTATCAACCAAAGAAACAATCGTTGGAACAATCCGATACCGATTTCACAGCTAGAGTTTTGGAAGTTTTGTCAGGTGATACTTTGAAGATTATCAAGAATGATGGAACTGAAGAGAAAATCAGTCTCTCCAACATTAAGACACCAAAATATAATCCATACGCTAAGAAGCAAGAAAAGAAGGAAGATAAGGAAGGAGAATCAGAAAAGAAGGGTGAAACTCAACCTTGGGGCTATGAAGCTAAAGAATTGTTAAGAAGCAAAGTGGCTGGAAAAGAAATTCATGTTGAAGTTGACTACAAGAAGGAAATGCAATCAACAAAGGAAGTGAGAAGATACTGCACAGTTTTGGTGAATAAGAAATCAGTTGCAGTAGAGTTGGTTAGAGAAGGTTTTGCCTCTGTCATTAAACTCAGAGCTGACGAGGAGAGATCATCCGCTTTTGACCAACTTATTTTGGCTGAAAATGATGCTCAAAAGAGACAAAAGGGTATTCACGGAAAGAGAAGAGCACCAAACCAAGTCTTTACTAACGTTACAACATTTGATGCTGTCTCCAAATTGTACAAACTGTTGAGCGGAAAGTCAACTGCTACCAAGGGATACATTGAAAAGGTTCTCTCTACAAACAGATTTGTTATCAACCTTCCTGGTGATAGCTCCACAATCAAGTTCTCCATGTCTGGTATTGCTACTCCAACCACTGGAAATGATTTGGCAAAGGAGGCTTTCCAATATGCCTTGCTCAATACTTCATGCAGAGATGTTGAACTCGTTTTGGAAAGTGTTATTACAACTGGAGACAAGCAACAGCAAGGTGTTAAGCAAGGAGTTTTGTGTGGTCAATTATTGATTGGAGGAAAGAACTTTGCTTACAATTTACTCGAGAATGGTTTTGCTATTACTCAAGATTTTGCTAGAAAATTAAAGTATTATGATGAAATGAAGGAAGCTCAAGAAAAAAGCTGAGAAGGCAAAGAAGGGTGCTTGGAAATCGTCTGACCCACTTTCTCTTTTCCCACAAAGAAAGAAGAAGGTCCGAGAAGAACAAGAAGAAGAGGTTGAAAGACCAATTTCTCAACGTTTCTCTGTTTCTTCCGCAAGAAATGCTCAAACTATCAGAGTTACTGATTTTGAAGATGTGACTACCTTCTATTACCATGGTGCTGATGTTGTGAACAGATTGAAAGAGATTGACCAATTAATTCAACAACTCAACCCTGAGACTCTTCCAACTCTCTCCTCTCCATCTGTTGGTTCTTTATGTCTTTCACAATTCACTGAAGATAACAATTGGTACAGAGCAAAGATTGTTTCTATCAACGATTCTAATTGTATTGTGTTGTATTCTGATTTTGGTAACAGTGAAGAGAAGCCGCTCTCCTCTCTCAAACAAGTTCCAGCTGAAAGTGAACTCTTAAAGATCAGGCCATGCGCTCAAAAGGCTCGTTTGGCTTTCGTTAAACCACACAGACAATTGTTCAGAGTTGATTTGGAAACCCTTTTAAGAGATACCCTGATGGAAGGTGAATGGTTATTAACTGTTGAATATGTCGATAACGGTATTGAATATGTCACCTTGCAACCAAAGGGTGCCAAGAATCAAGACACCATCAACTCTCAAATTGTGCGAAGTGGTTTGGCATTCATTGACAGACCAGTTCTTCAAAGACATTTCAAGAATTTATTGGCCTCCTATGAAGAGGATAGAGAATATGCTGCCTCAAAGCATTTGAACTTGTACGAAATGGGAGATTTTGGTGATGACACTGACGACTTTGAGGAAGAGGAAAACTAAATCGTTCACATTCAGTTTTTACAAATTCACAACAAACGTTTTGAAAAACTCCATTCAAACACATTTTAGCAATAAATCATGTTCAACATTTAATTCATTCACCTTGCAGCAAAGACTTTTTACGCATTCAATTTTGAAACACGTGCGAATGACAATGGACCAAGAGCGATGGTCGTATGCACTTGACCTTTCTGGCGACAAGTTGTGACCACTTGACATTCGAAGCTCTGGAAAACCTCACGATCGCAACATGGCTTGAATTGGAACTAATCTAACGAGCGAAAGAAAAAAAAATGTCTCTCTGGATTTGGCTTCTCCTTCTCTCTCTTCTCTTCATTGCTCTCTTTGTGGTATTCAACACAGACTATGTCTTTTACTGGACCGATCCTGTGAATTGTCCTACCTCCGAATTTAAATATCAATACGACATTGAAAAGTATGATGAAATCTTTTGCGACAAACCTTTCGAAAAGACTGAAAAGAAGATTTTAATCGTCGGATGTGGTTTCAGTGGCTTGTCAACCAGTGCTGCACTCACTCGATATGGCATTCCATTTGATGTGGTTGGTATGTGTGTGATTGATTAATATATATTGATTTTAATGGAGGATGATGTTCACATCAATAATGGTGTGAATATTTTGATTATTTCGTTCATTCCGTGTGTGCATTGACAAATTTCAATTATTTTGAAAACTTGACATTACAGAGGCAAATAATCAAATTGGAGGAAATTGGTTTTCTGGAGTCTACGAAACGGTTCACATTATTAGTAGCAGAAAAACAACTGAAATGAAAGATTACCCAATGCCTTCTTGGTATCCAGATTTTCCATCTGCCAAACAAATGTTGGACTATTTCCTGGATTATTGTAAACATTATCGAATTAATGAGCGATTGTCACTCAACACGGAATTGACAAGAATTTCTGAGCAACAGAATTCCACAGGATATCTTGTTGAATTTAAACAAGGAAATCAAACATTTACAAGAGTGTATAAGGGAGTAATTATTAATAATGGTCATCACTGGTCGCGAAGAATGCCTAAATATGAAAATCAAGAACAATTCACTGGAAAGATCATTCATAGTAAGGATTATAAGGAACCTTCTCAATTGAAGAATCAACGAGTGTTAGTGATTGGTGCTGGAAATAGGTGAGTAAGGATTCATTGTTGTAAATGATATTGTTGACATTTATTGGCATGTGACATTATTCTTTTGTTCAAAACTATTTCTGAATTGACGATGACACACACAGTGGTTGCGATGTTGCTGTTGAAGCTGCTCGTTTTGGTACTGAAAGTCACATTTCCATGAGAAGAGGATACTACTTTTTACCTCGTACCATATTTGGAAAACCAGCCGTGGAGCTCATTCCAGCATTCCTTCCACTCTTTCTTCAACAAATTATGTTTAAATTCATTCTTATGATCGTGACTGGAATTAACTATCAAAAAGAATATAATTTACCAAATCCAGATCACAATCTTTTCGAATGCCATCCAACCATTAATTCTGAATTGTTACAATTTGTGAAATTAGGAAAAATTCATCCTCATGGAGACATTTTACGTTTTAAAGGAGGTAAAAAAATTGAATTCAAGAATGGAGAGGAAATTGAGGTCGATTTAATTGTTTGCTGTACTGGTTATGACACCTCCATTCCATTACTGGAACCATTTGTGGAGAAGACGGAATATGGATATCCAAAATTGTATACTGGAATTTTTGTTCCACACAAAAAGTTCTTGTATTATGTCGGACTTGGACAACCAAGATATGGAGCTGGGCCACTTTTAACTTCATCTTGTGACATGCTTGCTAAATTAATCAAATTGCAAGACTCAATGAAATATCCAGTGGGTGATGTGTTGGCAAGTGTCGTCGGAGAGAAATTTCCAACTCCTCAAAAACCAAAAATTTCGAAGGATTTATTAATTGATCCACACGTGGCATGGAAATCCTCACGATTCTTTTCCTTATTCCTCGTTCATTTGATGCCATGGTTTGAAAAGTTGTCCATCATGAGAAATAAGCTTCCTTTAAAGGAAAAGAACAAACAAGAATAAAGAACGTTCTGTTATTATTCGGTATTAACTTTTGCTGAAGATGTTGTTTGGATTCCAAGAGGAAGATTTTAAAGTGTGACAAGTCGAGTTACAAATTCAACGTGAACCTTTCTCAGACCTTATGCATTGCTCAATTTTTCGATAATGTATTTGCAATCGTTATCACTGATCTTTTGTGTTTTTTCTGATCCTTTTTGCAAGTTCAAAGAAGGGATATATGATGCATGGCAATAACCAATAAACAACCGTTCCACCAATAGCCTTGCAGATTCGTCATCTTGGTTCTGGAAAGATTGTAGTATTTCGTCGTTGCAGCCGTTGATTAGTGTTGAATAGAAGCCTTGGTTTTCGAGTAAGATTTCTCCATCGCTATCTTCGCCACATGGTTCTGGGGGGAAATATGTAACAACGGTTATTGACGTCACATAAATGTCCTCTGGTGACATCATTCCCAATACAAAGTCAGAAACAGTTTGCCAAATTCTAAGTTTTGCCATCTCCATGAGTTTGACATGACTAAAATCGGAATGACTACCTGGTCCCTTAAATCGCCCAATTATCCCAAAGCGAGTTTGTCCTACATACACAAGACCAGATCTTGTAAACACAAAGTATATGACATTGGTCTCATGTTCAACTTTAGCATTGGAATACTTTGCAAATGGTAGAATTGCTTGATATAGAGGATTTTCAGTAACCCAGTCAGGTAAACCATCTCTTGTTTCTCTCGTACTCTTTGTACCATCTAAATTTTGAAAGTTGTACTCTGGGGATGATGGGTCTTTTGGAAGTTGAAAATACTGTATCTTGTTGAATTTGCTTTGTGAATGATCTAATTGATGATGTATTTTTTTTTCTCCTCAAAATGCTCTAATTTCTCTTTGAACAGGTAACTTTGCACAATTTTTGCAAAGTTTGCTCTTAAGTCCTGAATCTTTTGTTTCAAAAGTTCGCTCACTTCAGTGTTCACATTTCCTGCACTTCCAATAACGGTTTTAAGTGTCTTAGGAAGTCCTTCGATAAAGATGAAACAATTCTCAGAAGTAGTAGTCGTACTATCGCCTTGACCTTGTTGTGGAGCATTTGAATCAGAGGAACTTTCTTCTTGTTCGAGAACAATGATATCCTCTTCATGAATCTTGTCTTTTTCAAGCACAGCCAAAGGTCCTTCTTTGACCTCTTTCTTTGTATTCACTTGTTTTGTTCTTGCATCGTCATGATCAACATTCTGTTTGGTCGAAACATCAGATGGTTCTTGACCTTTATCAGTGTGCTGTCTTGAAAGGTTACTTGTATTTTCTGTAAGAGAAATAACGGTTGGTTGACCTTCATCGGTCTCCTCTTTTGGATGTTCTTGGTGGCAACGATCGTTTGTAACAACAACACCTTTGAGTTCACAAACAGAAAGTTGTTGTTCCTTCTGGTGGTGAATCATCTTCTCTCTTTCAGCTTGATTCAAACGCTTTTCGTTAAGAACGAGCAATTGGGTGCTAGTGGAGGACTGTTGACCAGACATGTTGTTGTTGTGGATGTTTGTTTTTTTTTTAGAGGTGTGTGAAACTTTCAGAGCTGAAAATCAAAGAATTCCGCAAAAAGGTTTAAAAATAGACTCGTTGGAGAAAGACAATCAGGAAGAAACAACATCAAGCAGGTTCTTCTTCCATTAGGTATCATCAAGAATATGTGTGTGATTACTTAGAGACCAGTTTCACCAATTGAAACACTGTGAATACGCCAGGCTTGTTATTTTCATAAATCATTTTAATAATTAAATTGAATTCAGAAAAAAAATGTCCGTCCAAAAAGGAATAAAAGCAGCCTCCGAATACGTAAAAGAAGCCATTGCAACCACAGAGAAATTCCATAAGAAGGGAATCAATTTATTTGATTTGCTTTCAAGAACACCAAAGAATGGAGTGGATAGTTGTTTTAAACGTAAAAATTGGAGGTTTGATACCTATTATAAAATTACGAAAGTGATTTTGAGTGCTGTAGGTATTGTTGTTCTTCTATGGTAAAGATGAAAATCATTTATTTATCGGAATGTATCCATTGGTACAACTGGTTTATATGATGATGCTGTCCTATGATGACAATGAAATAATTTGTTGAAAACTTTCAATTCGGAACTTGCTGATGATGATGCAAATGATAATCACAAAAACCACAAAATACAACCAAATACACCTCTCATTGGAACAAATGAATTGCAATAATGCGAAAAATTCTCTAATGTTACCTCACAATAGGATGGTAAACACGGTACTGCTTGGGGCGTTCCTTATTATCATGGTAAAGCAAGGTCCGAAACACCTGAAAAGATTCACGGAGCCTTGAAAAAAGATTTATGGAAATATATTCCTGAAGAAAAGCTCCAACAATATGCCATCTCTAGGGAAGTTCATGAATATGATCATTGGATTCTCGAAAATACCATGAGACAAAATGAAGAGGCTGCCAAGAATATTCAACAACAACAACAATAATTCTTTAGATTTTCTTGAACTCACTAAAATTTTGAACTTTTAATCATAATGGAAGAACACACTAAATAGTTATAATAACAAGATAACTTTGCAATGTAACAATCAGTCGTGCCATTGCCAAATCGTGTTGGCGCCTTTTTTGTTCGTTTCAAATTATTTTGTGTTTTTTCCAAATTTTTCAATTCCAAAAAATTCAATCGATCATCATCATGTCCTCCGACTCTTCAACAACCAACACTACTCAAGGTAGTAATTTGGGAAAGAGAACTTTGGAAGAAACAACCAGCACTACTCAAGGTGGTGGTGAAGAAGGCACATCATCATCCTCCTCCGAAGAGAACAAGAGCAAAAATCAAGCCACCTTACAAAGCTTGGCTGAAGATGTACAACAGTTGATCAACTCCATTCCAAAGGGTTGGTATTTTACTCCGTTAGATCCAATTCGTCCTGGACAATTTGAATATTCGACCTATGAACGTTTTCCGTATGAGGAATTACCCAGTGCTACTGAAGTGCATAAAAAGACGGGACAAGATCCCGAAGAATCAACTTTTTCGTTTGATGGAGTATTTAAAGGTTAGTGGATGTTGAAAAGGGTCTGATGATTGAACATGTGAGGATCTTTATAATTGGTGAACAAACAATTTTATCAAACAATATGTATGGTATTATCAAACCATGATTATTAATCTTTCATGTAACAATATGTATGGTAAAAATCATGATGATCATCATGATCACTACAAAATCATTGAAACTGATCATGACGATCGCTCGAAAAAAGGTGATTGGAAATGGAAGCTCGATAGTATGAAGAAAGACATTGAACAATTTCAAGAATTGAGAAAGAAAGAGCTTGAAGAACAGGGAGAACAAGCAGAGGACGACCACACTAAATTCGGGTTGGCTAATGTCGATTCAGAACTCGAAGAAAAGGATGTTGAATTAATTCCACCAGTAATTAGAACTTTGTTTGACCGTGTTTATCACATGTTTTTGGTGAGTTTTGAGAGTTTGCAACAATCAATGGAAGTCACGCATATTATACATCTATATTTTCGTCACTAATTATTCCTTAATTGTGAAATTGTACAATTTTCATTTAATTTATGAATTGTTTTTCCATTTTACAAAACAGACCGTAGATGCAGAATCACCAACAGCATGTTATTTCAATTTAATGAAACCTATTGGTCCACTCAAAAAGTATTATCCCAAACATGAATTTTATTTATTGCCATTCTATAATGATCAACAATCATGCTTGACTTGGTTTGCCTTATATGACTACAAGGTGAAAATGTCTGAATTAGATCCAACACCTGCAACACCAATCCTTGGATCCTTTGAGCATCCAGTCGTTGTGAGCGGAATTTCAATTTGTGACGAAGATTTAGAAAATATTTCCCTGTCAGATATTGAATATCAATCGAATGGTGTTGAAGAATTCGTATGGAGAACAGTATTGGAAGGGAAATTGTGGATGTGTTTGCATCCAAGTGTTGGCAAAATGGAAACCAAAGACATTAAATTCCTCCCTGCAAAACGTTATGCCATGCATTTAGAAAAACTGAACAATGAAAAGAAGAATCAAAAGAACAAGTCTGACACATCCAAATAAACGTGTACCTTTGAGATCATTTTGTGTTCAAATGTCACAATCACCAATATTCATTTAAGGTAAAAAAACAAAAAAATGAAACATTTCCACTCCAAGATTTGTTCTCTTCGAACTGGTGGTCGTCAGCCACCAGCAGCACAATCGCTCCTCCAAACCTTGAAGAATCACGATCATTCATCATGGACAACAACAACCAGAAGAGGAGACAATTCCTCCCAGCAACAACATGGATCGATCATGATGATCAATGGATCCTCATTATTGACTCATTCTCTCCTCATGAACGATCATCATCATTCCTTTCATCACGATCCAATGACTCTTCAATGTCGTTTCTTTTCCACAAGTCAATCCTCCTGTTCATCCTCTTGGAAAGATCAGAAAGAAACAATCTTCCGAGATGAGAATTTTGATCATCATCACCACCACCACGATTCTCAAAAGATTCATTTAGGAAGAAAAACACTCGCATTGTCACTCGTTGGCATTGGTGTTGGAATTTGTGCGTTTGTTGTGATGAATGATGATGATCAAGATGGACGTCATTCCTCGTTATTGTCTGTTCAGGATTCAGCTGCAACCACTCTCACACCTCGTACCAGTCATGGGATTGTGAATGAACATCATGGGAGTGGAAAGAAGAAGTTGGTGGTGTTAGGTAAGTCAAATAATATGAAAACTTTGGTTTTGGATCAACAACTTGTTGTTGTGAAAATCATAACATGGAATGATCAATTCCTTTAATATTGATTGTAAATATGGTGCTATTAATATCAATATTTAAACACTGTAACCATGTCCATCAATATATGGTTTCAAATCTTGACAGGCAGTGGATGGGGAAGTGTATCCTTGATTAGTGACATTGACCTTAATCTTTACGACGTCTATGTCGTTTCTCCTCGGAATTACTTTTTATTCACACCCATGCTACCTTCCGCATTGGTCGGCACTGTTTCCTTGCAATCGATTATTGAACCCATTCGTCGCGTGTTGGAACGAAAACGTAAAAAACAACTCAATGCCAATGGAATGATTGAATATTACGAAGCAGAATGTTATGATGTCGATCCCGTGTCACAAACTGTCAAATGTAAAGACATGTCCAATTTTGTTGTCGAACATGCTCATCATGGAGCCAATGAATTTGAATTGAAATATGACAAATTAGTGATTGCTGTGGGAGCTCAACCCAATAGTTTTGGAGTGAAGGGAGTTGAAGAATTTTCTGTTCCAATGAAACAACCTGAACATGCTCAAGTATTGAGAGAACGATTGTTGGATGCATTGGAATCTGCTTGTTTACCTCATTTGACAGAAGAGGAGAGAAGAAATGCATTGAAGATTGTTGTGGTGGGAGGAGGACCAACAGGAATTGAAACAGGTATGTGCGTGTGTGTGAAAATGTGAGTGATTTTTTGACATTAGTTTGTGATTGGATCATTTGAATGTTTGGTAATTTACATGTGTTGGTATTGACATGTCAAAAAAATGATTGTCATCTTGTTGGAATTTCACAAACCATGTTTTCAACATTCAACTCTCATGGCCGACTCATTATATAGCTGGTTATTTGGTGGATTTCATCAAACAAGACGTGAACAAATTATTTCCCAAAGATATTGTAGACAAGATTCAGATTGTCATGATTCACAGTTCTGATCACATTCTCAACATGTATGATACCAAAATTGTTGAATTAGCTGAAAAACAATTCAAGCTTAATCATGTGGATGTGAGAACGAATGCACGAGTCATTGAAGTGAGAGAAAAGGATTTACTTGTTGCCAATAAGGTTGATGAAATAACAAAATCAGAACCTTATTCACTTCCTTTTAGTGTTTGTATTTGGACTACTGGTGTTTCACAAGTGCCACTTGTCAAAACCATTGTTGACAAATTTCCAGCTCAAAAGAATGAAAAGTCACTTGTCATTGATGGATACCTGCAAGTGATTGGTTTGAAAAATGTCTATGCCATCGGTGATTGCAGCAAAATTCAACAACCTCAACTCATCAAGAAATATGAATCCTTCTACGAAGAAGCAGACACTAATCATGATGGAATTTTAACCTTCGAAGAATTAGAAGCTCTCATCAAAAAGAAAGAAAAAGAATATCCACATTTTGTGATTATTAATCAAAAATTGAAAAATCTTTTTGAAAAGGCAGACATCAATCACGATGGAGTGTTAAGTAAGGAAGAATTTAAAGCATTATTGGAACATATTGATAATGAATATTATTCTCCATTGCCTTTGACTGCTCAAGTGGCATCACGTCAAGGCAAATATTTGGCTGATTGCTTAAATCAAATCGAGGAAAAAAAAGAAGACAACAACACAACACTTCCACCATTCATGTACAAACATTTGGGATATTTTGCATATATTGGAAGTAATCACGCTGTGGCAGATTTAGGTGCTATGAAAATGGGTGGTTTCACCACTTGGTGGCTTTATAGAGCTGCTTATTTCTCAAAACAAGTTTCTTGGAAGAATCGATATTGTTTGGCTTCAGATTGGATTCGAACAACACTTTTTGGAAGAGATGTCAGTCGATTTTAATTGGTATGAATTTTATTAATCCAATTCATTGAAATTTGAAATTTGACAGTCTGATAAAAATTATAAATGTCAGCATCTATTAATCCAGATTCATCACTCTCATATTAAACTGGGTCATTTTCTCGGTCGCTCCAAAACGACAAACTAATGTTTAAGAATATTGGCAATAAATGGATGGAAAAAGGCATCAAAACAGTCTCCAGAAACCAAAATTAATTTCGAGCATTCTCGAGCTGGTGTGGTTGGAATTATTCCTTCTTTTACATTGTTGGCAGTGTTGCCAGAGACTTTTTTCTTGTGAAAATAATGACATAAACTTCATAGTCTGAAATTTTCAATAATGCATCCTTATAATATTCCTCCCAATTGTTTGGGTTCTAATGTTCTTGATTGTGAATCATCATTCAAAAACTTATTTTGTGTCACAAATAATTTTTTTTGCCATCCGAAGTAAATGCTGGCAAAAAACCATCAATTCCTTTTTCATTCTTTTTTGCCTTCGTGACTATATTATTGGTTATTTGGTTTGTTGATATTGATTTATCAGTTTCATTATATCTGAAATAAGTTGCATCAATCTTAGCTCTTAATTTCTTTTCGAGAGAATTGATGGCATATGTGCTCCTTGAAAAAGATCACCTACAGAAAAAGTAGATATAGCCTTATTTGGTTTCAATTTGAGAATATAGTTCAGTTTGCAGGTAATTGTTTTCAAACATAGCTCTTCGAATTTTTCCCAATCCGGTTTTGTTGAAGTAAAAATAAAGTGGTTGAATAAGCTTTTTGGAATTTTCTCATTTGATTCTGAAAGTTTATCAATAGCAAGAAGTGGTATTCCGAAATGTACACCACTTTCACAACATTGCTGTAAATATTGCTTATTTTTTTGTCTAATGGCATTGTTGTATTGTTTTTAATTTCTTTGGCTTCTCTAACTGCCCATTCTAAATGTCTAGGCACAACACCAATGATACTCCAAAACATCTTATATTGTGGTGTATAGAAATCTGTCAATTCTTGCTCTTTCATAATAGCTTCGACATCCTCTTGTCACAATGATGGTAATGGGACAGTTGTTATTTGGTAGCCAGTTGGTTCAAATCTGATATCGGATTCCAATAACGTTCCTGAGAATGATGGAAATAAAATCAATCCATGTTTTTTCTGATGAAGAAATAATACTGCAATCTCTTTCAACATCATTTTGCAAAACAAATCCATTTGTAAAGTTGAAGTAAATGATCGAAGAATTCTTAAAAATATGTTGTGGTTCGGCCTTCGAAAGAATTTTGACATATATATATTTGTCTGGAATGTAATTTGAGGCTACCAATTGCAGTTCTAAAGTTATACTTAACTGTGTTTCAATTATCCAAATTACTTACGTTTCATCTTCTCAAAATCGAACAACGGCACTTCTACCTTGTTGTTTTCTATCAATTCTTCCTTTATCCAATTCTTCACCTTAGTTCTTGGAGGTGTCGTTTAATGTTTTGTTGGCATTTGTTCACTCTTTGATTTGATTATTGGGTGAGTGTTCATGAGTTGTCATTATCGGTTGCTTGGGTTGACTTATCGGCTTGGAATGTGTTGGTTCGGAATTATCTTTCGGAAGTAAGGTTGGTTTACTTGGGCGCTTTGCTGTCACTTTCGATTCCGAGATATTTTTAGGCTTATCAGGTGGAGTAGGAGGGGTTATGCCTAATAGGTCTAGTAATTTTTGAAGATTGTTCTCGAGAGTTTCAAATTGTTGCTCATGTCTTGCTAAGGCGTTCACAAGCTCGGCCACGTCGTTCGCGATTCAGACATTTTTTTGTCCCGTCTTCCTTCAAAAAATGTCCAACCTTTTTCGAAAGGATTTGAACTTCCCTCCCCAATTAGAGGAAACCGTTAGGGATTTTACTCGGGAGGTCCTTTTAAATCAACCTTCAAATATTTCTCAATTCGGATATGAGTATTTCATGAAGGTGGCTCAAAAGGAAGATGAAGAGAAGATGAACCAACAACCACAATCAGATGATGATGGTAAAGAACAGTTCTTGAATAAAATATTTAGTGATAATAATGATGATGATGAAGTTCAACACACAGTAAATATTGATGATCGATGCTATTCCAATAATAAGGAAATTCCCACTCAGGATGAGAACGAGGAAGAAGAAGATGCAGAGAATGAAGAAGAGGATTATGTTGATCCCTTTGATCCCGATCACTTTTATCATAATTACTTCATTAATTATAATATGAGGCACTCCATATATTGGTGGATTTCAAAACCCATTGCCATCATTTACCAAAGAAACACTGGGGAATACTTTTGTGCATGCGGGATTGGTGATTGTCATGGATTTGAAGTGCCTTATTATCAACGTAACGCAAGACCTGCCTATTTGTTAGTGTTTTTGGAAGGAGCTAATGTCTTTCTTAGAGGTTCCTTTTGTTTGATCAAATTGGGAAAGTTGGGAATGGTGTTAGATGAGAAGAGAATTGTACCCTTAAAGATTAAGCGACAGCGAACTGCGGATGAAGAGGAAGAATACGAGGAAGCAAACGAAGAAGAAGAGGAGGAAACAGAGGAAGAGAGTGTTGGGGAGAGAGAAAAGAGTAATGAGACATCTTCCAGTCTGCAGTCCAAGATGTCATCTTTTGATATTATTGATTACAATTCCTATGTGATTATGATAGATCGTACTGATGACCAGTTAAGGTTTATAATGCTGTATGGTAATGCGGAATCCTATTACCTTCTCTTTGCATTGAATAAGGATGATGTTGAAAAATCTGTTGTGCTTCAATTGCATGTTCAGTATGATAAATATGTGGAATGGAACTCAGGTAGTTTTGGAAATTTCCTAATCCACAGTCCAACTAGAAACCAAAAAATTCAATTGTTAACGTACAATTTAACATATGTAACAGTTTCTATTAATGATTATGATGAGATTGAGGTGGAAAAGGAGGCACCTCTTGTTATGGATAGCAAATATTCTTATACTCATGACATTTTGGAAATGAGAACGGAAAGTCACAATGAAACCTACTTGGTTCATTTTGGGGGAGGTATTAAGGATATTTCCAGAATAACAGTCCAAGATGGTGATACAATCAACATAGAACAAGTCGATTTTACAAATTTTGATCAATACTTCCATTCTTTTGATTGGTCTTGCCCATGTCAATTAACAACAACAAAATATTTGATCCTTGCCTATGCAAAGACTGACATTAACCCTTCAAAAACCAAATGCCTTCAAGAATTGCTGAAGGACAATCATACAGCTTGGTTTGTATTCGACACAACTTGTAAAAAAAGTAGAAAGAGTGTATCCTTTAGATTACCAGAGAAAATCTGAAAATGACCCCAACCTCCATACTTTTGATGGCACTGTTTTGACAGAAGAATCCGTATTTGAAGGTTTTCTTGACGGGGATTTGTCTCATCATTACTTGAAAGAAGAACCTTCCAATACCTGTGATATTATTCTTCCTGATGACTTTGAATTACATCCCGGGAGCTTTAAAAATCACCTTGCAAGTTTCAAACCCTTCTTCCATAATCCAGACATTTTTCAGGTTATTCTGTTCCTTGGAAGAATGCACAAGCGACATTTTGGCCTTATGCTGTCTTTTTATTTTAAATTGAAAGAAGAAGCTCACCCTCATATAAAAAGGACAGATTTTTTGGATATCTCGATCAAAGTAAAAAACTGACACTCTAAACAAGAGATTCAAAAATTGTGAACAGAAAATGAATTCTTGCCACAACAAACACTAATCATCCTCAATGTTTTATTCATTCATTTTCAAGCAATGAATTCAAGAAGTAACATTACTGAAATGAAATTTGGATTATTCTAAAGGTGTAGAATTAGGGAGTTACAGAATCATCATTCAAGAACTTTAGTCGCCTATAAAGGAGAATCTATTCAAATTTGGGTGAACAAAAAAATTCTTCTGAGGGTTAGAGAAGGTTCCGATATCATGTTGATCCTTCTCTCTTCCCCAACCATTCATACATCAATTTGAGTCGTTCCCTTACAACACGCACAAATGATTCTCACCTACGTATTGACCTACACAGTCTTGCAAAAGAAGTTTCCCAAACAATTTAAAGAACGCTTTCCACTTTCATTAAAAAAAATATGCAGCCCAACTCTCGACAGCAGATCGAGGCTCAGTATGGCATCAACTTTCACGTTCCTGATCGATATCAGGATTTGAATGTCATTGGAAAAGGTGAGTCGACTCATGATACATGTAATAAATCATCTCATGATCCCAACAACAATTAAATTTAATTGCGATCATTGTAATTGACTCTTGGATGATAATTTACGGAAATATTTTCATTCCGATCCTTGATGATATGACTAAATTTTCGATCAACATTGATGGATCACTCCGGATGAATATGTTAATCAACAACACGATGTGCAACAAACTATTACATCACTGCAACAACAAATACAATATTATACATTTCTCGTGAATGGGATTCACGTAATTTCACACATATTGGTGTCAACAACAACAACATCGGGACACGCGAATGGCTCCACAAATACAACATCATCACGATCGACAACAATAATAATGGATTTTGATCTTTTCAATATCACACGTTTCTTCATTGTATGGCAATTTATAAATGTGGTGTTGGCCTTTTTCATCACTCCACCATCATCATCACAATATGTGCGTTTGTTCATCATAACTTCAACAGGGTCCTATGGCATTGTTTGTAGCGCCCTGGATACACAAACCAATACCAAGGTTGCCATCAAGAAAGTCATTCGATGTTTTGATCATCACATCTTTGCTGTTCGTTTGTTGCGTGAAGTGAAAATTCTTGGCTTTCTCAAACATCCGAATGTCATTGATTTGAAACATGTTCAATTGCCCTTTCCCGACAAGGATACCTACACTGAACTCTACATGTATACAGATTTGATGGATACCGATTTGAAAACTATTATTCAATCTCCACAAGAATTAACCAACGACCATATACAATTCTTCATGTATCAAATACTGAAAGCTGTAAATTACATCCACAGTGGAAATGTCATTCATAGAGATTTAGTAAGTAGATCCGAAATATCGTGTACAATGGTGACTTGAGCTGATGATGTTAATGGCGACTTGCTTTGATATGATAATATTACCATATCGGATTTTTCTAACAAATGACACATGACGGATCTATATCGTCACGAATATTGTCCTATTCGATAAAATATTCATAATTTCACACAAACTATGACATAAAAACAATTTAACTGCCAATTAACATCATGTCACTTCAAAACACTATCACAACATGATCTAATATATTTCAACATCAACCTTTAATTTTACAACAAAACCATGCACCAGAAACCAAGCAATATATTGATCAACAGCGATTGTAATATAAAAATATGCGATCTTGGACTAGCTCGTGGATACAACGACGGAACCAATCCTCTCAATGGTAATAATGGATCCTCACAATCCTCCGATTCAATGTTAAAAGGAGTTTTCAAAGGACAACAAAAAGCAAAACCAAAACTCACAGAATACGTTGTAACTAGATGGTATAGAGCTCCAGAGCTACTTCTTCAATCTTTAACATATGGAAAGGAAGTGGACCTGTGGAGTGTGGGATGTATATTTGCTGAACTCTTAGGACGAGAACCTCTATTTAGAGGAACATCATCATACGATCAAATTGTTAAAATATTCGATGTGATTGGAACACCCAAAGAAAAGAAAGATTTTGATGGAATTGAGCTATCGGATGCTAGTTATAATATTCTTCAGCAAATTAAGGTGAAATCAAAATTAGATTTTGCACAATTATATCCAAATGCCACATCTGAGGCCATTGATTTGCTAGAAAAATTACTCTGCTTTTCACCAAAACAAAGAATCTCTGCCTATGAAGCATTAGAACATCCATACTTTGAAGATATTCACACATTTAATGAATGTGATTTTGCAACATCAACATTTGACTACAGTTTTGAAAATGAAGCCACAAGTATTCCTGTGATTCGACACATGCTCTATGATGAAATTGTGAAAAATTATGATCACTCCAGTGACCGTGAAGAATTAATGACCTTCTATGAACTTCAAACAGCAATGAAACCTCCAGTTTCAACAGCAGTTCAACAACAACAGGCCAACGCTGCCTACTATCAACAGCAACAGCAACAACATCAACACCACCACAATCAATCACATCATCCTAATCAACTCGAAGATGATTTTGAGAGTGACGATGACGATGGAGACGAAGAAGAAATCGATGACATGGACTATCTTGGAGGTGGTAAGAAAGGAACCACCAATCAACTACACCCTAGTAGCAATAATTATGGTGAGGATAGCGTTCTCACATCCGATAACGATTACATGGAAGAATCTGATAACGATTTTCCTTAACTAAGGAATATCTTTTTTCGCACAATTTGTTGTGATGCAGAGCCGAATGAAACAATAAACCTTAATTTATTTTCACGTATGCCTCAAGCATAGTGTGAGTTTATGTTCAAGCATGCCACGGTAATGGTTTTAAATCATCTTCTAATAAGGTAATGACAAAGACGGCAAGTGGAAAATGCACAAGATATAAGGATCTTAGTAGTTCGTACGGTCAACTGAAGAGCGAGAGAGCACTTCATTCACCATCTTACTCTCCTGACGATCGAAATCAACACTTCCCAATTGCTCCAGATATTCTTTCATTTTCGTGGAAGGAATGGACAATCTGTTCTGGAAACCTATTTTAGACATGTTATTGCAGCTATTGCTTAGATCCTTTTCTGTTAATAACATTGAATTTTGTGATGATGCATCAGAATTGTTGTGCTGATGGTGGACAATATTATTGGAACCGCTCGTTCCACCACCACTTACGGTCTTTCCCATTACAGTTTGAATAAGAGAATATGGCACATTATTGTGCTTATAGAAAAGTTCAGGATAATTAAGTGCATCTTGCAAACTAATATCAAAATATGTCTCTACCGCATAAGAACTGTCCTTGTTTTTCAGGTTGGTGACACGTTCTGGTGGGGAAATGGTACCCGATGATGAATTTGAGATGAATGTTCTCACCCGTGGAACAACAAGATAATGCTCAAACAAAGCTTTCACTTCGTGGTATCCCTTTTCTAACTCGGCATGTAACACTCGGTCCTTATTGGTGCTTGATGCTGATGGAGCTTGTGAATGAATCATGAGAGAATGAAGCTTGACACCTCTTTCACACAATAATAAAAATCTGAAGCATCTCTCGTTCAATCTCTCAACCAAATCGCTTTGTGCTGTGTTGTACTTTTTCCAGTTTTCTCTGTACTCCTTGTTAAGGAAGGCCTCAACTACTTTCTTTGGGCCTTCACCAACTCGTGCTTGTACACTACCTTGTAAAATCAGTTTGGAGGTTTGATAATGTATGTGGTGTAATGTTCATTTCATTCAAATATGGAATGTTGCCCAAGGAACTAGTGATATTTAAATTAATTACCATATTGTTACCAACTGTTGAGCGACGTTTGTGCTGTGTCGAGTTGTTGCTCGTAAGATTTGATGAATTACTAGCTCCGCTTGTGGATGATGACGACGTATTCACCACAGAATGATTAAATAAATTTGCCAATACATTGTAGTGTGAGACATCTCCAACAGCTCCTGAAAGAATTAAATTCATTGCTCCTTCCAATTTCTTCACCTGTGTATCAATCATTTCTATGGAATTTTCGATAGGTGATAATGTGAAAACTTTTTCTTCCACTACTTTTACCCTGGTTGTGACGTTGGGAAAATATTCTTCTGTGGTAATGACAATCTTTTTCTTCTCTGTTTGTGTGATGTCTGCATTTTTCGATTTGCTGACCGAGTATTCATAGAAAAATTGATTGATATTCATGTTACGTTCAAATTCTGTCTCTCGAGGAATGAAAAATGTCAAAGATAGAGTTCTATCATACAGAAATCTTTCCAACTCTTGAAATGCATTGCTATTCGATAAGCTGCTAGTCATGCCACTATTTGAAGAAGAAGTCGATGATGCCTCACCTGACGAGGAGGGCTTGGATAAATTTAGTTTGGGAATTGTAACTTTTGAAGGTGACAATGCTCTATCAGAGGGAGAACTGTTGGTAGGTGAAGTTGGTGTCATTGGAGAAATTGTTGACTTTTTAGATTGATCATTGAAGTTAAGTAAGGATAGTTCTATTTTTGGATTGGAGCTAGATCGAGATCTTGGACTCAAGCTGTCACTGAGTATTGTTGGAAGCTTGGAAGTGCTTGAGGTATGCATTGGTTTTTTGCCCATGACTTTTCTTTCCAATCCACCTCTCCAACTTGGTGCACTGTTCACTCCAAACGAAGAGCTATTGATTCGGTTCAGATCATCGAATTTTCTCTTTAGAACTTTCATTTGTTCTACTGTTGGCAAGAACGGCTTGACATGGTTAATTTGAATGATTTTCTTATTTTCTCCAGACATGGAAGACAAATCATCTTCAGATTCTACTTTGAAATTTTTATAAAAGAAATGCATAATAATTATAAAAAAGGGAATTCACCGTTAACAATCCACAAAAAAAATACTAATGTCACATACCATTGGTAATTCCTTCTTCTTCCTTTGAAACTACCTCAATATCTTTTCCATATATTTCAATCATCTTATTCTTCATTTTGTAAAGCTTGAATAGTTTTGGCATTTTGTAAATGAATACTTGTCCATTAAGCTCTCCAAATGCTCGTCCAATAAATTTCACACGATAGTAAAAGCTATAAACTCGTGTGTCTGTCTCTGTTGTGTCAACTTTCATGGTTAAAGAGCTCAAAGAAGAAAACGACGATAATCTCGCAAGCAAGCTTGAAGCATCGTTTGATTCAGAAGCAGAGCTGTTATTTCTTGGAGAGCTCGGAACAGAAGTTGTGATTCCAGTGGCACTTGCAGAAGCTTGGAATGAGGCACATTTCTTATAGAGCTGGGTAAGTCTTTCATAAATTGCATGAAGTTGACCATAGTTTGCATATTTTGATTCAAATATTGGAATGAGCATCTTGTACAATAAAATACAATGCTCATAGCACTCAGATAACTCCAAACAATCAATAGCTCTCAAAATATACTTCACAATAGAATGATCGGACATGTAATCCAACTGAGTGTTGGCTCCTCCGAGGAGTGTTTGAGTCTGAAAACCTGTTTGATTCGATTTAAATTCATTCAACATTGGAGAAATACTATAAAATTGTGAAAGAGGTAAAATATCCAACAATGAAACATCATGCTTTGAATTAAATCTTTGGTTGGCATGATCTAAATAATCAAAAACAAGTGATAATATTCTCAAATAACAATGAGCAGACTCTTCATATTGGTTAAGACTCTTGTGATAAGAAGCCAATTGTTCAAGCCAAGCCAATCTCAGTTCGGGAAGCTTTGAATAATTCTCTGAAATTCTGTAAAGTAATTCTTCAGTCTTGAAAGGGTCATACGTAAAACTTTCTTCCATAGAACTTTGTTTTCTCTTGATCATTGTGGCTCGAATAGCCATGGTATCTTGAACTAAATTCAACAATTTTCTTGACAGTTCAGCAAGAAATTCATGAAAATGTTCATAAATCTCAAGAACTTTTTGTCCATGTTTCTTTTGGTCTGCCTTTGTTTCAATCTTCTTGAAGAAAACCATTGCATTATGGAACCTCTCTCCTTTTTGTTTCGACAAGTCCATGATTGAAGCTTGCTGTGATGGTTGCTCTTGTTTTTTATCCGTTCCAATTTTGTCAAGTGGAAGACTTGGATTTTCCAAATCGTCTTGGCCTTTTAGTTTTCCATACTTGTTTCGTATCTTGAAGAATTTTGATCCAGGTGCGGCCTCATCTTTCAGAGCAAAGTAAGGCAACATTTTGATACATTCTTCAATGAAACGAAGAGCATCCGAAACTTGAGAGTCGTCGAATGAATCAACCGCATCATTTGTCAAAATATTTTGTAAGCTGCTAATATTGGTATATGTTTGAAGTCTTCTTGAAAGTGCAAGTGTTGTCATGATTTGAGGAATTGTCATACCTTTGTTTTCCTCAAAACAGAAACGTATCCACAAGTAAAAACAAGCAGAAGCATGCTTTCTAATAGATCCTAATTTTGAATGGCTAAGTCTAAGAAGTTCCTCTGCAACGAGAAGGCCATATTCAGATTGTGGATGATAGAAAACGGAAGTAAATGGATGTTGACAAAGTGCATGTCGCATGTACATGAGTACTGATACAGTAAGAGTCTCGCTGAGATTTGAACGTAAAAAGTTGAGAACAGTTCTTACAATATTCTCGACAAGAGGAGGTAAACGTTTAGGATCAATACTTCCCTTTGGAAGTGAATTTTCAATATAACCACTATTGTCTTCCATAAACTTTAAAAACATTTGGAAAATAATTGTACCCATTTCATGCGAGATATGTCTTTCCATATTAATTTTTCTCTCAATAAAATCTGACTTGGAAACATGCATGACTAAAGAATTAGCAGAATTAGACTTGGAATCATCCATTTGAATTTCGCTTCCTTGTCCATCCAAGCTGATTTTGGCTGAATTTTTAGTCTGGGATCGTGTCAAACCTGCTTTCCAAATGCTGCTTGAACTGCTGTGAGCTGTTGTTAATGTTGGATTTGTTTGTTTGGTGTTTCCAGTACTGGAAGAAGAACTCTGGCTCATTGTTGTTTGCTTGGAAAAAACTCTCTCATAAAAATGATATAATGGTGTGTATCCATTGTACTCAAAGCTTTGTAAGCACATTTGGAAGGTCATCAACAGTTTTGAGCCAAAATGAATGGTATTTTCTGCATTGTAGTCTGTCTCTTCAGGATTCATTTTCCATAGAGCTCTCAGTATTTTCTCATCACAGTTTGTGATTGTTTGTATGAATATTGAGAGGAACATACGTTTTTCAGTTTTTGTTGCCTCAAATTCTTCAAGTAATTGCTTTTCCTTTGAAGCCAATAGTTGTTTGAGAGTGATTAATTGAACTTCGAGATGAGGAAGCTTTTTTTCTGGCTCCTTCTTGGATTTGTAAGCTTGTTTAGCAGACTCTGCAATACTAAGTTTGTCTCTCTCCACTTGGGCAATTTTTCTTTTCAACTCTTCAATAGCAAGAGTAATCTTCTTCTGATTGGAATCAGCATTTTTCTTCCATTCGGGTAAAAGATCAATCATGTGTTTAGCAAACAACTCTAGTAAAAATTGAGAAGTGAAAATTCGAACCCGCAATTCTGAAAGTTTTTCAGGCTTTGTAATTGGATGAGATTCTTCTGAATGCTGCATGGTGGTGCACTCTCTACTCACTTTCTCCACATACTCCTTGAACAGAATAATTGCTTTCATTCGCTGATCCTTATCCTCATTCAAATAAACACACCTGATAAAGTATTCTGCAAATGATGAAAAAACAAAGTGGTGAATGTCTCGAAAACTTTGAATACTTTTGAAGCTGTCACGCAAAATTATTGATTCAATAAATGGAATAGAAGGTGGCAATGAAAGCTCAAAAGCAGGAAAATGAAGTAACAATTCACTCAGCATTATGAGTTGAAGCTCTGCAGCCAAATTAGACAATTCTCTTGCTCGTTTGTTATCTGCGGAAGGGGTCATAGTTTCATTATTTTTAACCTTGAAAAGAGATGGGAAGTATCCAATTGATTCAACAAAGCGTAAAAAGAATTGTAAAATATCTTGCTTTGCCAACAGCTTGTATACATTATGCTCTCCATCAAGAGGTTGCGATTGCAATACAGAACTGCCAATATCTGATCCAAATATTGAAACCAAGTGAGCATAGAAAGTCGAAAAATTCTTCAAAAATATTCTCAAGGTACCGTGTTTTTCAGTCTTGCCATATGCCAACTTCTCGGCAACTTCAAGAACCATCACTGTAAACTGTTCAATAGAAGACATCATTATTTTGGATAATAAATGAGAATTGTCAAAATTCGATTCTAACATTGAATTTGGAACGGGCATATCGATCATGGAACATGTCATTGCTTTCAAAAAAAGACCAAACAAAATTTGGTTATTTCTAATGAATAATTCCTCAAAAATATTGCCTTTTGTACCGAGTCTGGTATTCTCAACTCTGATACTCTCAACAAATGAAAGTAAAAGCTTGATGGCCACATTTTTTTCCTTTTCAGCATAGAGTCTGAAATGATATTTCTGGAAAATAGTAAGTACTGTTGCGGTGTATGCGGAGTGTTGATTGTACTTCTCAATAAAGAATAAAATAATTTTCCAAAGTTCTGCTGCATAATTCTTGTTCAGATCGAACGAGTCAATAATCCATTCTAAACACGTGTTAATGATCATGGGTAGATATAAATTGTGCATTTCAAACCATATAGTGTTCATTACTACTTGCTTCTCATACTCATAGGTTTGAACTAGTGTTTTGTACGCGTCAGATATTTCTTCTAGGGGTGGAATGCCACCATTGTTAACCAATCTAAAAAATTTTAACAAGAATAAATTGATCACATTCGAGGTCGAATAGGGAAATGAGAGAGCAATATTTGGGAAAATAAAGCTGTATGGCATAATTCTTACTTTGAAAGTTCCAGATGACTTGATATGTGACAAGGAAGGATCAATAACTTCATCACAAAGACGTAAGTAGTTGGAGTTTGGAATGTGCAACACATTGAAAACCTGCAATTCAAAATCTCCATTAATTAAATCTTTAAGAATAACCTTCTTCTTGTCGATAGAGGTGGTTACTTTTTTGTAGATTTTCAAAAAAGCAATTCCGAATAGTGTTTTTGACTGTATCACACTCGAGTCTGTATCTCCTTTCTTTCCCTGTTGAACTGACTCCTTGTGTTGTACATTGTAAAATTTGAACACTAAATGTTGTCTGCTATCTTCACCTTCGGAAGGATAATAGCAGGGTACAGCACATTTAATCTCACCACTAAATTCAGGTTTTTCAGCCTTCAAAGAAACCGAGACACATTCTCCCTCGTGGGTACGGCTACTTGGATTATCACCAGAAAATGGCTTGGAAAATATGTTTCTACTTCTTTGTTCCATGGTATTGAATGAGAAACTGGTATCATTGTCATAGAGTGATATTGTGAGATAAACATTGTCATGTTTGGCAGAAAATTTAGAAAATGAACCACTGAGAGGGTATATAAAGAGATCATTTCTCAAATTGAAATGTCTGAAAGTAGTTTCTGGCATAGTATCAGAGGAATAAAATTGTTCCATTTCTGTCACAGGAAGATCTGTCTGTAAAGGTTCCTTTGTATCAAGATCTTTTTGTTGTCTCTTTGATTTTTTATCAGCACCATGTTCAATAGTTGTGGGCTCTTTTTGAAGTACCAGCAAGTTATTCTCTGGAAGGTATTTTCTTTGCACATATTGATATTGCTTTTCTTTTCCGTAGAGAGATCTTGTAGCAGTATTAACTTTGTTAGGTGTTATCAATGAAACTTTGAACGAGAACTGACTTGGAATGTTACGAAGTATTGTTTTTGACAATTGCTTAACAATGTCTTTGGAGTTGTTGAGAACTGCCTTTTCTACCTGATTTGTGTTTGATGGAAGCAAGGTCAAGTTTTGCGAAAATCCCGTTTCAGTCGTAGAAAGCTCAACTAGATTTGAGGATTGATTCAAATTGTTGGCAAAATAAACCTCGAACAGCTTTTCATCATTCACGTCACCCACCACTTTTGCAGGTACATTATAAATATTCTTCACAAGAAATTGATTTGACAGTCCCTCATAGTCCACATACAGACTTGGAAATTGCAATGCTGGCAAGGATGAAAGCATGGAATCCAGCTCGACAATAGACCAAGCAAATGGAGCATAGACGTCTTTCAATGATTCAAAAAAGCTTGGTTTTACAGCTCGAATGGCCTTCATTTCCTTCAATTCATTGACATTGGTAATCTTGTCTCCTGGTCTTATCGCCTGCTTTCCTTTAATATAAAGATCATCAAAATGTTTTGTGTAATTCCCTCTAAAGTTTCTGAAAAGTCGCAACAACACATAGACTTTCTCCTTTGGCTTTTGACCAACATAATTAGGCAGATTTTGAGGACTCAAATAAAACAATGCCTTTTTGCTATTCACACCTGATGCGAGAGAAAATGTGAACGTCTCGCTATATCGCTTGATTCCAGATACGGCAGATGTATGTGTGCCATCAGGAGGTTTGGTCTCATACAGTGTAATAGAGCCATAAAATTTCTCTAAACCAGCACCATTCAAATATTCCTCAATAAAGTCGAGCTTAAATTTGTCAATCTCAATAACCAATTTTGCTCTATTGTCAATATCTGGTTTCATCACTTCAAAGCTTTGTAAGAGTAAATCAGTAGAGCCATCTTTTAGGCATTCACTAGAGCTGAACAAGAAGGGAAACATTTTTGTTTTAAGCTCTTGCGTATTCAGTAACTCATCCGTTAAAAATTCTAGAATGCAATGTTCCTTCTTCCAAGTTTTATACTCATTGACATTAACATTTTTTCTGGAGGCGCTCGTTTCGTCACTGGATTCTCTCAGAAATTCCTTTAAATTGTCAATTTTTGTGGAGAGGAATCCGTGAGGAATTTCGTGCGCTAAAGCTGGATTGAAGCTTGTAATGTATTCACGCTCTTCATCATCAGAATCACTGGATTCATAAGTAGATCCCTTACTTGAATGCGTATCGTCATTAGGAGAGTTTGTAAATGCATCAGAACCCTTTCTTCTAAACATTGGTTCATTGTTTAGTGAAGGGCTCGGTAAAGGTGTTAGAGAGAGTGGAGACAGAGATGGAGGTGGTGACAAAGCTCTTTGCTTATCTCCATCAAGTTGATAAGGTTTCAAGGTTGCAATTCCAGAGTTGGATCTACTCCGTGGTCTCTCTTTTTCTTTTGGGAATATATAGTCAGTCAAATGTGCGCTCAAAGGTATGATACTTTTTGGATCATTATGATAACGAATGTCTCTTGATAATAAAGTTTCCTCGAGCATTCTCCACTTATTTTCCTCCACAATATGTTTCTTAGACTGGAGAAGAAATAGCCTTTTCATTGTGCTCTTAGAGAGATGAAATTGTTTTTTCGAATTGGATAAAAGTACTTGAAAATTTGATTCGAATTTGTCACGAATCGTGTTTCTTGCATGAAGTGGCAATTCTGCAACTTCGTTTTCATAGAGGTGTGATAAAAGAGGAATCTTTGCATGTTTTTGTTGTGTAAATCCGTAAAGAGATTGATCATTTCCGGTTGTTTCCAAATAATTGAGTGGCATGAATACATTGGGCAATCCATGTATGGAAAATGTTGTTGATGATGATTTTGACTCGTTGGAAGATAAAAACTCTCCAAATGAAGAAAGAAAAGTTTCAGCATAACCATTCATAGAAATTGTAGAGTTATTTTCCAACGATTGAACCTGAAATATTTCTTCAATATTGAGAGGGGTTGGTGATGAGGAATTTTCCTCTTGTGTACTTGCGTCATCTGAAAATGATGCATCTAAATGATGAGAATCCTTGAAATGACTCATTGCATTAGGGTCCAACGTCAATCGGTGAGCTAATCGAAAACTATGTGCCTGAGGTGTTGACCGATTGGAGTCAAATGAGGCTGTTGTGCTGAATGACTGATCATGCTGATGGTGGTGTTGAGGTGAATGATGATCCTCTGAACCATTATGATGTAAGATATTACTTTGTAAACTTCCTAAACTTCCCAAGCCAACAATTCCTAAACTTCCATACTTGTCGAAAGAAGAAGAGGGTTGAGAAGATCCTACAGAAGATGCAAAATCAAAAGTTTTCCGAGCTGCATTGGAACTTCTCGGATGAGGAGGTGGTTCCAACAACAACTCATCCTCCTCCTCCTCCTCCTCCTCCTCATTCAGTATCAATAAACTTTTGACTCGGTCATCCTGGCTCGGTTGTGTTGAATGATGAGTGATCGAATTCGTTCCTTTCTGAGGAGATGATCCAAGCAAGATGCTACAATCATTTCCGATATCATTATTACTTTTCAAAACATGATGATCTTCTCCATCTTCTTCTTCCGAAGAAACTCTAGATGGATAATTGACAAGAGGTGAAGAAGAAGTATTTTTTTGTAGCGTTTGGCTCTTGGATGGAGAATGCGAAGAAGAGGGCAATTGTGGTGATGATGATGATGGATGAAGAGAAAGCTGCTGGTTTGGAATGAGAGAGGAGGAATTGGTCAAGGTGGTGGCAGTTGATGAGGATGCTGAGCTCAGATCACCACCCTGGTGAGAGTCATTACTCAGATTACTATTTTTGCGAAAGGGAATGTCAAGATGATTGCTGGTTGTGGAGTATGTTGGAACATTTGTAATGGTAATATTTGGAGAAGTATTCACATTAGTGGAGGAAATGTTGTTGGATGTTGTGGTGGTATGAGTTTGTGATGTTGTGGTGGTTGTGGTTGGAGAAGATATCTCATTGTTCTGTAGAGGACTGTGATTGTTTCCCAAGCTTGGTGAACGATTGGACGAGGTGGTTCCCGATGATGAAGATCCTCCGCTAGATGATGACACTTTTGAAAAGAAGCTCTTGAGACGAAGTTGAAAAGTGCTGCTCTTTGACTTTTCATTGTTATTGGATGATTGACTCATTTTTTTGAGAAGTTGACAGGCGTGACATGCTTGATGTTTTTTCCATATTTCGGGCCGTCTGGATGATGAATGCGAACGAACGTATCCAAGTTTTGATTACGAAGTGGGAAGGGTGCGAATTTATTTACATTTAGAATGTTATGTACATTTGTCACAAAATTACTCTATTATTGTTGGGTTGAGGGAGATGGTGGTTTGGTGGTGTCATCATCAAAATCAGACTGCTCATGGAAGTAATAACATTCGTGACCGAAAGGGCAGTTGACTCCGAATCTACAGCGAATAGTTTTGAGTTTCTTTTTGGTTTGTTCATCGAGCTTTGATTTGTTTTTAAGGTGAAGATTGCGACACTTGTCTCCAAAACGACATTCACCCTTTTTAAAGAATTGGCAGATTTGTTGTTGTTGCGGAGGAGGTTGATGTGGTACCTGAGAAGAGTTTGAAACATGGGAGATATTATTTACAGAGGTGCCACTGTGTGAATGGGATGTAGCGGATGACATGGCTACGTTATTCGATGGATATTGCACCATGTGGGGGTATTGATATGCATTGGTTGTTTTGTTGAGTTGTTGTTGTTGCTCATTCATGTTTATGACAAAACCGTTTTGATTGAAATGGTTTTCATGAGGTAAATGAGAAGAAAAAGCATGCACGGCTCCATTCGTTGGCTGTTGAATGGGAGGCGCTGTTGTTGAAACTCCAAAATTTGGTGCATTGTCAAACATGTTTGGAGTGAGCGAGTGAAGGAAAGTGCAATTATCTCCATATTTACAACCTTCTGCTGAGAAGAAGTATTTACAAGGTTTTTTGCCTTGTAATGAGTGGAAATTAGTGAGAGAATCATCATCTTCAATAACAGACTCAATCAAATCATAATCGATCATCATGGATGATGATTTTTTGGTTCCTTGCTGGTGGTTAGTGTCATGCTGCTGTAAAGGTGGTGGCTGTTGTTGGAAGAGTTGGAATCCAATACTACTTTGGAATGAATTCAAAACAGTTGGGCACGACATGGACATGAATCGACGTGAGGATGGAGAGGATGGTTGCGGCGACAAGTTTAGATTGTTGTTGGAAAGAGGTGATTGTTGGTAATGAGGATGAAGAGCCGAGTGATGATTCTGTTGGCCACCAACGTTGTTGAAGGAGAGAGGTTCTTCGACATCATCAGACAACACCTTTCCAACCACAGACCTTACGAACATGTTCACATTGATTCCGTCATCGTGACTGTGATGAGAACGATGTTGGTGATGATGCTGATTACCCACCTTGGGAGAATGAGTACTAAGCAAAGACATGGAATCAAGGTTTGCAACCCTCTCTTCTCTCTCCATCATTTTGTTGAAACTGTTCGAGCCAACAACACTTGCACTACTACGAGAGGGAATTTCAAGATCTACTGGCAGAGTGGAAGGAGGAGGTCCAAACAAACTCGAGTTGAAGGTTGAAGCGGTGGATCTTCCTCCTCTCGTTGGAGAATTCATGAGAGAAATGTCATCCTCCATGGAGGATGAGTAGTCAAAGGATGATCCTGCTATGCTTTTGTTGCTGGTACGGTTGCCGAATTGGTGATGATTCGAGTTGGAAAGAAGAGAACCATGTTGATGACTCTGGTCCTGTGGCAACATGATGTGGCCTGACCAATTCATGTTCATGTGGTTGGGATTGTTCATGCTGTGACTCTTCGTGTGGTGATGTTGACAGCCGTTAGGTTGTGGGGAGGTCGAACAAATGACACCGTTATTATTAGTATGATTGCTGAAACCAACCACATAGTTTGGAGGACTCATTCCCATCCATGTTGCTGCCGTGCTCGTGCTCAACAAAGAGGAGTTGGTACTGTTCACGCTGTTATAACTTCCAATACTGCTGCTGATATCGGAAGCGTTTGAATAACTTGATGAAAGCAAGCCACTGCCACTATCAGACATGTAGGATGATGAACCGATGGTTCTCTCAGGATTGTTATGATCAAAACTTCCATCGTGATGATGGTGATGATCCTTTCTGAACGGAATGTTCATAACGATGATAAAGATGATGAGTTTTTAAAATTAAAAAATCGGAATATGCAATGATGCTGAGATTGAAAAAACATGAGATCTCAACAAACAGCAGTTGATGAGCGCTGCCCTAAATCTCTCTTAGGATGCAAAAAGCCAATAAAGACGAGAGATGATAGTGCTCCTGAACGAAGTCTGAATGATGACTCTGTGTTCAGAATTTGTTCAGTTTTCAATTTTTTTTTCTAAAAAACATCACAATATTAAATTGCCACACCGTCGTCCTTCGCAATTTGAGAGATTTGGGAAGAAAACATCCCTTGCATTTGAGAGCTGTTTCCGTGGCAACGACCAGACCATGTTGCGTTGAAACTCCAAAATCTCATGGAAATGTTTCAAAACATTTGGGATGGACCAATCCCAGCCAGCCAAAATTTGGGATAGTTCAGGTTATTTGGCCTTCCAAAAAGCACTCTTCATAGAGTGTACAAGTTCTTCTTTAAGGAACATTATACCGAGAACAAAAAATGGCAGATTATGCTCCATTGCTTAGAGTATTAACTGCACAAACTGAAAATCCGACCACAAACGAAGGAAGGGAAGTTGTGACAATGCATGGGGATGGTTATGAAGACGTTTGATGTTTTTCTATAAAAAACTTTTTATTCTTTTGGAGTTAAGTATTAGTTGCTTCGTACAACATCGGGTTGGAGTCTTTATCGACATGATGGAGATTAAAGCAAGTTGATTTGTGAAGTGGATATGGAGCTACAGACTCGCAAAATTCACTGTTGCGAAAGATCGGTGGGAGAGTTGAATTTGGTGAGATAAGATAAATAATGAGCATGATTGAGTAGATGTCTGAATGGGCTACATGTTGGCTAGTGACATGAAGTGCTGTCTGGATGTTGAGCGAATCAACTTTTGGGTTTGGGTTTGGGTTTGGGTTTGGGTTTGGGTTTGGGTTTGGGTTTGGGTTTGGGTTTGGGTTTGGGTTTGGGTTTGGGTTTGGGTTTGGGTTTGGGTTTGGGTTTGGGTTTGGGTTTGGGTTTGGGTTTGGGTTTGGGTTTGGGTTTGGGTTTTGGGTTTGGGTTTGGGTTTTGGGTTTGGGTTTGGGTTTGGGTTTGGGTTTGGGTTTGGGTTTGGGTTTGGGTTTGGGTTTGGGTTTGGGTTTGGGTTTGGGTTTGGGTTTGGGTTTGGGTTTGGGTTTGGGTTTGGGTTTGGGTTTGGGTTTGGGTTTGGGTTTGGGTTTGGGTTTGGGTTTGGGTTTGGGTTTGGGTTTGGGTTTGGGTTTGGGTTTGGGTTTGGGTTTGGGTTTGGGTTTGGGTTTGGGTTTGGGTTTGGGTTTGGGTTTGGGTTTGGGTTTGGGTTTGGGTTTGGGTTTGGGTTTGGGTTTGGGTTTGGGTTTGGGTTTGGGTTTGGGTTTGGGTTTGGGTTTGGGTTTGGGTTTGGGTTTGGGTTTGGGTTTGGGTTTGGGTTTGGGTTTGGGTTTGGGTTTGGGTTTGGGTTTGGGTTTGGGTTTGGGTTTGGGTTTGGGTTTGGGTTTGGGTTTGGGTTTGGGTTTGGGTTTGGGTTTGGGTTTGGGTTTGGGTTTGGGTTTGGGTTTGGGTTTGGGTTTGGGTTTGGGTTTGGGTTTGGGTTTGGGTTTGGGTTTGGGTTTGGGTTTGGGTTTGGGTTTGGGTTTGGGTTTGGGTTTGGGTTTGGGTTTGGGTTTGGGTTTGGGTTTGGGTTTGGGTTTGGGTTTGGGTTTGGGTTTGGGTTTGGGTTTGGGTTTGGGTTTGGGTTTGGGTTTGGGTTTGGGTTTGGGTTTGGGTTTGGGTTTGGGTTTGGGTTTGGGTTTGGGTTTGGGTTTGGGTTTGGGTTTGGGTTTGGGTTTGGGTTTGGGTTTGGGTTTGGGTTTGGGTTTGGGTTTGGGTTTGGGTTTGGGTTTGGGTTTGGGTTTGGGTTTGGGTTTGGGTTTGGGTTTGGGTTTGGGTTTGGGTTTGGGTTTGGGTTTGGGTTTGGGTTTGGGTTTGGGTTTGGGTTTGGGTTTGGGTTTGGGTTTGGGTTTGGGTTTGGGTTTGGGTTTTGGGTTTGGGTTTGGGTTTGGGTTTGGGTTTGGGTTTGGGTTTGGGTTTGGGTTTGGGTTTGGGTTTGGGTTTGGGGTTTGGGTTTGGGTTTGGGTTTGGGTTTGGGTTTGGGTTTGGGTTTGGGTTTGGGTTTGGGTTTGGGTTTGGGTTTGGGTTTGGGTTTGGGCTTGGGTTTGGGTTTGGGCTTGGGTTTGCTTGGGG